CTTGTATCAGAATGTAATCATAGGTGCGTACACATTATAAACCAGGAATTCTGAAGAATCGCTAGAGTGTAGATTGCAACTTAGCAAAAAGAGGCGAGCTTGTCACCAAGACCCTGGTAAGAGGTCTCGGGCTGCATCCCTTCGAATATGGTATTGTTCTATACAGTGGCCTTTAGCTAACTGTCACGGTTATTTACCCTATCGACACTAGCGCTATATAACGGTCATTATGGCGCATCATATAACAACATGACCCAGTAGAAGTCGCTAGCATTTCTCGAAGTTGCGCATTTTAAACTTTTAGTTACCTGGTTTATATTTGAGAGCCATGAAATTGTTATTTCCATCACCGCTTTAGTATATAATAGGAAGTGTGGCCATGCTTGCGCAGTCTCTAGCACTGGGTACTCGACAAAAGAGGTTTCCAAGAGCAGTAAGTCTCGTATAACACGCCATTTGGCTGTCTTCTTAAAGAAAGAAAAAAATACCGCTCTGCTCTGTAGCCCAAGGCTATCCTTTCTGTTTATTTTGTTTGGCTAGAGAATCTTAGAACCTTAAAAAGACGATTGAAAACCAGGCGCGTTATAATATGACCAAAGAGCTAAACGATTCCGTTTTCTTCTCCCCCAGAATTGCAGAATTCCGACCCGCACACAAATGATGCCCAACTATATTAGATCTTGATACTAGTTTCATGCATCATTCTCGGATGATTTACGCGGCTAGGATCATGGTGGAGGATATTACTCGCATAGAGGTAGTGTATCTTGATTTGCTCTATAGAAACGAAATTTCTCGTGAGTAAATATACGATGCTAAAGATTTATTGAACAGTGAATGCTTCTGGATTATGCATTCATGGGAAAACCTCAGATGTAGCCATGCTGATATAAATGTGACCACTGGGGGGTGGTTAGCACTGTTGGGAGGGTGTTCCTGTAGAGCTAAGAGGGTCAAAAACTGCAAAGGCCTTTCTTGGATGCTCGAAGCACATTATTTGAGCAGGAATGCTCTATACTGTTACCACAGCATATTGGAAACCCTGTGAAATGATATGTTATACTTGCGTGATGATATAAATTCAATATTCCAACAGCCACAAACTATGCAGAACGGAGGGAACGGAGGCATAATACCGCGTGACGAATTTCGGATATCTCCAAGAAGGGTAATGGCGTGATATATCATTCAGAAAGCAGTCAACCCAATCAACTTTACTAAAATCAAAACTCTAGGCTGTTTTAACTGACTCAAGGGGGTTTTCTCAAAGGAAAATTCTCAATTTTTACAATTAATGAAGCAGAATCAAGTACCAGAACTCTTCCCCTCCCCATATTGCAGCAAGGTCTCAGTCTTAATCCCCTTCAAAAGTGGTTAAGTCTGCAATCTGTGCCATGCCAGCTAGACAATAGACCACCTTTATCAAGAGACAAGAGTCTCGGAGTTAACAACCGATTATGGAATTAAGTCAAGTTTTGTGGCCCTCTAGCAGCCTAGGGGGCCATTATAGAGTGGCTAGGGGCAAACCTAGAAACAAAAATTGGATATCATCCTAGGCTTGCCAAATCTGGCGCTGGATGTCCCCATCGATATATATGGCTCGGCAAGAACGAGCAAACTTACAGCTACAATTCGAGAGGGAGATACTAAGTTTAGATAGAGTCTACACGAGCGTATGCTAATGACTGTCAATGACTGCATGTATTTTCACTATATGTCACATATCTAGACAGTTAGTGCAAACTTTTGTGTGGGAGCCAAACCACTGAGGTCAAATGGTCAGAGGTGTTATCGATAGACGCAGCAATTGATTGAGAACTCAGAATTCTTCCAAGTAGGCCATGATGTTCTTAATTTTTCCCGAATATCAAATTTAGGTACTGCGCCGGGGGTCCGAAGGATCTTCCTGGGCTCATGTAGAATGCAAGGGCATGGTTCTGGACGGATTCAGAGAAACGACTCAGGATCCCATATACAATCGCATCTTCCAATTCAAGGTGTTCAGTGGTACAGCAGTCAAAAGTCTTATCTCTGAGACACTGGAACAAAAGCGGGCTTGGCCCACCTGTCACCCGCAGGGCCCCTTATCATCGACTTAATGAACCGCTTCCTTATGATGGCTATTCACGGCGGCGGACCCCGGGCAGTTCCAGAAAATATGACGCCGATTATATCATGCCGTCATCTCTCAAAAGGTGGTAACGGGTTGCTGTGAGGACCCCTGCATTCTCATCTGCGAAGCACACGCTAGCTCGAGTATCGGGCTCATACCAGCAACTTGCAAGAGTATACGGGAAATGTCTTATCCCGCCAATGAGATATGATCTATGCATATACATAGCCTCGTCTAACTCGCGATGTGCTTTGTGTCCATGGGGATCATCATTGGAGTCGACCCCGTGATTAGCATGGGCCATTGGTCCGATCAACTTGAACTAAAGCTTGGCTGTAACATTGCTAGGCGTTCTAAAGTGATTTCCTGCATAAGCGCCTTCGGCGCCCTGCTGTAAGAGTCCTGGAATATTCGAAATGTTCCAAATTCTCGCCTTGTGAGCCTCCGGGTTCTGTTGACGAAAGACGTTTCTACTAGGCTAAAACTTCGGACCTCGTATCCACCCTTTTGTGGTGGAACTTAGCTTTAGGCTGCACCTTGAATCATGCCAATGTTTGTGGCAGCTACCAGCGAGGATTGGCACGTAGTTTCAGGATCCCTGGGCATTGCTTGATACTGCTCAAGCCATGAAAATCGTTCTTGGCATGTTGATGGCTAGTCGATCGCGACCGCGTGATGTGTGATGTGCAGAGCGAGCGTTTTGGAATTAGAATATGGGGTAGGAGTCCCCGCCACCAGGAAAACGACACACAAGATTATTTAGAAATCGATGATGCTATCTATGCCAAGCACGGATGAGGCCTTTTTTGATGCTGAATTAGGTCTCCAGCAAACTGTTATCCTGGTTGCGTTGGCCCTGGTGCTGGCGGACATTACCCCAGACCAAGAAAAGGCCAAGAAACCAAGAAACCAAGATAAGCCACCAGCAAGCCAGCGGGATTTGAGGGGGATGTTAAGACTGGATCTTGAGATCCTGACCGCTTCTTCTCATTCGTGCTCCCGTGTTCAACGACCGACAGCACGCTACTGCCCAAAGCGGAAGGCACTAAGCTGTCTGCAAGGAATATATATTACCTTTGGGATTAAGTGGAGCCGACTGTGGAGAAGCAAAATGAACCTCGGATGGTGGTTCTTTTTGGTGCTGCGCAAGAACCACTCAGCGTCGCGCGATTTAAGAAGAGACTTCGAACGAACGTTGATTTACGTTTTACCTTGACAAGCGAGCTCGTCTAGGTCTTCCGCGATCAACGGTACCAAGGTTAATTTTGGACTTGGTTTAATCTGGGGCGGAAAATAGTGTCGCCTGATAAGGTCAAGACCTAGACCATCGGGGAAAAAAGACACACGTCTATCATTGCGGGAAGCATGGAAAATGTAGTTGTGATGGTCGGATAATTTCTCTCTCCAGCTTGGGTGGGAAGAATGTCCTTTCTTTTTTTAACGAATCGAGGCACGGGCGCTAGACACACATCGTGCTTTCATATTCGCCATGGATAGGTGTCAAGTCGCACAGCACGATTCTCTCCAACTGGGATTTTCGATTGTCAGCTCGCTAAGGATAAGGCTAGCAGGGGCCCAAGCATTAGCCGGCAGAGATCCGGTGTTAGCCGGGTCTAAAAAGTTACAATGTAGCATTGCTTCAAGACCAGACCCCCCTGGTCTAATCCCCGATTATCCTAGAACGGCTACTGGCCCGACCAGAATTGCTTGCGAGAGACACTTTGCACATGCTAGCCAGCCAAATCTCCCGAGCCTTCTTCCTCTCCTCCCCACTCCCGATCCTGTCCACTTAATATCCATGGCCCACATATTCACACACATGATATGATAACAACCCCACTTTGCATCACTATGCACGACGAGGGAATTGATAGTTAATACTGTACAGTAATAATTAGGCGATATGGACTACGAGAGAAAAATCGGTTGGAACGCAGGCTTTGTCAGGAAGTCAATCCAGTCTCATTGTAGACATATGATACGATTCAAAGATCTGCACACATCCAACACACCCCTGAAGGAAAGAACAATCCAGAAGGAATTCAGATAAGACTGAAAAGCCCAGAACGAGAGAGAACAGAGGCTGAGGATCCACGATAAGGCCAACTAGACTAGACTAGCTGAGGACCACCCCCAGCCCAGTTAGCCACGTTAGCCCCGACCAAAAACTAGACACTTCAACACGACCACTTGACCAAGTGGCTACCACCTGAATCAAGCTAGCCTAACTTATACAAAACCAATCTTACTACTAAACTCTGGCGAACGCTCCCACGAACGGCGGATTCAGCATGGTGCTACTCGACCCCTCCCGCCCGGAAACGTTTCTAGACGGCTCACATCGGACAGTGAGCAGGGGCAATCACAGAAACAGCCAATGCGCAGCTATCACCCCCTCTCTTGTGCTGTACTGACCTCGCAGCATGCAGCAGGCCCGGTCATCGCTACCTTTCTAGAAGCCGTGGCGAACTCCTAGATTGGTGGATGCCTTGCTGTTTACCCCAGGTCCGCCACGAAGTGGATACGTACCTGCGCACTCTGGCGGAATCGATATCGTCAATCATCGAGGGCTTGTCGCAATTGGCTCCTACCACACGGACTGCTATCTGTTAAAAAGCCTCCAGTATCTCCACCCGAACGTTCAATGATTTAATGATCTCCATCGCCATGAAACTTGGCTTGGAAGGGTCCAACTGCTGATCCCCTCTCATCTTTCCACCTTCATTGCTCCTACTTCTATTGTTTTACTGCACACCCTACTTCTACCACCAGATATACCTCCACATTATTTATACTTTGGATCTCTGTTTCGCCCCGCCCTCTTTCTATCCATCTGTCATAAATGGTTCCCTAGCAACACGTCAAGTACCAATCCCCTCCTGTAGCTATGACGCGAACCGAACCTACAAATAGCACGACGTCGTGGGAGACCAAGAGCATTGCTGCTCTTGACGATGCCCACCGAATTGACTCGGTCGGCCAAGATCCTCGCCCCAGAGGGCGAATCCGCCGCTCCATGACTGCGTGCAATACATGCCGCAAGCTGAAAACTCGGTGTGATCTGGACCCCCGGGGACATGCTTGTCGTCGCTGCCTTTCTCTCAGGTTCGTTGAATGCCTTCTCTTATAGTTGCTCGAGCTACAAATGATCTTCACCATTTCCCGCGTTTTCCGTTCTCTTGGTCCCTTTGTTGTCTCTACTACTGTTGGATCTGCCTCTAATTGGGGGATAACGCCTCGAGGGACCCCAAGCCTTGCATACTTACCCACCAATTACCGCAAACTGGGGCCCAGAGTGCTAATTCATATATCCGTCAGGCTGGATTGTGAGTTGCCAGAAACACAGGATAGATTCCAGGATAATGCGTCCAACTGGTCAGACGCTAACGCGGCAATACCGTCAATCGAGGAGCGGCTTGTTTCCCTGGAGCGTGGTATGGGTGAGATGATACATTTGATGCGTCAGATGGTCAATCAGTCATCTACAGTCGCTGGTAGCCCTCATTCTCATGCCACACGTAGCGTGGATGATGTGGTGTCGGGCGATAATTGGCCCGTGCCATCTTTTACGTTGAAGCCGGTGCAGTTCATCCGGGACCTGCAGATTGAATGCTTCAGAGACCAACTCTCCACCGAGGCGGACCTGCTGGGTGATATTGTGTCTCAAGGAATAATTGATGCAAAGTTGTCCTTGAAACTGATCGAACTGTGAGTTGTAGGTACTCGAAATACTCCCTATGTGGAAACTAACCGCTGGATAGTTTTGTCGAATACTTCAGTCCTTGGGTCTCAATAGATCTCTCATCCAGCATCCAGAGAACAGATACACTGCTGTTCAATACTGCATGCCTCTTGGCATCTCGTTATCTGCCAGGCATGCCTGCAAATACGATCCACGAAATTTCAATCCAAGTACAGCACGGGGTCACCAAAACCCTCTGGAGACGGTCGCCCTTGACAAATGACCTACTTCAAGCGCTGGCATTGCTTTGCCTTTACCCTACTTCCGGGCATAAAGAAGGCTTCATGGATGGCTGGTTGTTGAGCGGGATCTCGATCAATCATGCCTTAACCTCTTTCAATTTTCTCAGTAACCTTCCTACCAAAAGTGTTTTGACCGATGAGATGCTCTTTCAAATGCGTCTTTGGAATACATTCTGTCTCACTCATTTGCAGTATGTTCTTCTCCAATGCTATTCTCCTTCTTGGCTAACCATGGCCAAGTTCTGCTCTCGGATATGGCCGCTCTGTTAACGTGCAGCAACATCACCTTGATTACTGTACTCGCATTCTGGATCATCCAAGGGCCACCCCAGAGGATGGAAGAATTGTCGCAGAAATCAAGCTCTACCGAATTGCTTTAAAGATCCAGTACAATCTCCAGCGCCTCCGATTCGCTGAAGGTGAGTATGAGGAGATTGAACGGTGGAAAATGGAATGGGCTCATCTGATCGGTCAGTCACCTCTGTCTAAAATGCTCAAATGAAAACTGCTAATATATTCATCAGCAAATGAAGGTCCATCGACCCTCGAGCTAAGCATTTGGTTCTGTCAGTTACTTCTTCACAGAACCGCCTCTCGACTTCAACCAGAATCCGACAGACTTGTTGCCGAAATATGCAGCAATGCACGTTTGATAATCTCTCGCTCCCTTCAGACTCGATTTTCCGCTGCGCCAGGATTGATCGATAATGTGTACTATATCCTTGGATATGCTGCTCTCACTCTATGTGATTACAATCCATCGGATCCTCAGATCGATCAGGTGCGGGCCTTCCTGCTCCACCTTGCTCCAAGTAGCGACCACCTGGCCTACAGGATTGCGTGCATTGTTGGAGAAGTCCAGCGCAGATATTCCGAAGCAGCCAGTGCAGAGCAGGCTTCCCCAAGCGGTGACGTGCTTAAAGGCTCTTTGTTCGTGGTTCCACCTTCGCGATCAGAGAACCTGGACCTGGCACAACTCATGCCTGCATCTGGTATGGAGTCTCTTGTCGAGGGATATGGGTGCTTTGAACAGCTCATCCCTGCTGGCTACGTGCCTACGCAACCGGCATTCTCGGCGCCTGCTATGTTTCAACATCATCCAGCGCCAGTCACTGGTGGTGCAATGCCTGTAAGCCTGGTGCCGCGGGCATTGCATGATCTATGAGGGGGTTCATATTGGAGTTACGAGGGACTTCTTAACGGTAGTAATAATGATCAGGATGGAATGATGCGTTAGCGAATGGATATATGATTATCGTGTCTCTAATTACTCTCGAAAACGCCCAATTCTCTGCAGGACAACCTGGAAAAAGCACATGCGATCTTTATCTTGACACATACAATGTGCTAATGAACCTTGGATCAATAGCACATCACTTTTGGCACAAAGCACGTGAAATACAGTAATGTAGAAGTCTACAGCCGCTTCCAGCTACCCCCGAGGAGATTCTCCACCGTTTGAGCATAATAAGTGGAGAAGAATTTTTAGGTGCATAGAGACTTTCAAGATTCAGGCAACACTAAATATAAAGGTATCCACTCAGGCACAGATGGTAGACCCCTTAATATTCGAACTGGGATAGACAATCCTTGGTTCCCCACTCGCCATCGGCACAGGCACGTTGCCACTACTGTCAACGGTGATACTTGCACAGGTAATGATCTCCGTCAAAGCAGTCCCTACATCATAGCCCGTATTTCCCAGTGAGAGTGTGTACTGGCTCCCACTTGCCCCAAGATTCGAGAGAATGGTAATAGTCTGTGTGCCATTGTCTCCTTTGCGCATTGCTAGTGTGCTGCCGTCTTGATAGACAGGGTAGTTCTTGTACGTGATATAAGTATCGCTCTCGGTGATTGCATGGGACCGAATGGCATTCGCTTTTGCGATGAGCTTATACAATTCGCTCTCAGTACTGTAACCAGATAGCCAGACAGCCTCGCGGTTTGCAGGATCGCTACCACCACTATAGTGCTGTTCCTGGCCGGCGTAGATGATAGGGATGCCGTCTGCCATGATGGTGAAAGCCGCTGCATTCTTGGCCAAGGACATGTCATCGGTATACCTGCAAAGACTGAGCAGGTGGCAATATTTGTAAATTAAAAATCAAGTGGACATACGAGGCAAACCGAGGATTATCGTGGTTCTCCACAAAAGTCCCAAGAAGGGTGGAATCGGAGCAGGTGGACTTCACCGTGTTGATCATGTTGTAAAGGTCGCTTATGCTTCCACTGGTGGACTGGAAGGCCCGAAGCAGCGGGTAGTACCTATTTTCTCAATTCAGTTGCCGTGGGAGCGAGCTGAGCACAATGGATACTCACATGGGATAGTTTAGCAGCCCATCCATAACCTCCTGATAAGGGCACGTGTAGCTTGCATCGCCATCGAAGACCTCACCGACACAGTAGACACCAGCAGCTTTGTTATAGTCAGACCAGAAGTCTTTTTGAACGTGCTTGACAGTGTCAATGCGCAGACCATCAACTTTGTTTGTCCCATATTAGCTAAAAGTCATGCGAGAGTCAGGTGTCGGTTGCTTACTCGAATAGTTGGAAACCAAAGAGCCAACCCAGCTATACCATATATTTTGAACACTTTCTGACTCGGTATTGAGATCAGGCAAGGAAACAGTTGTGTCACCAAGCCAACAATCCTCCACGTTAGTCTGGTTACTGTAGTCTGTGACCTCACAGTATGAGTGAAAATAGTCATTTGAGTTGAAAGGGTCGAAGACACTATAATCAACGGTGTTGCCAGCGCCAGCGTAGCCCTGATTTTGGCCATTAGCAAGACCTTATCTGCAGATATGGCCTTAGTCGAGACTCACCAAGTGGTTAGCCACGACATCTACCATCAGGTACATGCCACGATCGTGGAGAGCCGAAGCCAGAGACTTGAGGTCACTGGCTGTTCCATAGTTTGAGTTCAACGAATAACTAATGATTCGTCAATTCCACCCAAGAGAAGAATAGACCACATCAAGACTTACATATCCTGTTGCCAGTATCCATGATATGCTGTGCCATCCCCAGTATCTCCCGTCAGCTGACCAGTGACAGGAGTGATCCAGATGGCAGTAAAGCCCATTCCCTGAATGTAGTCTAGCTGTCGTCATAATTAGATCAAGGGTTCTGAGGCCACGAGAGAGTTGGACTTACCTGGTCAATGATTCCTTGCCAGGTACCACCGCAATATGCCTAAAGGAAAGTGTTGGCTGTGTGTTATGGGAATCTCGAGGTATCATCACAACCAAACGTACCCTATCGTCGGTATTACAGGTAGCCGTAGTTGAGCCATCCGTTCTTGCAAACCGATCAGTGAGCATGAAATAGATCGACTGTGAGCGCCACTGAGCAGGAGTCGCAGCGAGGACTGAGCCGATCAGGCCCGTAAAGAACAGATTGAGTAGGAGAGACATCTTGCTTCTACCTAGATGAATAATCGAGTCTTGGTAGTGCGAAAGAAAGTAAATCTAATGCGTTTTTATAGCAAAAGCGTCAGGTCTGACGTCTGTCCTGGCCGAACACTCTGTTAACTTGGCAAATCCTAATACATACTGATTTTGATTTCCCCGCACTCTCGGGAATTAAATGCCAGAAAGCAGGGTATTCACCTACCGACCAAACCCAGCCGCTGCAACTCTTAGAATCTGAAGACGAGAGAGTACTGTAGCAAAAAAGAAGATCGACAGCGATCGTCATACAATCTCCAGTGAATGCCCGCCCCTGGTAACTTCAAGCCAACGGATTGGACGTAGGAAGCAGCAACCGAGAAAATAGTCCACTACTCAACAGCAGAGCAGAACAGGAAACACACCAACGTTCGAGGAGGAACGATCCTCACTTCCAAAGGAGCAGGAAAAGAACGTCGATCTTCGCGTGCGTAACTTGCACCGAATCAACCCAGTACAACGTCAAGATCCAATTCGTTCAGATCCCGATCTTCTCGATAGGGGTCAACTCGCCCGTTCTAAACAGAGAGGAAGGCCCCGATGGATGGACAGAGATGATTGGCATATCCTAGACTCAAGTAAAGTGCGTCCCCGCCAAGACTGGTGGAAGGACTGGGGCGTCGCTAGTGCATTATGCAAACGGTAGAGGCTGGGTATGCCTGCAATTAATTACAATCACGGTGACAGGATCGCCAGACGGACAGGGGTCTTGGGCAATCAGCGTTTAGGTCCAAGAGAACCCTAGTCTGCCTACAGTGAATTTACAGGGTCGTGCTTGCTGGGGTTGCAACAGGGGCTGGAATGGTGATTGGCGAATAGCAGGGGGTTTGGGGGCGGTTGTCGATCATTTTCCTGATCGCGGTGTTTTGCCGCTGCTGCTCGAGTGAGGAGCTGGGATACGGAGAAATAGATGGTTCCTTCGGTACGGAGTACAGACTTATAGAAAGTGAGTACATTACGGAACATGAGTTTGTACAAATCCTACTGCATTTACAATACATTATGGCGAAGAATGATGAACTTATGTCGGCGAAAGAGTGATTACAGTTATGAAAGATCGATGTTAGTACTTATCTTCAGCATGGGTTATAGTCATTATTTTTAGTACAATGATTTGCGGATTTAAATCCATTGACTTAGATTGATTGGCCATCGGCTGGAGTGACCAAAGCCCTCCCAACCAATTAGGCAATCTGCGTCAACTTTTTGACATGACAAGTCGATTCTAGAGTCGAGAATAATAATTGATAACAATGTCCATCCTATGTCTTGGGTTTGAGGTGTCATTGGTCTTACAAAGATGATCTCTCCTATACCCGATAAGATCGGGTTTCGGATTTCGGCGAATATCCATTTATTATTCGGGCGGAAACTGCCTTGTTAAACGGACTGGATCGGGATGAACGGGCGATGCGTTTTGCAAATTGGACCAGCCAGCACGGCTGAGATCCACATTTCGTATTTTCCCGAGTCGATTCGGAAAATGCCTGAATGTAAACCAAGTCATCATCTTTTGAAAAAGAAAAAAAAATGATTTATTGACTCGCTCCTCTTCACATGCAGATCCAAACCAGGGCGAAATCTACAAGCCGGAGGACATGAAATGGCATGATTTTATAGCCTAGCACCGATGGGAGATTGTGAAATTCCGTAACAGACATAGCAAATTAATGAATACTGGCTATGTGTATAATCATTATTGACATCCTCCTTCACTCCTGACCGTCACACATGGATATTTACCACTTCAGGACCCAGCTGCTTGAAAACGCTCCCTTCGATGTCATCTTCTGCAAATCAGTAACCGACAGGACGTGCGAGGTAGTATTGTAGTGGACGGACGCGGCCGGAACGGTCTTGCCGTTGAGAGTCACGCCATTGGGCTTGTGAGTGACGCCCAGGACGTTGACATTGCCGAGCGCATTCTTCTCTTGCCAGTTTCCACGGGGCTCAGCGCTAAGGCTGGACTTGGTAGCTTTGAATGTGACAGTCAGAGTAGAGTTGGGCTCGAGGCTTTCTCCATCATCAAGGTACAATTCACCCGAGGCAGTTCCCTTATCGCCGAGCGCAGCGAGGAGGGTCCAGGGGTGTTGCGAGCATCACGGGTGGTCAAGGCAGGCTCCTGCATGGGGAGAATGCTGTCACCACGCACAAACACGGGAATGTGGCCCAGAGGAGCGGCGATGGTCGTGTTGACATGGGGCTGGGCATCGACGGCAGTTTGGGTATACCAGTCATACCAGACCTCGCCTTCCTTGATGCCCGGGAAAACACCCTTGACAGTGGTTGCCTGAGGTGCGAGGACAGGGACAACCATGAGGGAAGGTCCGAGGAGGAACTGGGTGTCCACAGCCGCCAGGGAGGGGTCATTGGGGAACTCCCAAGCCAGTGCGCGCATGACCGTCGATCCGGTGGTATGCGCCTGTTGGAACAAAGTGTACATGTAAGGGAGAATGGCGTAACGAATCTTCATGGCAGCCTTGGAGGCCTCAGCAACAGAAGCCCACTGGTAAGGCTCCTGGCTGATGGCAGAGAGCACATTGTGGTTCCGGTAGAAAGGGAAGAAGGCCGACAGCTGCATCCAACGGTTGCAGAGCTCCTCGTCAGTGTTGCCATTGAAACCACAGGTGTCAACACCGAACATGGGAATACCAAACAGCGAGAACTGGAGAGCCTGCGGGATGGACCAGAACATGTATGACCATTTGGAGGTGTTATCACCGCCCCAATGGCCGGCCCATTTACCAGTTCCAGCAAAGGTCGAGCGACCAATGATGAATGGGCGCTTCTCAGGGAAGACCTTGAGGAGACCCTCGTAGGTGGCACGAATGATAGAGTGACCATACAAACTGTGGACATCGTACTCCTGAACACCATCAGAGTGAGTTGCGTTGGGAGAGACAGCGTGCACCGCAAGATCGTGGCCAGTTTGAGAGTGGTCGAGCACGTATGGGGGGTGGTTCACATTACGAACGCCAGGAGTAGGCGTGGTGCGCAAATAGGGGGTGGTGGTAGTCGCAGACTGTCCAGTAGCCGCCGCCGCAGCAGCTTGGCTGGAGGATCCCGCAGAGGCAGAGGCAGCTTCGGTCGAATTTGTGACATTGAAGCCCTCGGGGTAATCGTAGACGATATTTCCAGGCTCACCGGGAAGCGAGAATGGAGGGTGGACTGGGTTTTGGCTGAGCTTTCCAGTACCACAGCTTCCAACACAGAAAGAAGAGACTTCATTCATATCGATCCAAATACCGTCAAAGGCAACTTTTTCGTGCCAAGTAACAAGCTCATTCGCCCAGAAGTCACCGGCTTTAGGGTGGTGCCAATCGGCGAAGACGGTGTATCCAGGCCAGACAGCACCAATGTAGGTGCTTCCGTCGGGGTTCTTCAGGAAAACATCCAATTCGGCACCACGAGTGTATGTGTCATACCTGGGTCATTTGTCAATTCCAATGTTTTCTTCTCGCATGGGGAGGATGGCAAGACTCACGCGTCGGACGCATTGTTGGGATTCGGGATGTACAGAGCAGAATCAACAATAGGGATGTAGTGGATGCCACTCTTGTGCAGCTTTTCCAGGAGCACGGCTCCATCCTCGTAAGAATAGCGGTTCGCATCATTGTCAAAGTCACGGTAACCGTGCATGTAGTCAATGTCATTCCTGGCAGCACATTATTAGCCTGATATTCGGTTTTAAATAGGTGTTTGCATGTCAACATACCAGATGTTTTCCAGAGGAATCTCAAACTTCTGGAAATTGGCAACAACATCCTCCACCTCGGACCAGTTCTGGTATCCCCAGCGGCACTGATGGTAGCCAAAGGTAAAGTACTGCTGCATGGCAGGCAGACCAACGGTGCTCAGTTGGTAGTCCTTGGTCACCTCCGTCTGAGTTGGGCCCGCATAGAGGGTCAAATCGATGCTACCACCGATAGTACGCCATGTGAGCTTCTTAGTTCCAAGAAGGATCTCCTGGCCGTGAGCATTGCGCAGGAAAACACCGTGAGAGTACGAGACATAGTCCTTGGAGGTAGAGGCCTGGTCACTGGACACGAGAGTATGAGACCCCTTGCCATTGACTTCGTAGTAACGAGTATCTAGGTAGAAAGAATGCGATCCGTAAGTGTTTCTGTAGTGATTGGAAATTAGTACTGGGCTCTATTCGATCATCACAGAAAAGAATCGATAGATAACTTACTGATCAACCGGATCGCCGGTATCCGCAGCATACATAGTGAAGGTCGAGTTCTTCAGCAAGCGCAACTGCTGGATGTGCTCGCCGAGTCCATACAAGTTATAGTCCTCGGGCAAAGCAGTGACAAACTCGATGAATTGGTTCTCAAACACCAGCTTGGAGCCCGTGGTATCAAAGAGAACGTCTCCGGTAGCCTTGCGGGCGACCTTGAAGCTGAAACTAGGCTCATTGGACCAGGAGACCTCGAAATGACTGTCCTGGGCAGACCCTTGCTTGTCGGCCTTGGGACGCGGTACTACGTCCTCGGAGAGGCTGTACCAAGATGCGTTTGAGGCATCCACATGGGAAGGAGTGATTTGGAAGTTAACCCGCGTGGAAGACAGGTACTCGAGAGTAAAGTCGAGTGATTCCACATCAGTACCGTATACATTGCAGGGCTTTCCTGCCAATTTCAGGGTCGCTGTCCATCCATGAGAATTGCTTTTCACGTTCGATGCCCGATAACCAGGGCAAGCGGACTGCGCATTGACGGCCTCGGGGTCATCAACGTTGGCGATAAGGTTGGCACCCACATCGACACTGGAGTCGAGGGTGGTTTGGACATAAGCCGAACTCGAGGTCTGCGTGGCGGCGCCATACACAGCTGGCAGCAGCCAGGCTCCAGCCAAAAGGCGCGTAAGACCAACCATCGCGATCGATTCAATCCGCGACGAGGAGATCGTAGAGGAAGGATCGTCACGCTGTCTTTAGACGGGTTTGCGATCGAAGATTCGTTTCCTCCGTTTACTGCAATCCGTCTGGCACCGGTCCCTCTTATAGTATGCGATGGGGTCGAGCACCACTCGAGGGCGATCGCGATACTGTAGCGCAACACAAACACCAAAGGCGGCACCAGGTGTATCCCTCTCGTCAGGGACTCAGTACGATGGCGTAAAAATTTCCGTTGAATCTCCGTGCATAGCGGGGACGCGGTGGGATTCCCACGGTGTCGAGCCAGCATTCCAGAGTGGGCATGCATGGCTATGCGGGGTTGGATGAGTCGCGCCCAAGCTTAGCTACGCCTAGCGGACTGGCTGGAACTCGGTGGGAAGTTGCACAGAGCACAATTGTGGGGATGATGATCGTCATTATTACATTGCACCGTGCGTAGGACCGAGGGGTAGTCTACTAGTCTAGGGACGGGGGGCCGGGCGACACGGGTTAGACGAGCTCGACGGGTTGCACGGGCTGGACGGCCTCGAGAGTCCTCGACGGGCTCGGTGAGGTTGCTACAAGCCGAGTACTTGGTAGTCACTGTTGAAGCATCTCTTCTTCACTACTTGCTTGGACCCACGGGCTGTGAAGTCTGGAGGTTCCATCCTGGAACCTTGAAGCTAGAGAGGCGTGATTGGTTGGTTGTCCGACAATTGCCCGAGGATGCAAGAGATGGTGGGGTTTGCTGAATCATAATGCACCGAGGAGAAAGACCGAGATAGAGTGGTTGTAGATACGAGTTAGTCTGCTATAGCTTAAAAGAGAACCCTTGTTCTAGTCAAAGTGATAGACACGGGCGATTAATAATAATCCCAAAGGCAGAGTAGGAAGAAGCTAGAAAAAGGTGACCTATCGGTAGAGTAGGTTGACTTGACAGAACATTCCCCCATTCGAAAGACTCATTCTTAATTGATTTAACAGCATCGCGGCACCTCTTTCCCTCGTTGGAAGAGAGGCCAAGAGTATACACTACAGTGACTACAGTGACTATACAGAGTCCTCCATGTAACGCTAGGAATCAAACCTGGGGAAAGCGGAGAACCTTGGAGGAAAGAGACTACTGAGAACACATAATAGTAGTATTACCGATGACTATTCCTCATTTCACAGTCTTCATCTAGAATAGTACCTACACTAGCAAGTAGTCTGGGGTCTGGCTTGGTCTAGGGGAATAGGACCGGTGAGTGTTTTCAATCTAGCGGCACACTAGACACGAAGGGACCGGGGAAGCCGATGATGAAATGCCAAACACGATGCAGGCAATCTGGGGGTCCCTTTCATCTCGGGAGGTTCCTGTGGCGGGGGAGGGATTCCTGGGGAATCCTGTTTATAGGAACCTTGGGCCTTGGAGGGACGAGGAGGATACTTTTTCCCTCGTCGTCATTAACAACCCCCAGGTTGGGGACACACCGAGATGAGGTCCACCAGTTGTTGAGGTATTGCGACCCATTTATGTATTTGTTGCCCTTTGGCATGGTCTGATCGAGTGGATGCTCCAAAGAGCGTCGGTCGCACTGTGACCTCTCGTCGTTTGCTCCTCGGCTTCCCGAGGAAGTGTAATAATCAACTAATCTCGGCATCTCAAGCCCCATATGGAATTTGGAAGACAGAGAGAGGCTTCTAGCGTCTCGGAAGATCGTATTCATTGGCCCATCAGGAAGAGCTAACACGCACTGGGCGCCAGCCAACATGCAATGCTATTGATTCCTTCCATGGAGCCACCCGTTGAAGACTGCGGAGACGCGGGCTCATCATGGTCTAGTCACTCGAGTAGCGGACCAACTGGACCAACTGGACACGACTAAAGCTGCGGCTGGAAATAACGGGGTTAGCTTGGGAGTTAATCAAGGTGAGAAAATCGCGCATGGCCCCGCATAAACTTTCTAACTTTCTCTCTTTTTGTCTCCGTCAGCGATGACCACGGACCACTGAGCAATCGTGCTTCCCCTCGGTCTGTCGTGCAGCCGAGTGCCTGGCAGCCTATTCGGCTCAGCTAATCCCATTCCGGTCTGGTAAAGGCTGGGATGAGGTCTTACGTCGTCCCTGCGTGCCAAGGTTATGATGGACAGGGGATCTACTGGGGGCCTTCGCTTAGGTGCCGGCGTAGTGAGAGGCTTGCTGCATCGTTGAATGTTTTCGGCCTAGTCCTGGATAAGGGAGGATTCTGGAAAGATCTGACTCGAGGAAAGAGCCGTGCCATTGGATGATGAAGGTAGTGAGGTGAACTCAATCCTAGGCCTATTCCTTGCCGGCAGTCAGCTAGGATAAGAATCCTCCGTTCGAGGACAAGGTAGATAGAGAGACATCAGGCACGAAATCTGACGACGCTTCGTACGCTAGGTAAATCCAGCCTCTGAAAGTATATCACCGGTGAGGCGATACTAGGAGGAGGTACAGTAGTAGTAATAGGAGTTCTCGGATGATGAGGACAAAAGAGGAGAAGGAGGAGAAGCATGAGGAGGCTATAGAAAAGGGCGTATTTCAAGGCTTCACAAATCAGAATCATCGTGCAGGGGCCCTTTTGCGGGGCTTGGGTGGCCCCGCGCTTCCCCAGATAAACCACTGTTTTTCTTTTTTTTCTTCTGGATCTTGAGTTTCTCTACTTCTTTTTTATATTTAGTCCTTTACTACTTGCTCCATCTGATCATGACAGTCTACTAGACCCACACTATTTGGAGCTGCTGCAAACTCAACTTGTCTTTTCTCTTCCTCATCTACCCCTTTGAGTCTGACAAGCAGCATGGATTTGGCTCCGTCATCCAAACCATCTTTCAAGCAGGCATGTGATAATTGTCGCCGACGCAAGATTAAATGCTCTCGCGAGCTACCGTGTGACAAATGTCAACGTCTGCTACTATCATGCTCCTATAGCGATGTTCTGCGTCGTAAAGGGCCGAAGTTTCGGACTCTCTATCCCCTGGCCCCGATACATCCGTTATCGGCCCGAAGCGATGCCACTCAGGAGCAATTCTATGCCGACCAGGACGGTTACGCCGACGCAACGTACAGATTGAGCTCTCCGGCCTCCCCGGCATTTGCAGTGGCAGATGTACAATATGTACCGCATGATTTATCGGATACCCTCTCCCAACTACCACCGCCAGAGCTAGTCTCTTCACCGGACTCGACGGATTCGACCGTCGAGTCAATTCGTGGCCAGAGCCAATTTATGCCAAATTCGCGCCGTCTCTCGCCACAGATTTTGTTGGCGCATGTCAATGTCTATTTGAAATACTTATTCCCGATCATGCCGGTCGTGCGGGGTGAGCAGCTTCGTCTGGATAGTCAACAGCCAGAGCATCTCTCGCCTTCCAGATATGCATTCCTAGCTTCTCTTTGTGCAGCGACTCATATTCAGCTGAAACTGGATGGTGACACTCCGGTACCGGATCCCGCTCGTCTGCAGAGCTTGGGTGATGGTCACTCGTTAGTGTCAGGAGAGAAGCTTTTAGCGGAAGCCGTGCGGGCACGTCGAGAATGTGACATTGTAGAAGATCTGAGTATCGAAACCCTACTGACTTCATTCTTCTTGTTCGCATCGTATGGCAATCTTGACAAACAAAGTCATGCCTGGTACTACCTGTGCGAAGCGACCTCGATGACATTTACCCTGGGTCTGCATCGGGAATCTACCTATGCGGATCTCAGTGTAGAAGATGCGGAGGAAAGGAGACGTATATTCTGGCTGCTCTTTATTACAGAGAGGTTAGTGATTTTGGTTCCCACATTTTCTATGATTCCTTTAACTAATTAACAATGATGATAAACAGAGGATATGCTCTCCAACAGGCCAAACCAGTCATGCTCCGAAGCTCGATCCACAAACCCCAAGTCCTCTGTTCCGAAGACCCTATTCTCGCATACGGCTTTATCAATTTAATCGGTATTTTCGAGAAACTCACCTCAAATCTCTATGACTGGGTCTCCGCAGGCGGCGGAGAAGGGCTCTTGGAGAGACCTCCCACATCAGCTATTCAATCCAGCCTGTGCAAACCCATTTCGCTCGATGGGGTGATGGAAATTCAACAAGTCGACATTCTCATTACACAACAATGGCTCCAGGCGATGATGTGGAAATTGTCCATGAACCACGCCACTCAACCCGGTGCCCGCGATGAGGGCGTGCTACCTTTTCATTTGCCAGTTCTAGTTGGCAAGGCCGTGATGAGCGTGATTGGCTCTGCCTCTCAAGGAGCGGTGGATGCCCATGGAATTGGAATGGTAAGTTGAATTGAACGACTCGTCGCACATTCTAAACCACCCTCCTAACAATTGATTCAGGAGCAAAAACTGTTCGACATGGGCACATCGGTCGCCGATGTTACGCGGTCCTTGGGCACCAAAGCAGTGCATCGACTTGCAGAATCCACGGTCGACCCTCGCGAACTCCTCTGGGGTATTTTGCACACCCTATCACAGATCCGAGGCTCACCATCGTACCTCTTTCCCGCCCTTTTAGAACGGTGCAAGTCCGTGCTGGGACTCGACTGCACCTTGACCGTTGGTAACTTCCTACCAGCGCTTGGTGACCATGCACATGATCAAGGGCAAGGGCACAACTGGACTGGTGAGCAGGGATGGGATTTATTCGCAGCATGTCGAGATCTGGATGTAATCCGCGAAGTAGATGGTGACCAGACTGAGCAGGTTCCTCCTCATCTCTCCGGCGTCGGACCCGGGGGTGAACTCGGATTCCAGGATTGTCTTTTGTCTTGAATGACTATTGGTTATTCTCGTGTGTTTTTGTTCTGGGACTTTGACGTTTTCACGAGACTTTTGATTGATGATACCACTCTGGCGTTCATTTATAGATCGGTGATTTTTTGATGCAGGGGTGTGTTGTATATACTGGGACCCGGAAGATATATTACCAGACAAGGAAGACTATTCTACTATACCACTTTTATGGCATGAAGGAGTAGAAAGATTGCCACATAGACATCCTATACAACTTTCCTCAATTTTATAATGAGGACTGCAAGATCTACTCCGTCAGAAACCGACGAGAGGGCAGTCCAGAAAGCGGTCAATCATCAGCCATGCAAACTCCTCCATTTCAGCCAGGCTTGGCATGTTTGTCTCGGAGGTTCTCGTTGATACGAATAGCTTCAACTTTCTTCATTCCGAGTGCAACAAATTGATTTACAGCAGCTGCAAATAATGTGCTGACCCCCACAGTATGTGAATTTTTGGCTCATTAGCCCTTTGTATATGATTTTCGGACCCAGCTAACGGCAACTTCCCTCTATAGCCCTGTCTTCAAAGGCCTGTCAGACCTCTGACTAGCAGCGCAGACTTGCTCAAGAGTCTCTCTTCCATACCTACAACCTAGAAGGCTCATTGTCTCAGAACAGCCAATATGGCATCCATTCGACCGCGCCCTATCTCTCTCCGCGCCCTCCACGCTGCGTCGACAGCAACGCGACCAACATGCCGACACTTCCTCTCTCGTTTCCCCTCAGCCTCTCCTCTCTCAAGAAAAGCGCCAATCACACGCAACCACTCTACATCCTCCGTCTCCCCCGATGAGCTCTCCCATTTCTCAGCCCTCGCGAGCTCCTGGTGGGATCCAATGGGTCCATCCCGAATCCTCCACTTGATGAACCCTCTCCGACACGAATTCATCGCATCCTGCCTCGCGGACAGCCCTCCTCCAACCGCCGAAACTACCAGCGCAGGCACCTCAACCGCCGCAAACCTACACTACATGGACATTGGCTGCGGCGGCGGAATCTTTGCAGAATCTCTCGCACGCACAATCCCACTCGACCCATCCGCCCCAGCACCAACCGCAACCCGCGCAGCCTCAATGACAGCAATCGACCCATCCACAATGCTAATCCAAGTAGCCCGCGAACACGCACGCATGGATCCAACCGTGGACGCACACCTCCGCAGCGGAAAATTCAAATACCTAAACACCACGCTCGAAGACGTCCTCGCATCCACATCCACATCCGGATCCTCCGAATCCACACCCTCGACGGGCGAACCCTTACACCCCCAATTCGACATGGTCACTCTCTTCGAGGTAATCGAACATATCGACCCCACAACAACAACCCCGCAAGCCTTCCTCTCCAACTGCCTGCGCGCTCTCAAACCCGGCGGCTGGCTCATCGGATCCACCATCTCCCGCACATTCCCGTCCTTCCTGCTAAACCAGGTCATCGCCGAAGCGCCGTGGCCGATTGGCGTTGTCCCACGCGGCACGCACGAGTGGAGCAAGTTTGTCAATCCGCCGGAACTACATGCGTGGGCGCAGGAGGGCCTGATGCGGGCTGCGGATACGGCGACGAGTCGTGGGGGGCCGAGTGCGTTGGAGGGGATGAGGTGGAAGTGTATGGGGACGATTTATGTTCCTGGATTGGGATGGAAGATGGTACCTGGGTCGGAGAGTTGGGGGAATTACTTCTGGGCTGTTAAGAAGGGTGTTTGAGTGTGGGTGAGGAGGACTTGTAAGATTATTTTGGAATTTGTGTAAATATATAGAGAATTGATTTGATACAACTAGCCTCCGTCCCTAGAAGGTCGTATCTACACTGATGGGGATATCGCCATGTTTAGATTTGTACGTCTTCGCGGAAATCTTGATTAAGAGCAACGGTAATTCAGGATCCTGGTCAAGGACAGAGTCATAACTACAGTCATTGTCATTCAATCATGATATTCATACAAACAGCACTCCAGTGCTATCTACTTCCTCCCCTTCCCACGATTCCTCTTCTTCTTCGCCGCCTCTGCGGGGGGATCAGGTACACTCACAGTACCCTGTTCAATGTCCTCTCCAGCACCCTGCAACTTCTGACTCCCACTAATAAAGAACGTAAGATCGCGATTCTGCTCCTGCAAATCCACAATCTCCGCCTTCAAGGTATCAAGGTTACCCTTCAGCGACGCATTCTCCGTCGTCATATGTTCCAGTCTCTCCATCAGACTGGTATTGATAGTCTTCTCTTCACGGTAATCTTTCTCCATGCGGCGCGCCAGAGCTTCGAACTTATCAGCTCGTTTCTCGAGACGGCCTTGCTCGCGCTCCATGCTAGGGATGGAGTCGGACGAGAGAGTCTCGTATTGGGCCTGTATCTCTGCGAGACGAGCGATTGCCTCGCTCGCAGCTTGTTCTGCCGATGCAGCGGCGGCACTAGCCTGCGAGGCCTTGTCTGCGGCCCGCTCGACAATCTCCTCAAAGTAAGCGCGTTGGCTTTCCAGCTGTGAGGTGAGGAGGTGCGTGTACTCGACGCTCATGTTCTCGAGTTTCTCACGCGGTACGGCGTCACCCCAATCCGGCGGATCGAGGGCTGAGTTGTCAGCCGCAGGGAGCTCGACCAGCTTGCCGTCGGTTTTGCTCTGGATGATGCGATGCACATACGCGTCGCCGACGTAGTCCCAGACACGCTGGGAGTTGAGGTCTATGGCAAAGGCATGGGCGGTCTGTTTCCAGTGATCAAAGGCGTGAGCGCCATCGTATCGGCCACAGCCTACAGAGCCGCAGATCAGACAAGCCCAGAGATTGACGTCGGTGTGGCAAACGCTGCACTCGGCGGGCTCCTCGTCGCTATCTGTGGATGCAGTACCCTTGCGGGAATCGGCTTGGGTGTACCGACAGATAGGACATCCACTACCTTTCCAATTCTGAAGACATGTACAGTGGAAAACGTGTTGACAGATGATTGTGAGAAGGCCCGTTGTTTCGTCCATCCGTTCGAGGCATACGGGGCAGGTCGGGAGTTCGATCAAGGCGGGTGTAGGTGGTGCGAGTGGTTTGGTAGAGAGTTTGGCCTGGCCAGCGGATGACACGGGGTGTTTATGAGAAGGCGAAAGGGGACCGACGTCGGCGGATGGGAAAGTTGATGGCGAGTCGGGCTCGACAACCTGAATCTCGACCGATTTCACGAATACCACATGGCAAGTCTCGGGCTAGGAAAGACAACATAGTTAGTATCGAGGAATCCACACCATTGTGATCCTATCAAAGATCGAATGCATCCATGCTAGTCAAGACATACCTCGATGCTACTAAAAACCTTCCCGTTCCACTCCTTTTGCCATGCCTTCGCCTTTCCTCCACTCCGAAACTTCATCAAAACCATGTACCGATTGGCACGTGGCGTACGAATCATCCGAAAATGGCTCACATCATCCATCGTCTTCTGACCCACATACCCCAAAAAGTCCGGTGGTGACAAGTAACTCGGCACAGCCAAAATACACAACGTAGTGCACTCATCCTCTTTGCCAGACGATGAAACCGTCACAGGGAACGGGTACGCATCAAGGTCTGCAGAGCTCTTCCCTGGAACATGACTTTGTGCGCGACTCGCACCGCCGAACTGCTGCTCACTTGGGTGTCTTGCCGCGGCGGCTGAACCTTTGAGGTAGGTCGGGTAATCGTCTTCGTTCCCGGCAAGGTATGGAGATTCCTGGACATCGCGGTACAAATGGACAATACCCCAGACACTCTCACCGACTTCCTGATCAAGAGGGATATAGCGACCCTTCGTGCGCAGTCCGCCTAGGATATCAGTGCCAATACCCGCAGCCACAAGGTTATCTCCATTGCCCGCAGGGACCGCAGTACTCCCACGTTTTTGCGTCCGCTTCGCAGATAAATCATCAGGTAGCACCATATCGATACACTCAATGAGGATAGCTCCAGCGCGAATGTCGTTTTGGAGATCGGAGGGGGTGTTAGGCGAGGTAGAGGGGTAGTTTGCGGGAAGCGAAGACGAAGGCGAATGTTGTGCACCGTAGCCAGAAGAATCCTCCGAGGAAGAAGCGTGAGCGTTTTTAAACCGGCGTTCAAGAATGATTTCCTTCCCCGGTGTATGCGTGTGTGCCTGCGTGAATTGCGCGAGGGAATCACCCCTGCCAGACGTGGGAGTGGGAATTGAAGGTGAAGGCCGGGCCCGCTTCTGGAACGGGAGCAGAGCTTCCCATGCAGAGTCCAGGGCCAGCGATGAAGCGGCAGCCGCGGATTTGGGAGGGTGAGAGCTGCGCAGGACTTCGAGACTAAGATGGTAGAAGTATGCGGGCATCCCGGGCGACTGCTCACATGGTGATGAGGTAAAGATGCCGCGATTCTGAGGAATCTCTTGATTGCGATAAGAGAAATGATGACCTAAGCAGCCCCAGATCTCGAGAGCTCGTGTTGATGCCTGAGGTTGTCGAGTTGGCGACGTGGCGATGTATCGCGAGTGGCGAAGAGGCAAATGGAGTGTGGGCGCGGGTCGGCTGGACGAACCCATTTTGCCTGGGCGGTCTGTCTGGTTCAGCGGGGGTGGCCACGGCACAGAAGTCTGATTCTACAGCATTGCTGACTGGGAGATAGAACAGTCACGTATACTTCAACCTCGTATTCTGGATCCTCTTCCTAGACAGGCCAGACATTATCTGTCGGGTGATCTGGAAAGTATAGCCTTTCGTCTGGGCTTCAAACTGCGGCCGCTCTAGTCTAGAAACAACATAATGCGTATGGGCAATGTGCGTGGGAGATTACAAGACATTTACAATTCACAACTACAAGTCTGGAAACACATGCTAGCAAAGAACAGCTATCGAGCTGAGTTCATTGATAGAAAAAGTAAATATGCTCGTGGATACCGTCGTCGAAAGAAGAAAAAAAAAAGCCTCAGCTTCGAAACCGACCAAACGCCATGCAGGTTCATCAAGAACCTATCGCAGTCGAGGATTCATAAAAGATATCGATAAAGGAAAAGGAGCAAAGTAAAAAACCGTCATGGACGTTTTTTTTACTGACCACCACGCAGACGCAGCACCAGGTGGAGGGTAGACTCCTTCTGGATGTTGTAGTCCGACAGAGTGCGACCGTCCTCGAGCTGCTTACCAGCGAAGATCAGGCGCTGTTGGTCTGGGGGGATGCCCTCCTTATCTTGAATCTTAGACTTGACGTTGTCGATGGTGTCGCTAGACTCAACCTCCAGGGTAATAGTCTTTCCGGTCAGGGTCTTAACGAAAATCTGCATACCACCACGCAGGCGAAGCACCAAGTGAAGGGTAGACTCCTTCTGAATGTTGTAGTCAGAGAGTGTGCGACCGTCCTCGAGCTGCTTGCCGGCGAAAATGAGACGCTGTTGGTCGGGGGGAATACCCTCCTTATCTTGGATCTTGCTCTTCACGTTGTCGATCGTATCGGAAGACTCCACCTCCAAAGTGATGGTCTTGCCAGTGAGAGTCTTGACGAAAATCTGCATACCACCACGGAGACGGAGGACCAAGTGCAGGGTAGATTCCTTCTGGATGTTGTAGTCGGAAAGGGTGCGACCATCCTCAAGCTGCTTGCCAGCGAAGATCAGGCGCTGCTGGTCAGGGGGAATACCCTCCTTATCCTGGATCTTGGACTTGACATTATCGATGGTGTCGGAAGACTCGACCTCAAGGGTGATGGTCTTGCCAGTCAGGGTCTTGACAACTGTGGCGAGAGTTAGTAAAATAGAACAATCATAAATACCAGCGGCTCTTTTGAGTGGGGGCGGGTAAGAGTGGAGTAAAAGGGGGGCGAAAACGTACAGATCTGCATACCACCACGAAGGCGGAGGACCAGGTGGAGAGTAGACTCCTTCTGAATGTTGTAGTCGGAGAGGGTACGGCCATCCTCAAGCTGCTTGCCGGCGAAGATCAAGCGCTGCTGGTCAGGGGGGATGCCCTCCTTGTCCTGAATCTTGGACTTGACGTTGTCGATGGTGTCGCTGGACTCCACCTCAAGGGTGATAGTCTTGCCGGTGACTGAGAGGGAGATAAAAGAGTCAGCAGGATTATTCCAGTGGCGACCGAGGATGTGCGACCAGGGCCATATAAGAGAAAGGGAAACTCACGGGTCTTTACGAAGATCTGCATGATGGAAGCAGTTCAACGATGATGGGGAGTATGGTTGGTAGTTGGAGATGGGAAAGGGTGGTAACGCAGGATAATGCGAAAGGTGGGTGGGTTGGAAAGTGGAAGAGAAGGAGAGGGAGAAAGGGGAGAGCAGAAGAGGGGGTGAGGTTTAAGTAGGAAAGCGATATGGGATGAGGGGGGCGAAGCGTCTTAGTCAGAAGGGGCATGACGCGCGAAACTGCTAGAACATGGAGGCTGGGCATAAGGCAAAGACTACAAACTTAAACTTAGCAAGAAAGTCCTTAATCTATTTTCCATATCAACTACTACGAACGAATGGATGCCGGGTGCCGGATGAGTCAAGGATGTTTACGGGCTTTCGGGGTCGGGCCACCTAGGAACAAGTCTTTGACGCCACCGGGCAAGACGGCAAAAACCTGGTTCCTATAAAGTATGAGCGGTTTTGGTTCCTGCACTGAGGAAAAACTTTGATAGGAGGCTATACCTGATGGAGGGTACAAGGTGAAAAATTCTATCTGACTATATCCCGTTGGCGTAAAAGGAGGGCGGTTATTATCTCTCAGCCTAGAAAAACGATGACGATGACGTGGGAGGGCTTATCGTGAAAAGAGGGGGTGGGACGGAGATCACCTGAAGCCTGCTAGCGCCATCAAGATGGCCGTTTGGGGTATAGTTAATACAATCAATACAGGTGTATTGGGTACCGGGCTGTACACGGTGAAGTGGCACTGCCCCGGGGTATTCTATACTTAGGTGTCATGTGACTGGGTCAGGTGATTCCGGTTCCGGCATCGGCAGTTTACTCGAACTGTGAACAGCCAAGGAAGTTACGGAGTATGGACTATTGTTTACTCGGGTCCGTTCCTATACAGCGACAAATTTTCAACCCCGAACACGGCATTGATCAACAGTACTATTGATCTGGCCGTCCCGACGGTCCTCTATTCAAAGGAAAAGTACCTTGCGAGCCACCCTTCGGCATTATGCCCGACAGTGCTCGGCTCGAGGTCCAACCAAGTCCAAGGCAATATTGCGTGGAACTATTCCGTAACAAGATTGAGTACTAAAACCTAAATATTACTACTACAATTGCTAAGAAGCATTATCATGGGTGGAAGGATAGAAAAAATGATGTAAATAGAGATATCGATAATATAGACACGATCCCGCAGGCGTTGAGACGGAACATTCCACCCTTCAACGCCGTTTTCCTCACCACTCCTAAAAAAAAAATCAAAACAGCCGTACGACAGTTAAGTCGGGCTGTCTGCGGCCCTGCATGTACAGAGCTTGCCGATTCCATTCCAAGGAAATCATCGTGACCTCACGACAACCACCAGAACAGATACAACAAGCCCCGCGGCCACGAAACACAAAACACAAAAATCAGACACGCGCAACACACAGTCGGCCGTACACGGTTCATAACGTTCGTGATCCTCGTTCATCGCTGGAAGCTATGCGAGAAAGGTATACCACAAAAGACAAAAAGTCAATAGAACAAGACAGTAAAAAAGATGGCACAAAAAACAACACAAAACTCGACAGAATAAGAAAAAGAAAATGGAATGAGGGTTGTAGCTTCCTAGAAACCACGATGCAAAAAAAAGACACAGGCTGAGAAACACAACCGACTCGCTAGGAGCGGTAAAGATAAAAAACAGATCAGATCGGAAGATCGTGATAACATCGTTATAATGAGCGGGGGAAGACGCGCTTGCGCATCGATCACGACTAGCGTAATTTTGAGGGGGGAAAAGGGAGGTTTTTCTTGAGTCATCCAGGTCGTTGCGTGCAGGGCTGGAAAAACGGAATAAATCGCTGGGAGAGAAACTCGCTGTTGGCAAAGTATAGCAGTAGTCGTGGAAGAAAAAAAGAATGCATTTGATCGTTCGTTCATCATGTGCATGCGCGTCGTTCGTTGGGAAGGTGTCTAGTTGGCACGGATGACCAGGCGAGACACAAATTTGTTGGAAAGGCAGTCGAAGTCGCCACGGTCGAATTGGGTACCGGAGCGGCCACGGAGGTAGCTCTCTGGATGAAGATATTAGTTAATGTCTTCGATGACTTGACTAGAATGAATAATTTGTGTTGGGAGATATTCTTACCATGCTGCTCCACGTGTTGGCGGACTTCAGTCATCGTGTTGCACACGTCGGGGTTAGAGTACAGAAGGTGGTGGTGCTTCTGCGAGTCCCACTCGGTGAAAGGTGGCAGCTTCTGGGAGATAGCCTGGAAGAGACCGACAATGACACCAACCGGGGTAGTCTCCATGTCGGTGCAGAACTTGTCGACGGCAGCCTGGTCGGGAGTACGGTAGTGGCAGTCAAACTGCATCTCCTCCCAAACAGCCAGCAGAATCGAGGCCAGCACGAAGATAGTAGGCCAGTTCTTCAACTTATCACCACTGTATACACTGGAGTACAGGGCTGACAGCTCCTCCAAAACATCCTTCTGCAGCTCACGCCACATGCTGGCCATGGCACACTTGATCTGGAAGTTGATCATGACGGGGGCCATGGTCTTGCCGCGGAACTTGGAGCCCGGCTCGTTGATCCGACCGAGGAATCCATCTTCATCACCCAGTCCCTCGACCATGGTGACGTGCAGGGTCAGGTTGTAAGCGATGATCAGCTTGAGGGCCTTGCGGATGACGGGCAGCTTGGTGCGGTAATAATAGCGGAAAGCGGTCTTCAACATCTGGGTGAGGAAAGGCGTACCCTCGAAGTAATCGTCGACAAACTTCTCAAAGGTGCCGTTGCCGTCGATGTGGCGGTCCAGGTAGTCCGACAGCATAGCGTGCGAGATACCCTCCATACCTGCGGAGAGCTTCGCAGTCTCGACCTCGTACGCTGTAGGCTCGCGGTGCATCGACTCGACCCAGTCGATCGTGAAGCACTGCTCATCCCGGACAAAGACCTCCCTCGCGGCAATGGGCAGGATCTGACCATACCCGTGAGTGATGTACAGGGTGCGTTCCTGATCCGAGAATCCCTTGATGTTGCCGACCGAGAATCCCATAGAGATGTGTCGCTCGTAATCCGCCTTCCAGTCCTTCATGAAGTAGCCAATCTCCTTAATGTCAATACGAGTGCAGGGCACTTGCCACAGACGGGCGTGCGACGGCTGGCAGCCAGCGCAGGGCTCACCCTTGTCACAGGTCTTCTTCAGGAACTTGCAGCGCAGACAAGCGCGCAGCTTCCGAATCTCACTGGCCTGCTTACGCTGGTCGGGCTTGAGAGGACCCTTACGCTTGCCCACACGCTTCTCAGTCTCGGGCTTGCCGGTCTGAGATTGCTTGCGGACCTTGGTCTCGGCCGTCTTGGCTGCGATGGGACTCTTACGAGAGGGTTTCCTGCTGGGTGGCGAAGCGGACGATTGCGAGCCCGATGAGCGAGTGGGCGAAGTTGACTTCTTAATTGGAACTGGGATTGGGCGAACCATTGCACTGGGGCTGACAGCTGACGGGGAGCGAGAACCAGAGACGGAGCCAGAGACCGGGGAAGATTGCTCTTCAGTCACACGGCGGACCATGGAGGTACTTGTCGGGGAGGTAGCCAAGCTCAAGGCAGTGCTATGGTTGTTGTAGGGGAAATCCATGTTACCTTCGGAACCGGGAGAGCTGATGGGGTTGGCGATATCGACGAAGCTGCCATAAGAAGTCGAGTAGGAGGATTCTGAGAGACTGCGATCATGCAAAGTCTGAGTGGGGTTGACGAAGATACCCTGCTCCGGGAAACCGAAATCCAGCGAGCGACGGTGGTCGACGGTACTCCAGCCATTATCGCTACTGGAGAGGGAACGGACCTCGAGATAGGTGTCCGTCGGGGAGCTGCTCTCTAGTAGAGGGTGCGGGGCGGCATATGAAACATCCGGCAATCCGTTGAAAGCCATCAAATCGGCTTGAAAGTCGTGATAGGTAAAAGGCACCATGTCGACGGGGGCCGAAAGTGGCAGATGATAGGAAGTGGTATCGAGCAGACCGGCACTCATTTGACCTTGAGGACCGGTGGACATGAGATCCACCGGCGACGACTGAATGGCCATTCCATAACTGGCGGCCGTGAACTGGGGCGCTGACGATGGATCCTCGGGAGAATATGATAATTGCGGGTGATGGTGAGGGGTCTGTTGAAGTTGTTGGTGGTAGTGCCAGTCGACCATGAGGTTGGGATCCTGGGCCACCGACTGTTCCAGGGGGTGACCGCTGGTTTGAAGAGGCGACAGATCATGAGCATCCTCGGGGCGCGAGGGGTTTTGGTCGACGGTTACGGGCCATGATTGCGGGAGATAACCTCTTGAGTCGTAATCGACGATGAGGCCGTCACTTGATATATCGACATTTGACATTGCTTCGTTAAAATGAGGTTGTTTTGACCACCAAAAGTGGTATTCGAGGGGTGGTTGATCGGGGGGGGGGGAAGGGGAAAAAGGACCAGCCTGGATGAAAAGGCCTTCTTCAGAAGAGGCCGAGAGGTAACACACGGCCAGAGAAGAGGGACGAGTGAGGCGGTGGGGGGCACAAAGCAGCGGTGAGCAAGAGATGCGCTAGGGGATTTTTAGTGACTTTAGTGGACTTGGAGCAGACTGGATGTTGTCCGAGTGGAGAAGAGGAAGGCTGGGCCTGCACGGGTGGGGATGTTGTTTTTTTTTTTGGTCTTTTGTGCTGTACTACTAGAGAACACCATCACCAACCATTTTACTGCCACGCCGACCTTGTCATTCCTCGGATTGGACTCCATCCAATTCCCAGAATCGGTTTGGTATGGGGGTTTAGTGCGCCCTCGGTCATCTTGCGCGATCGGACAGTCCCATGATCTTCATTCTTGTTATTACGAGCAGGGCGGATTACGGAGTAGTATGGAGATTTGGAGAGGAGAGGGTCTCGGGCGATAACTTGGGAATACAATCAGAGACTCTAGGGAATGCGGACTAGGCAGCCTGATCTTGGATAAGATTCTTTGTAGATTATCGTTGTACCTCCAGTGTTAGATCTAGCGATGGGACTATAGTGCTACAGTACTGTATAGTATCTACTATAGTAATTACCAAGCCATTGTTAATTGTTACGGTCTTCTCCCCGTATTCCGTAGTCTTCAATAGTCGACGGAGATGACCGCCAACTCCATCTTCCAGTCTAGTCATAATGTTGAGCATCGTGGGACTCCAAAGACGGAACGGGAGATCAGTGGAGCCCAGCAGAGCGTGGCAATACGTTAACTAGTGTGTCTCTCGCTCCAAGACAAGTAGGACCGTGCTCCATGATCTGACACCTGATCGTGATGGCAGTCCAGTAGTCCCAGCAGTCCCGGTAGAACTCCTAGTGATAGGCATGATAGCCCACTCCTTCCTAATTGGATCTGCCACGATGTCCACGATGGTCCGGGAATATCGTATCTCTCCCAAACCCTCATCCTAGCTAACTTGAGGGGGGAAAAAGAATTACACCATTCAAGTCATTCATAGTGGGGTGCTGACCGTGCATTTGACGAGGGGCAGGGATTGCTGTTGGTTGAGAAATGATGACGGAGGGGCTGATTTGGCCATCGCGGGCTTTTGCTGCATGGCATCTCCGCGACCGAGAATCCCAAAAAGTTAACTTGGGGTGAACTCTTTTTTTTTTTCATAGCCCGAGGGCTTGGGATAGTTAGGAGGGAGAAACTGAGGACTTCCCCAGGTAAAGAAAAAAAAAGGTTGGACGTGACAGGTCGTACTGATCCACCAAAACCAAAAAGCTGGGCCAAAGCTGGGGAGAAACCCTTTCCGACTATGGGCTTCCTTTTCCAGCAGGCTTTGGCCTGGCACATGCAGCCTGGCAGCAAGGAGATGAGAATAAGCCACTCTGTACTGCTCTACACAAGGAACAGGGTGAAGATATCGACGCAACGCACCAGCCACCGTCGCGTGCAGATGGTGATTTGGTCCAGATAGATCACATCACGGTGCAGGGAAGTATCAGGTTATCACTGGTTGAAGACTCGTTGAGACTGGGATAGCCTACTTGAAGCAGCCTGCAGAGACTCTCTCCAGGAGTGCATCTCTCTCCCGTTTCGTCTTTCTGACATGCAGAAACGGGGGATTCATTCTACAGAAGCCACTCTGCACATTGTCATGGCATGATGTAGCTCTTTAGACGGAGCTATGACGGCTAAACTACTCCATTTTGGGATACTTTTGGACTTGGCCTTATTAGGATAGTTATTTTAATTAAGACTAGAGCTAAATAAAAGAAAAACGAAGATCAGCACACTTGAAGAGTAACAAAGAAAGATCCAGGATACAGACGTGAGTATCTCGAGATGTTGGAGAGTGTCGAGTCTGGGCGGAGAGAAAAAGTGGGGAGAACAATCAACGTTGGGTTGGGTTTTCCCATTCATCAGAACAATACTACCAGAACAATCACTCAATGGACTCCGTCCCAAGGACTCATTCGCTTTGATATCCATTCCCATCCTAATATATCTCTGCCTATCCCCCCCACACGGGAGACTCGTCCATGCCACCCATCATCGCGGGGCGACACAAACGCAAAGTTCGATTTCCAGCCGCTAACCTCCAACCACCTAACATCATATCAACACCTGCTCCAGCCCAACAACGACAGAGCCAACAGAAGCGCCCGGGGAACAAATACCCCTCTCCTCTCAAGCCTGCCAAATCTGGCAATCCCAGTAATCCCCCTAGAATGGCCAGCCCACAAGAGCCCCGGCCGGGGATCCCAGCCTTGTTCACGCAGCCGCCACCTATCCGCGACCCGCTCGTGACGGAGACCATCGAGCTGCAGGACGCAACTCTGGAGAAGTGCCTGGATTTTCTGAAGGGCCTCCATATTTCCCAAAAGGGCTCCTTCAATGCTTCCGGGGTCCCCGCTCTTCAACGGGATGATCATATCGCTTATCTCTATGATTCTCTGGAAGATTACCCCGAGGGCTTCGTCGCCATGGATGCGAGTCGCCCGTGGATGGTCTATTGGGCACTCGCTGGATTGACGCTGTTAGGTGAAGATCCTACGCGTTTTCGTGAGCGGTAAGTCTGCATCATCTCCTTTTCTGGGGCGTTTTATATGGCCCGGTTATTGCACTACCATGACTACTACCGTTGTGGACTACCGTTATGTACATCTGATTCGATGCCTAAATGTCTGAGCACCTCTACTCTCTCTTTACCCCGTCGGTTCATTGGGATCGGCAGTGATCTATCGCCTGTCTTGAGATCGTTTTCGTTTCAGTTTGAGTTTCGCTCTTTTTTTAGCTATCGTTTTGACTTTTGCCGCCACGAGTGCACAATCTCCGCCATGGACGGCTCATCTGCACATGGCTCGAGGGGATATGACCAGAAAACAAAGGCTAACTTGTGATTTTCTTGGCTTACTTGCAGGGTCCTGGGAACACTCCGTCCCATGCAAAATCCCACCGGCGGCTTTGGTGGCGGACATGGCCAGATATCACATCTTGCTGGAAGCTATGCAGCCGTTCTCTCACTCGCCCTTGTCGGAGGCGAGGATGCCTTTTCATTGGTCGATCGTGAAGCAATGTGAGTTGTCCCCCCGCCTAGCGAGAAGCAGGAAATTTGTTTTAGCGCGTCTAAGTCTAACGTGCTTCTTACTAGGTGGCGATGGCTGGGCCGATTGAAGCAGGCTGATGGAGGATTCAGCGTCACAGAAGGCGGGGAAGAAGATGTGCGGTAAGTCGGACATACTGGCATGCAAGCGATCATGCAAGCATCCTGAAAAGAATTCCCCTCCCCTTCAATGGTTCCCCGAGAAGATACGAGATCCGACTCTCTAATACATATTCCCCGTTGTGCAGCGGTGCGTACTGCGCAGCGACCATTATCTCGCTGCTCGATCTGCCTCTGGCTCTACCGCACGATGCAAAGAAAGCCCGAGAAGCAGGCTTTGAGACTTTGACGGATGGACTGGCGGAATATTTGTCGCGCTGTAAGAGTCTTCTATTACTGGCAATGCCATCTTCTCCTGTCTTTCTAACAGATCTTCTTGTGTTCTACTAGGTCAATCTTTCGAAGGTGGCATCTCCGGCAGCCCCGGCGTCGAAGCACATGGAGCATACGCTTTCTGTGCCCTCGCCTGTTTGTCAATGCTGGGACCCCCAGAAGAGACTATTCCCAGGTATGCATAAAAATGCAATATAGTCCCAAGCTATCACCCCGAGCTCGTCACACTAACTGCGTTTGCAGGCACATGAACATCCCCCTGCTACTGTCATGGCTCTCTGCTCGACAGTACGCCCCAGAGGGTGGCTTCTCCGGACGAACGAACAAGTTAGTTGACGGCTGCTACAGCCATTGGGTCGGAGGATGCTGGCCCTTGCTGCAGTCCGCTCTAGATGGGAAGCCACAGCCATCGGGTACTCCCTCGACAACCGTTGGCAACTTGTACAGCCGGGAGGGACTTGACCGATACATTCTCGGCTGCTGCCAATCTCCCAGAGGTGGTCTTCGAGACAAGCCGGGCAAGTAAGTACCTGCCGCCCTGCCGCTCCTGCTTCTCATTTCACCATGCATCTGTCGTTAACCATGCAAACCCCAGGAGTCCGGATTCCTATCACACCTGCTACGTCTTGACTGGCTTGAGCGCAACCCAACACCACCACTACCGCACGACGAGCAGTATCACCTCCAGTGAGAAATTCGCCTCGGCGTTCTCGTGGCATTCCTCACCGGTTCGCGGGGAGGATAACGTGTACGACAAGGCTGACCGCCTCGTTGCCTTTCACCCGCTGTATGTCATTCCGCACCAGGCAGCTGCGAACATGCGGCTCTGGTGCGAGGCACAGCCCGTTGCAACCTAGTGGATTGGACTGGGGAGGCTGTGAGGGGGAGTCAAGAACGATAAGTGACATGCCGATGTGGTACAGGGAGAAATGAGAAAAGGTACACATGGAGACTCGTGTGTGTTCTAGGGTTCGCCAACCGAGGAAGGGAAGGCGCACAAGGACAATCTGACGTGCAGGACTCGAGGCTAGGATTTACTCTGGATTTTGTGAAGGATCTAGAGGGCCTCTGAACTTTTATCATAGGGAGAGGAGAGGATCTATCTCATACTATGCTCATTCACTATCCTGATAGGATCGTTTACCTTTATTCTTTGAATTCTTCAGGGCGTCTTTCTGGGAAACACGCGGATAAACTCGCACGAGTCCGCATTGTGGAACATTCTCTAGCGAGCTGATTCTGAGAGCGTGCAAGATGTTTCTGTTTCGGCTGAGGATGGAAGAAGAGATAGCTAATCATGCGAGTGATAAGTGCAACGTTGGAGTTGGATAGTTTGCTAAACTATGATCTTTGACTATGATTATGATCTTCGCGCTTGTTAGTCTTGTGTGTCTTCAATCTAGCCTATATCTCCTAGGGGCTCTGCGAGTATACCTCGAAGGACTATTATGTAGCCGCTGCCCCATAATGCCTATGTGAGTAAATGTAAGAAGAGTATACCATTTGAAAGGATCGTCATGGAAATTAGTTCCCGTCTTGCTTGTCCTCCTACTCTCGGGCTTGGTAGATACGCTAGATAACTAGTGAGTGTGGCATAAGTAGTAGTAGGATATATTTCCAAAGATATCCAGAAACCAAGCAAAATACTATCTCTATTGTAAGGACGATCTCTCTTTCCCCGTTTGATCGCAGACACACCGACATCGTCTTGTCCTGCAGGCGGCCCATTCGGGCAATCGTGCCTCATCAACGACCCGACACGAAGCGCAAGATAAACCAACGCCCCCCCCCCCTGCCAACCGCACATGTTGCCAACTCATCACTGCATCCCGGTCGAGTAACTTTGTCAACTGCCTCGAATCAATACCCGGTCTGGCGTCTACTCTTTGAGGTTTCCCCTCCGCCCGCCTATCGTAGTCGATCCTCTAGGTCTCGGGGGTACGTGCATCATGATTCCTCCTCCATGACAAATAGGAATACGTTCCCTTTGCGCATCAATAAGATCGTAGTCGCTTTCGGTCGGCTTTCTCATCTGGCCGAATCTTCTTTCCATCCATTGCAAGTCCGCTCAATCCCAGACGCGTTCTGCACAACATTGAACGGCCCCAGCCCCCCGCTTGGCGCCAATCATCGTGGTCCACCAGTGGATTCCTGCAGCGCGCCTCTCCAGGAAGATCCAGCGGCAAAAAAGGGGAGAGCCATTCATCTTTCTGCGATTTTCTCTTTTCGATGAGCTGCTGCGTTTACTGCGGGGCATGAAAGGCCAAAATAATGGGCCCAGCGCGAAACTCAAACCTGGCCCATGGCCGCATGGTGAACGGCTGAGGATTTTGATGCAAAACCCACCAGGACTACCGTTGTTACATCCTTTTCTCCATTTCTAATATGGAGAACGGGGAACGGAGAGTATGGAGTACAGAGGACAGGGTATACACCTCGGCTCTAGGACTAGACTCTCTTGTCTCGTCCATAGGCTGGCAATGATCAAGTTCCATTTGATTTCTGCAGGCGATTGCAGTCATCGGAGCTAAGCTAGCCAGCTGTTACTTTGTCAATGCCCCGCTCTCTCTTTCTCCGAGCCTCCTGCTTTTGGTCTTTGCCCCTCGCCTCTCTTACCCGCTAGGTACCAGATCTATTCCGCTCTTTGTTGCCTCTGACTTTCCCGTTTCCTCTTTAACTCTCCGGTTGCAAGATTCGCTGTTTAGATCGGCGAATTGCAGATAAATGAACCAAAACCCCCCTCCCATTTCCCTTTGGCCCCCTCAAGGACTATGATCATGACCGAAACCCAGGACCCAGGCCCGGGCCCGGAAGTGTGTCCCTCCATTCGGCTTGATTCTACTGGCAAGCAGCTATGCCAGCACATCAGTACCGACCTTAATTAATAACCCGCCGAAAAAAAACATGCAGTACCCCGCCAGATACCGGCAAAACAGCAATTTGCCTTGAGAGACGTCCAGAGGCAATTGCGGGCTTTTTTTTTCTCTGGCCTTGGAGGTTCGCTGTAAGTGTGAGCTCATCGTGCTCCCGCGCGTCCGTGACATCAATTCCTACTGTCCGGTAGGGATCTGCGATTGAAGCGTTGCCTTTTTCCTGTGTAGATCCAATACAACCTAGGGCTATTACGTCGGCTAGCTGTCTCGCGTATCCTTGGATCCATATCGTGATCTCCGAAAGTTTCTCCAACGGTGGGTATCGGAATTGGCCTAATACATAAATTCTTTAAGTAAGATATTAGTATCCCGGGATCATTGCGATGCGTTGTATCTCCCCCTCGCCCCCGGTCCTGATCCTAGTCCTGGCACTTGGCCCTGTCAAGTGTAGTAGAACTATATCCGTCCTATCTTTTTTTGCCCATTCAGGTTCCGGCGGCGACTACTGAGACGGCGGCGTCCGATCCTTCCGAGGAAACAAAGAAGTTTTTTTTTTTTACTCTTCTTCTCGTTTTGGTATATGTCTCTGACACTACATTGGGTACAGCTTGGTTTAAACTCTTTGTGCGCTGTCGAGATTGCAACCGTCTATCCCCATTCCCTGTCCCCCTCTTTCCAGACCAAGAACTACGACTCCGGACCCGGAATGCTGCTGGATTGGTACATTAGACACGGTGGACAACTCACAACATGGCTATTTTATGTATCAATGCATTTGCAATGCCCCACCCGTTTCTAGTGAAGTAAATTCCGTATCGGCTGGAAGCAGTCGCCATCTGTCCCCCTCTCTGTGATCTCGAAATTTAGAATTTTTGCCCCCCTAGCATTTCATATTTACATGTTTATTTTACACACTCTTTTCCCTACCCAGTGTCTGCTTCGGTGGTACGGAGAACCGTGTGTTTTTTTGGTATATGTGTACATGTGGCGTGGCATATTCTACAGCCCTCCGTGGAAGCCTTTAGTCTTTTCCAGTCATTTAGTCCTCGTTCTTTCCAACTTCTGCTCTCGCGCTTCTCTCGCTTTTCCTCATTTCCACCTGACCAAGCCCTTACCAGCCCAGCCGCGGTGTGGTTTGTGTTGGTCTCGGTCGTGTCTAGAACTTGGCCCCCTCATCCTCCAGCGCATCAACAAAACAAAACAAAAGGGAACCGGAACCAGGTCCCTGGTCGCTAGCGTCACCTTTGACAGCAAACAACACTTCATCCTTCAATTCCCCCAACCCGGAATTTAGGGCTGACTGAGCTGTCAGTCCCGTCTGTGATAGCAGTTCAACGAGACCGTTGGGCATCACCATCCGCATATCTAGACCCGGAGGGATTTTGTGTAGCTGCATCGGCCAGTACCTCAGCCTCAGCCCTACCCGCTACCCGTTACGCGACGACAGCCAATCCATTCGATGCTGTTGGAGTAGCCCGCCTCATTCTTTTGTTCGTTGCGAAGTCGACACGCCGCTTCCCGCGCTACTTTCCGTTCTTGACTCTTTTCGCTTGGGCTTTCCGAATATTCAGCGCCCCAAGATGTACTATATGCTTTATCTGGCAAGTAAGTGGCAAGCATTGTACCTTTCTTCAAACCGCATCGCATTGTTTTTCTCCCGAGTGAGATACATCAAGCCAAGAGCCCAATTTGCAACGCAATTCACCAATTATAGCCCCTGATTCCCTTACAAACCCCATTCTCGCCCCCAAACACAACCAATAAGAAACAAATCCCAAGAAAAAACCCACCTCTCTAACACTCCAACACAGGCCTCTGTCGCCGGCGACGCTGGCCAGAACCCTCCTACGAAGCCTACGCCACCACATCAGGCTACACATGCGTAGTTCGCGTCCACAATCGCGAATACCAAACAGACGTTACCTACGAATCAGAGATTCTCGCCCGCGAGAGCGCCGCTATGCGCGCGTACCTGATTTGCCGCAATTTCTCCGTCAACGACGGTATGTACCCGGCTGGTCATGACCACGGCGGCGTCGTGCAGGGTATCCCTGTTGCCATCGGGACGGGGCGCAAGTCCAGCCGTGATGATGACACGGATACATCGTTTAGTAGCAGTGGGGGTAGTTGGAGTGGTGGGAGTAGTCCGGAGCGGATGATGAGGACGGAGCATGGGAGGGATTAGATTTTTGTTCCTGCGAGGGACTTGCTTATGTTTGACTGGAGATTTACGAGTGGATGGTGTGCTGGGCATGTCTGGCATACATGCTATGGATGTCTTTCAGCGTGGGAACCGCGGTTTGACTCTCATCTGCCAGGGAACTTGGTGGGGATTTTTAACGATGATATGACTTATGACGATGGCTTTTTGCATGCTCTGCATTTTCTGAAGCATGAAATTCTGCGCTTTCATAGATGGAAAAACTGCTTTTTCGAAAGGCTGATGCTGATCATGATTGTCCTTTGTGCCTCGATTCTCGGGACTCAGATAATGGGAGATAGAAGTGGTGGAAATGGGAGTGAGATCCCGAGCGATGTGTGTGCTGTGCCGTTCTGAGCAAGAATCATATGTCTGCATCATTGTGGAGGTCAGGGATTGCCTTTTTTTTATTTCTGAGATTTGCTAGCATTCTACTTGGACTTTTTTGCAACATCTTACTTATCCTAAGCTCAGTTCTTGAACGCGAATTAGAATGTTCAAGGTGATTGGGTTGAAATAAAGTTGACTCTTGTACATTAAAATAAGCAAATCGCATCTACTAATGCAGGAGGATGCAGACAGTAGGTTGTGTAGATGTATATTGACCTAATGCAAGGTCCTTTGCAGTAGATATATTGCTTCTCAGCGGAAGATAAAGTGTTACATCGACCGTGGATAATAATATCTTGATGATAGAAACAAAATATTTATTCTTCTAATCTAAATGTACATTAGGAGGTAATGAAGGGAAAACGCAAGAAGCTAGCAGGCGATACCTGATTTACATCAGATCTAAACACTCAGGCTAATACCGGGTGATAACTTCTCAAGCTATACGATAAGCTCATTGAAGAACGCTTCTTGTATTTTTGCACCTTTGGCATTGGTGACAGTGCAAGCCGGACTAATGACGTTAGCAAGGATTCTTCGTAACCTTAGAGAGGGGGTATTTACCTCTTCACTTGACAATTGTCAATATACTGTCCACTGGAATCTTTCCCGGATAGTATACCATGGACCAAAGCACGGCTTCCCTCTTCGGTGCTGCGAGCCATCATACGCTCGCCTAAGCGGTGCCCGTTCTCCCGCATGAGCTGGGACTTGCACCAGCTGGGATTAGGTGTGTTGATGACGATCAACGGCCCCTTCCTCTCTTCTAGACGTTTAGCTAACGCTCGAACGGCGAAGAGGACCAAAAGTTTTGATAAAGGGTATCGCATGTCCATTTTTGCAGTCTCCTTGTTATTCAGCCGAGAGAAGATGCTACCTTGATTGGACACGTCGATCTCTGCCAAGGGCGCGATATAATGCAGAGCCGAATTCACGACCGAGACGCGAGGGCAGATATTGAATTGCGACGCGGACTCGCGCAGCTTCGGCAGAAGCAAGATGATCAAGAGGAATGTGCTGACGACGTTGACCGTGATGGTTCTCTCGTTGTCCTCTGACAAGCTGAACGTGGTCGTGGCAAGGCCAGCATTTGCCAAAAGAGCGTCAAGGCGTGGAAGAGTCTCCACACGAGTAGCAAATTTCTTGACAGAAACATAGCTATCCATGTCGAGTTCCCAGACCTCAATGGAGCTAGGATCACGGCCGGTATCCTCGAGAAGTTTGAGTCGTGCAGCTTCGCCCTTTTCAAGATTTCTGACTGCCATGATTAGGCGTTCAACTCCGAGGAGTAGGAAATGACGGCTGGCTTCATAGCCAAGGCCTTGGTTTGAGCCTGTGACAATAATTGTCTGTCCAGTGAGGTCGCCCTTTTGGACTGGTAATTCCACGAAGAGATTTGAGTAGATTGTTGTGGAGACACCTTTAATAGCTGATGAGATAGCTGCCATGATGGGATAGTAGAAATGGGCAATTCAATAGAATGAATTGGAGATGCAAAGGTAGAATTTTGAGAGTAAGGGCCAACATATCCAAGCAATTTATATGTGGGAATTCTCTCTTTTGGATGACCTGTGACTGATTGCGGGGATATTATGTCCGCTACGGGGCATTTGGGGCTGCTATGCAGTTTGCGACTCTGGAAAAATTTCATCCAGGTCATCATTTTAAATAGCCAGTAGAACATAAATAAGCCAAGCACAGTCTTCAATCCATTTACTCAATATTTTTCAAGATAATATGGTTTGAAATTCGCCTTAGAGAGGCGGACATGATCTTCAATATCTAAATCGGCCCCCACCCTTAGGGCGGAGATATTAACTCCGCTCCGGCAGATGGACGCTTTAGGCAGCTATGGGATGATCTAGTACATTAACAGCAGGCGGTAGATACAGCCACAATAAAGAATGTATAATTGCTTATCCCCTTGTCGATGCACTTTCATCTCATTCGGAGTTAGTGATTATCTAGCACTGGTTACTGATAGTAAAAGCGATCAATACTTTCACGTGAAGTAGGCTTCATGGACGCTTCTTCGGCTAAAGTTGAGAAAAGAAACAGGCCACCTGTATCTTGTGAGCCTTGTCGCACTCGAAAGTTGGTTTAACTTCCCTATATTTGTCACTATTCGTGCCACTAATCGTATCACAGGCTGAGATGCAATCGACAGATACCGTGTGATACTTGTATCAGACGAAAGCTTCAAGCTTCATGTCACTATGCCCCGAATGCTAAGCGGAACAATCCCAAAATCTCCCGTCAAATCAATTTCGATGACAGGCTCCAAAGAATCGAGGACTTAGTATCCGCTTCACTAATCAATACAGGGATTATTCGTCAACCGGGTGTCTGTTTTACAGAGGGTAGCTTGACAGACTCTTCGTCTGCCGAGCTCCAGACTCCCGAATCCACGATCAATGACCAGTCGGTTCATTCGGACCCGAAAAACGCACCTGCAAGGGAAACGCCCCATCTCCACGAACAGAACGGTCAAGCAGTATATATGGAACCCAGCCACTGGATGTCCATCATGCAGGAAATTAAGGATATACGGGCGGACCTGTCCTCGCATGATTCACTTGCATCTGATGATCTGGAGACCATACAAGATGTCGACATTCAAACCGACATCAACCTGGACGTATCCTTGTCCCATATCTTGAGCGTTGCCGATGCTATAAGCTCTCTCCCACCTCAACCCACTTGCGATATCTTGCTTTCCAACTACTTCAACTGCCGATACCTGGTATTAGGTGTGTATTAGGCTCGAAACAAGGATGTAGCTTCCAAGCTAAAAGTTTTCTGATAGGGATTGTGCACTATGGAAAATTCCGAATGGAGGTTAGTTCTCACACATTCAAGCTCTCTGATGTAATTTACTCAGCAATATGGCAAACAGTACGAACGATTTTGGAAGAAACCAGCAGAAACTTCACTTAGCTGGCTTGCCCTTCTATATTCAATACTGAGCATCTCCAGCATGTTGAGTCAAGGCCAACAAACCAGGACTGACCCAACCAAGCCTCCGATCTCTACGCAACATCTTCAGCAAATGACAGCGCACTGTCTCGTCTCCTGTGGCTACGCAACTGCAAAACGTTACGCGCTAGAAGCATTACTCCTTTACCTCCAGAGCAAATTCATGACGCAAACAAGATCACATGCCCAATTATGGCTCGACCTCGGAACCGTTGTCAGGCTTGCTTTCCGAATGGGTTACCACCGCGATCCTCGCGGATTGGCTGATATCACACAATTCGAGGGTGAGATGCGTCGTCGCGTGTGGTTGCACATTTTCCAGATTGATGCTTTAGCCTCGTTCCACATGGGGTTGCCTAGTATGATTCCCACGGAATATTGTGACACAGAGGCCCCAAGAAATCTATATGATACGGATCTTTCTATGGATATGGATACGTTGCCACCCTCCCGTCCCTATACAGAAGTTACCCCTTTGCTCTATGGCATTGTCAAGTCTGGCATTATGGGAGTCTTCAAGAAGATTGTTGCTCGCACACAATCTCTCGCCTCACCAAAATATGACGAAACGATTACTCTTGATCATGAAATGAAAGCAGCATATGAGAATCTCCCTGAAGTCTTTCATCGAAGGGATGTTGCTCAGTCGTTCATGGACTCGTCCGATCTCATTTTACAGCGATGTACTTTGGAGCTACTCTACCTCAAGGGAATTGTGGTCCTGCATCGGCGGTATATTCGACATGACCCTCAAAACCCCACATTCGAGCCCTCGCGCCGTTTCTGTATTGAGGCTGCACTTGAGATTCTCGACCGTCAGGCAGACTTACATCAAGCCACCCAGCCTGGTGGACGTCTACATGGGGACATGTGGGTTGTCACCTCTTTAACAGTGCATGACTTCCTTCTGGCAGCTATGGTGATTTGTCTTGATCTTTCCATCAATATCGAAGCTCTCGGAGAGGAGAAAGACACAAGCCGTGTGTCCAGGAAGCTACAAGCCCTTCAACTCTCTCAGCAAATATGGGCTACAACTGACAACCATCCATCCCAGTCACGTCTAGCATCACTTGTGTTGGATTTGATGATCAAGAAAGTGGACAAAGTTCGATCACAAGCTGACTGGAACAACGCTGCGAACGCCTTTTCACTAGCTGGCATGGAACTACCGTACATAGAAACCATGTCTGACATGATTGATGGCACAGAAGCTCTTGACTGGGTAAGATCTCTCACTTCTGAAGTTGAGACTGTGCTAACAAGCGTGATAGTCAATGCTGGACCAGTTTTTCCAGGATCCTGGGCCAACTACATCGTGATTGATTCGCAAATATTTGATCAAGAATTTGGGTTACAATTTCATCGATTACTTCTGGTGTGGACCGGTCTTATATATGCTAGAATCTAACAGATAGGGTTATACGGATCAAAGATCCTAGAACACATATACACCACTCAGTCTCAATTCGAGGTTACCAAAAAAAGAATCAAGTGACTACCTAGCCATGGTTAGGCAAAATCTCCTTCTAGATCTTCGTTTCCTCCTTGGGTTAGATTCAATCTCTGGCGAAGACTGGCATTTTCTTGCCGAAGCCTCTCTATCTCCTCCTCGTATTGCTCCATAGTGTCTTCACTGGCAGACTTCAGCTCCTCGATGATTTGGAACACCCGCCACAGACGCAAAACGATGACAAGCGAGCCCAATTCTTCCTCTACTCCCCGAAGTGAGACTTGAATGATAAAGGCGACAAGAATGACCGTAGAATCGAAGACGTGGAACCAGTTTGAAAAGTACCTTTGTCATGTTAGAGTACTTCAGACGAAACACCACGAAATTGTAGCTTTCTTGGGCGCAGATTATTCTCAAAAACTCACCCCGTTCCGAAGCTCAGAGCTGCCACGATCAATTCAACCATGAATAGGCACGAAATTACCAGGCCTGTGATACCCAAGGTCTCCTCGATGACGGCCCATTCATGGCCTACGGCGTAACCATTTTGCTTCAACTCGCAGAGGTGCAACTGGATGAGAAACTCTGCAAAGCTACAACAGACATCTATAGTAACCAACAGAAGAACGAGGTAATGACCCCATCGGGAGCTTAGGAAGTCACGGGCGGATCTCCTCCATCTCACAATGAGGGGCTCTTCCTCAGATAGAGATAAGAGTGGTCGGAGGGTGTTATGCTCTTCGAAAAATGGGCGCATATTTGAAGTGAGCAATTATTTGAATTTCTTCGTATGTGAACAAAGTGAGTTGATGTACTGAGGTCGAGCCCCTAACCTTAACGCAAGTCGAGGACGCGTAACTCCAGCGCTACGAATCTCACGGTCACGTGGTTTAGCTCCTTGAAGTACTGAGTATTTCTATGTTCTCATATCAGTGAAAAGGTCGATATAATTGTCTATAATGATGTTTGAATATGTATAAAAAGATAAGTAAGCTAAATGGAATAATACATGTGTGTAACGTGGGTAAATCAGAGTCGAGCCGGCATCCACTTCACCAATGTCGCAAAAACGAGGGACATTTTCGAGAGACATGAAAAAAAAGAACATATCGAACGTTCCAAAAATCACAGCCTATAATTTAAATTACCGGAGCTTTCTGTCACATCAGACACCCATCTCTCGAAACACGTCAGGCGAGGTCCAGAAATCACATCTCTGGACCAGCTGTTCATAGGAATCATTGCCATCACTGATGGTTCTGAGTCCATCATTGGGTCCACCAAGCACTCGAAGGTTGTATTGATTGGAAGAGGTTTGATCTAAAGCAACAGGCCAGTTGGTTACCGTGCCAGGTTTTCCAGAAGCTTCTCCACCTGCAGCGAACGATGCCCAGCTGCTACTCATTTCTGTAGACAGCTTCACGTCTGATGGCGAGGCCAAAAAGGAGTACCTAGTCTTTGCTAGGTTGAAGGCATATGGAATGTCACTGAAATGTGAGACACCGAGATAAGTTGTCCCCTGTTGGGCAAGCAGCGGAGCAAACATGGTCTGATTCAACACGTAGAGATAGTTCGAGGTCTTCTTGTCTGAGTATTTCTGGTTCATCCGCACCATATATACAGTTGGACAGACGAACTCTGAGTCTCGCATCATTCTGCTTGCACGGAAGTATTGGGCCGAGATGTTTTCTGTGGGAAGGTCGGAAAATGATGTGACTGGGTAGAGATCCAGAACCTTTTGAACATTCTCTTTTGAGAATGAGGGAAATTCCGCGTAAATCAAATCGATGACATCCTTGTCCGAATTGATAGTGGATGGCGTAAAGAAAGACGAGTCATCTTCCGTCCATCCAGCAATAATATCAATATTGTGGGCGAATCGACCAGTAGTCAAAAGTATCGAAGGATTGTCAGGAATAAAAGACGACGGAGCGGTAGGCTCGAAAACATCAAATCCGAAACCGGTGACATTAAACTCGTACTCGACCACAGTCGGCAACAGCTCATTGAGTGGTAATTTTCGGAGACAGGCAAGTTCAGCGTCACTCGTGGACGAAGCGCAGTTGACCTTGCGTATTAACTCAGATGTGTGAACTGCTGATATATTGCTCGCGGTACCTGCATCCGCGGCCGGGTTGCCCGATTGCATGATAGCTCTCTTGAAGGGAGTCTTCTTAACATCTCCTCCATAAGCCGTGATTTGAAGACCAACACCGGTTGCACCGTCACTCTCTCCGAAGATGGTGACATTATCGGGGTCCCCACCGAAAGCCGAAATATGCTCCTGCACCCAGTTCAGGCCAAGTCGCTGATCGAGGAGACCCGCATTCAGAGATCCAGTTGCATTGATGGCGTCAGACGCAGCAAAGCCAAAGACACCGACTCGGTAGTTCATTGCCACGTACATCACAGGGTAGCCTTGTTGGACGGCATTAGAGATGAGTGGCCCTGGTTCATATGCAGTATCATAGATCTGGCCAATCGAATCTCCGCCGCCATAGATGAATGCCATCACTGGAAGTTTTGCCGTCCTTGATGTATTGGCTGGTCGATCAATACGCAGGGTTAGACAGTCTTCTGAGACTTGAGTGACATTGTCAAACACAGCAAGTCCCTCGATAGGAACCTTTTGTTGAGGACAGGCTGCACCGGGTTGAGTAGCATTTACCACCGAGCCAGGCGGATAGGTATAGGGCTTGGGTGCTGCGAATCGGTTGCTGCCCCCAGTATTCTGACCAAATCGAATGTTGAGGAATGACTCTATATTATCGGTTGATGTGCCAAGGTAGCGAACTCGGTTGGCGACCTCGACAGTGGAATTAGATTGGCAAAGAGGTCTTCCATGGGTGCCAGGAGAAATAAGTGAGAAAAGAAGCATTGCGAATGTATTGATCAGCATCTTGTAGAGCAGAATCTCAAATTTCTGGTAGATTGATGCTGTAGATGTATAGGATGCTTGTGAAATGATTCTCGAATAGTGGCCATGGTGATGATTTATATAGATTGACTGGAGATCTGACAACTCCTCGGTAAGTTCCGCAACATATACTAGAACGAGGCAATTTGGATATACTTCGGCTCAAAGAAGAAACCAACGCGAAGAGGAATCCGTCAGCCTCCAGAGACCCTGAGCCGGAGAGGGCTTAGCTTTGGGGCCAAATCTTAATTTTTGGAAACCTTCAGCCCCACAAGGCGTTAGGCATCCCATCCCATTCTGTAGCATCTTGCATGCCATTTCGGGAAAGCGGTCTTTTCGATTGGAGGAGAATGAAAACGAAAGTGCAACCTTCTCTGGTCAAAGTGGAAGAGCTTTAAAGAGGGGACTAGATTAAGTCATGAGTGCGACCGTCCAAAATGTTGATTTCCAACCAACCTCTGTAGGCAATAACACGTCAGCAGCGAGTAAAATCGCCAGTTTCCAAATGATCATAATGTTTCTATTATAGAATAATATATGAGGGGCCTATTTCAATTCTACATACAGTTTCTTAGGTAACTTTGTGCAAATTTTGACTACTTAGTTCCTAACGGCAGTTTGCGAGTATACATCTAGGGAGCTAGGTGTTGTCGATGACCTGAAAGTTTGACCGCTCGAACGCTGAAAAGAGCTCTAATAAATATATGTGCTTGAATGAATTTGCTCATGTAAGAACCAGGTAGGTAAGGTTGCGTTTTTCTTGCCGGGGGCCTTGAATAGGACTTCGGAATGTATATGCTAGGATCGAGATCGGGTAGAATTGACTTAACTGAGGGTCAATAATCGGGCCTACCACAACAACTCGGAGCTCGCGCTTGAAATTCAACTAAAGAAAATCAAGGTTCTCTACTTCGAAACATTTTGGAGAATCAATAGTTCAATATCCAACCGATCTTCAGCCACAGCCACATACTTTTGGGCGGTCAGCCCGCACGTACCACACTGACGTCATCATACCAGCACTGGGCCAAGCAAGGAAACACAGGTGTAGCATAGGCGACGATCAATGTGCCTGGATCAACTTAGCTTGTTGTCGACAAGCCTGCTAGGCTAAAAGACAGCCAGTCGCACCCTTTCTGATTTTCTCCACAATTCCACGAAACGCCTCTGCGTCATGGTCACGATTTGACCGCGTGCTTCATTACCTTCTTCCTCCGCCCTCCTCGAACTATGTGCACCCGCGTCTACGTCCGAACTTGACCCCGAAAAGACCTTAACAATCGAGAATAATAGACCGATATCTACTACAAAACATGCGGCCAGCAGCACCGAGCTGTACGCCCTTCGTCCCGTCGATAAGAAGCCAACTATGGTTGCCTGGCCTTGGAACACAATCGCTTGCCGCAAGATCAAGGCCAATTGCTCTGAAAGCTTGCTTGCAAGGAATAAAAAAGCGGTCAATGCCTTCTTTACCTAGAAAAGGATGTTATGCCCCTGGGATCTCTCATCCTTCGCCGATTCGAGGCACTAGAGCTCTCGCTGGCCAGGGTCAGGTCCGGTTTTTCAGAAAGGCCAACTACATTGAAAAGATCGGTGACAACGAAAGGACGGAGGAGATCCTGGAAACACTTGAAGTGAATGATGATGAAAAATATGCTCAGCCTCAGCGACAAATACTGGATGTAGAAGGCAGGAAGCACCCTCCACCAACGTCTCAGATGGAGACATGGTCGGAACACATGACTCGCGGTACGTGAAGGAGCTCAAAAGGACCCCCCAAGGTGTTGTTAACAAGATAATCCAGGTAAAATGTTGACAACACCATCGCGGCTGTTCAAATTGATTATTCCGCTGACGACGATGGATAAGAGTCATGATAAAGGTGATTGACCCCTACATACATCACCTACATTCGACCTTGAGGTAGCTGACACTCCAAGCAGGCATTGAACCGATTGCCATCTTAGTTCATCCACAACAACCCCTGTCATACTTGGAACGATTAATTCAATCGGAGGTACCACCTATCGATGGCGAGACAGTCAAACGGCCACCAGCGGTATCCTTCATCGCGCTCCAACACGAAGATAACGCGATAAAACCTAGAAAAAGAATAGAAGAGGACCTCGAGGTTGATTCTGCCTCTCCCGGTGCTAGCTCCAAAAGCGCGGGTGACGGAAATGGTCAGCAATTAGGTAGTAGTACGCACATTGAGCGACGACGACGATCTCGAGAGGAGGATGCCGAGACATACAACTACCCCCGCAAGACAGACTCTAGTCTCGATCCCCTAAACGGAGAACCAGAGCGATTTGTACGATGGTCTCAAGCCACTGAAGTCGGCGATTTCATTCGCGATGCGGCTCGCGCTCGGGAGTTTATTGTCACAATCGAGGGTGCGCCAGAAGGACTAGGCCAGATCAGAGTCACGGTGCCATCATTCAACGAGCGTACATATTTCTTGCGCATGAGGCTGCGGAAGCTATCGCGAAAGATCCAGGGCATTGCAGAGATCAAACATGAATGTGATCACCTGGCGCATCGTGGAGCCCGGCGTGTGGCTATTGGTGGCTTTGGAATTCTCGCCACATGGTGGCTCACAGTTTACAAGCTAACCTTTGGAACCGATCTGGGTTGGGATACCATGGAGCCGGTGACGTACCTGGTCAGTTTGTCTACGCTGATGGGCGGTTATCTCTGGTTCCTATACCATAATCGGGAAATCTCCTACAAATCCGCGCTCGACTTCACTGTCAGTGCGCGCCAGCGAAAGCTCTATCACCAGCACAACATAGATCTACAACTGTGGGAGACCTTAATCGACGAGGGCAAAGCCCTTCGTCGGGAAATCAAAAGCATCGCTGCTGAATACGACGTTGAATGGAACGAGCTCGCTGATGAACAAGATGAGCGAGTCACTCAGGCGCTAAGATCAGAGGGAAAGAAGGACGATCAGAAGAAGGACAAGAGCGATAAAGACGGAGAGGACGATGATTGAAGGAATCAAAGTGAACATTTGTTCTCATGGGTAATCATTCTGATTAAAGTGTCTTCTTGATACCAATTCTCACAGCGCCTGCGTTCATTGCATTACTTGCATTAACCCACTACACTTTCCACGGTTCCCATCAAGACCATGATACCCGCGAGGTAAATGCATCATATCTCGAGGGTTCAATATGCAAATAATTAAACAAAATAGACCAATTCACACATTATGGCCAGAAAGATACAAAAACCAAAGCAATCCTGACCTAAAGCGTCCCATTCCGCACCGGGTCGTAATAGCCCTTCTTCGGTGACGCCGTCTCTTCCATCTGCTTACCCCTTTTGTCTATGTATCCAGAAAACCCAGAGAATTAGCTTGTTGAAACAGACAATAAATCCATTCTTATCGCAATAACTCTTACCAGATTCAGGTACAGCTCCGTTATTCTCTCCCTTCCTCCGATTCCGGTTATTGCGCACATCACGCGAGCGGAAAACGCTGTACAACAACCACCCAGCAACCCAGTTAGGGCCGTACTCGCCATTGGTACCACCGCGGTCGAATAATGGGCGCGTGAGAGGACCCGCATTGCGCCAGATCTCCATGATTGCCCAACGTTGGTAGTCTGGTCGGATATGGTGCCAGAAGAATGGAGGGCGAGTAGTTGGGTCGGCGCGGACGCTGTCGAGGAGGTGAGACGTATCTTGATTCATGCGGTTGTAGACCATGATTGCTTCGTCCTATAATGGTTTAGCCGGTGCGTTTGGTCTCATCTGGGCATGGAATCGTAATTTTGGGGCGAAGAAATAACACATGTTGATAGAGATGACAAGGGCTTAATAGCCTACTTACTCGCATGGCACGGTAATATTGTTCATGTTGTGGATCCTGCGGGTTCAAGCCAAGCGCGTGCATGAATTCCTCCTTTGAGACTCGTGGACCGACGGGCATCATGATCTCGTGGTAGTTGATTATTCGGGCAAGTGTTGTGGGAATTTGGTCTTGAGCTTGTGTAAGGTGATGCTGTGCTAGGTAGACAAGAGTGGCTGGTATAAAGCCGAGCGAGGGACAAGTATCACGAAGTCTTAAAAGCTCACAGGAATAACCAAGTGTAGCTGCAAAGCAAAGACAAAAATAAAAGGTAATGCTTGGTCTGAGAAACCGGTATCCAAGCCAGAAAGGAAAGGACTGAAGCTTTATATCAATGCAGAGTCTTCAGAGGCACTGGTCCCCAAATTTTGGCAGTGACTATATTGTGCAGAACCGATATTATTGCCCAGCATCCACTTTCATGCAATCAGTAGTTATCTAACAGCGGGTCGACACAGGTATAACGAACGGCCTCGGACGAACGATTTGACAGAGCAGGAAATGGACAATCGGCGCGGTGGCTAAGTGACGTCTGGAGCACCGTCGCGAGTGGAGTCGAAACGAAACAGTAATAATTCAGAACCAACAATGCAAGTCTATCGGATACTCTGTTCGCAAGGTGCATCGGGGGCCAGTGAGACATAAGGGGAGACAGATGGGGACGAAGGGTGGTATAGCTTCCCGACGGAGCCAACAAGAATCCCAAGAAAAGATAACAAAAGGAAAAGGAACCAATAAAGAACGCATTGAAAATAAACAAAAAAAGGAATTATTTATAGATTAGCTAAGGCGAGGGGTTTTATCTATCATTCTGTCCGTTTATGGGAGTCAGGAAATAGGAATTACCCCAGGACCTATCCGCATTGACACGTCTGCACGATCCACTGGCCGTTCTGGGGGAAATGCGGCTTGGTAGTACAACTTGCCTGTTCTTCATCTCACACCCGTTGAAATCCAACCCCTGACTCCGTCAAATCATAAGTTGGGCTGGGTAGAATCGAGGGTGTTTGTTTCGTGTGTTGGAGGGATATTACCCAAATAAGATCATGTATGACTCGGGAATGCCCCGATAATTGAGAACCTTATCACTTGAATCAGATGAGTTAAAAAAAGGAAGGAGAACATGAGATAGGTTGAAAGTGTGCAAGCTTGTTCAATGGGTGATATCGACCTCGAAAGTACGGTTGTACATTTCTTTCATTTTCAAAGCTGAAGGCATAAAACTCGCGGCTGGTGACAAACCGGACATTGGCATCGCGAGACATGCAATGTAAGCTCGAGGACTGAGCGCTGATGAAGTTTACAACGGATAGACCTCGAGGGAGAGCTCGTCGAGTTCGAGTCTGCTATCCGAGACAGACAGACAGATAGTTTATGTAAAGATGTATGCAAGAGATAAAGAGCTCGACAGAGTCTGTTTGTTTAGGTCTACTTTGGTGATCTAGACCTCCAAAGGACGGAAGCCATCAGTGGAACTGGATGTTGCCTATACCCCGAGACTTTGAGAATATGTTCGTATCCGAGGGATAAGTCCAGTGTACTGGCGTCGCTACTTTCGAGGCTATCATTTTTCTTAATCTGAAGCTTCCACATAAGGCTCGGGCTACATTTTGGACAGCCAGCCACATTTAGGCTTGCATGATATACTCGATATCGAGTAACCTGAGACATCAGCTACCAAGTAAAGGCGGATCGTCTCGTTGAGCTAGTACCGACGTTTAATTCTGGCCTAAGTCCCTTCCGAGGCCATACCCACCCACTGATATGAAGCAAGCCTCGTTGGTCATGCTGTGTAACGCAGCGAGCCGCACCCCAGCCCGGAGCCCAATATTGCAATCTTAGCACCAAAAAACGGCCAGCCTGCGTGCTTCTGCACCGGAACAGCATCCGCTGCAAGAACGGCGCATAATGTCCAAACCTGCCTGCGCCGATTGCGGGGAGAATGTAAACAAGCGGATAGAAAAAAGAAGGACTAGCCTTGAAGGCTAAAACCTAAAATAAAAAATACCCCGTAGATCCAAAATAACCAAGCAGGTATTCATATCGACTTAATATCGACCTCCCCTTTTCCCGTTTGCACATGAATCACCATTACCAGGCGATGAGGGAAGATGCTGTAGACGACAAACCTGACGAGAGAGCCTCCACACATCAACGCCAACGGAAGCAACCTCATATCGCACCACGTACGGCAAACCAAGCAACGTGGTAATGGTGTTCGGGATATGTTTCGATTCCGATCCGCAATCCTAACCGTGATCATACATTCGGGGAGTCTAGTGCAACAAAAAACATGCCCAATACTGCCATGTGCTCTAAAGCTAGTTATACCACCCAGTGTACACTGCGAAGTATAATGAGGGATAGTATAGAAAAGAAATGGAACACTGTAAATAGATTGGCTCGAAGCTGTCGAGGACATGAGATAGGACGGAAGCACAAGGGGTCATGGAAAGGGCAACGCAGAACGGCCGGCAATACCCCCCTCATCTCTAATACCCTCTCGTGCCTAGGATGATCCTTATTTATGCGTCCATCGGAACTTTTTCCTTGGGTCTGGTGGTTTGGTTTCTTGCTTCGGGCGACGGTTGGTTATCCTCGCAAGACCCCGGATGTTACATGTTACCTAGGAAGTGCACGAGGCGAGGGTAGACGAGGAACGTCATTTGCGATGCCCCCGTGGCTTCTAATTCTGCATTTTGCCGTGCCTTGTGTAGCTTAAAACTAGTCTATAGAGAATGATTTCGGTAATTGCTCTTGCCGGTGTTCTTAGTCGAAGCTAGGAGGGTTTATTTCATAGCCTGAGAGGAGATGGGCTACGGCTACAAGAGATGGCCAGCGGTATTTCCGGCTGGTAGTTGACTATTGGGTATGACAGGGCACTCAAGAAATAGCAGGTATACTCCTAAATAAAATTGATATGGATACTCGTCGCACGGTCTTTATCCACCACCAGGTCGAGAATGCAGGTTCCCGTTGCCGGCTTTCAAACACCTCAAGTCGGGAGCCGTCCAGCGGCGACGGATGCAAAGACGGAAAAAGAAATATGCAGGAATCCTCGGTGGCCCTTGAGAACATTTTGAAAGACTCGGATTTACTCATTTTAGTTCTATGAGAAATTGTTGGGGTCGGCGTTTGTAGCGGGAGCTCGAGTATCACTACGAGTAGCAGCAGCCCGGAGTCTGGGGAGATGAACCACGTTGAAAATTGAAAGGAGAGCTGCTGGATTTCATCCAATATGGTGCAATTAATTTTGTGAACTGGATAGATCTTTTCGAGGAGATTTGCTGGACAATATAGCACTTGACTAGTAGAGAAGGTTGCAAAAAGTCGACACATCAGCCCTATCAACCTAAATCACCAAAGATCGACAGACCGGTCGATCAACCTCTATATAACCGCTATCATCAAATCAATCCACCCACCGTGTTGCGTATACGCCACCCCAAGAACCCGGCAGTCAATACAAGCTTATCCACAGAGTCTAGTCCCACGCAAGTGGCTGAAGGAAGCTTTTTGGAGGCGCCAATAGCCAGCGCAGATGCATGCGGGTAGTGGATCAGGGCTGAAGGGAGGTGCATCTGTAACAGACTAGCCGACTAGTTTACTGTAGTATATCCCTGGAGCTGGCTACGTTAAGGCTTAGCTTATTTAGGTAGTGGTGGTCTACGATATACTACGCAGAGGCTTTGCGAAGAGGATCAAGGTTTTCGGAGAGAAGCGGGGCGAAGAAGAGAATGGGTCGACAGCAAAGCAGAACACAGTCACGAGTATGATTGTGCTGCTGCTTATCTTCCATCTTCTGCCATAAGGGCTCGTCTTACCTGCTTGTCTTTGCGTCCTTCCCTTCCCTGCATTCCTCTCTGTTGGCCTCTATACTCACTCATTTATAAGCACGTTGTCCTGTAGGAGCACTCGAATTTGGTTCATAAAATCGATATTCGACACTCCTCTTTCGAAACCCTCATCTGGAGGGAAATGCCACTGTCGCAAATGTCCCGTCTGCACCGAAGAAGTAGATGAATCATGGAGCGAGATATCAGCACAGAGAAAACTAGCACTAACACCAGACCCCGCGTTGTCGCCCTCCCACCCATCTGCGCCGATGTGAAGCCCTGATCAAGGCAGTTGTGGTGGGGGGAAAGGGGGGATTTTGTTATGTACGTCAAAAGAACCGGAAGCCACTGAGAAAAGAATTGGTAGGGAAGAGGGAGAAGGGTGGGGTAAGAAAAATAGGCAAAAAGGCCATTTGCAATGCTCCATCCGTCGCTAATAAAAAGGGAGGGGGAATTTCAAAGAAAAGAAACATGAACGAAGCTCATAACGGAAAAAAACAAAATAGCAAGCCACCCCCTTGTAACCCACTCATTTCTTCGAATCATCCGCCTTGGACTTTTCTTCAGTCTCGTCGGTCTTCTCCGTGGGTTTGGCCTCCTTGGTATCAGTGGCGGGCTTATTTTCTTCCTTGGCTTCGGGCTTAGGCTCGGGCTCATCTTCGACCTCTTCACCGTAAAAGCGGCGTAGGAACTTCTCGACCTTGGCGTATTCGACCTCGACCTCCTTCAAGGTCTTTTCAGTATTCTTCAAGGCGACATCCTCGGAGACCTTGCTGGAGCCGCTCTCATCGAGACCATTGCCGAAGTGCTGGATCTTTTCACAGCCATCCCGCACGTGAATGAGGCCAAGAGTAGCAGAAGAGCCCTTCAGGAAATGTCCGAGCTGCGAGAGCCCATTGAGGTCCTTTTTGTCACTAAAATGAATGGTTAGAATGTGTTTTTGTTCTTCGAGGCGAGGCAAAGGAAAATGAAGCAGGGCAAGGCAGCTACTTACAGAGCAGTCTTGATATTGATAAATGTGGATTTGGCTTGGTCGAAGAAACCGTAGACAATGCCCTTGCTGAAGTCACAGTCGTCGTCATCGTCCATCTCCAGGATCTGCTCAAATGTGCTCTCGTCGATAAGATCCTTGACATCGGAGAGCTTGGGAGGAGCCGCCTTGGCCTAATGAAGAACGTGAGTTGGCAAGATCAAGCACGATCAGGGAAAGATGCAGTTCAAATACATACGTCCTTTTTGTCGGCAGGTGCCATGTTTAGTGAATGTGTGGGGAGAAATAGAGAAGGCTCAAAAGGAAAGTAGGATCAGCCTTGTTCAGTAGGCAGATCGTCAACGGGTCGATTGAACTCCGGTTGCCCGATTTGGTAATCCAAGATCGAGAACGAACGGATCTGCAGTGTATCTCAGTTAGCCAGTGCTCATTGTATGGGGTTTTGTGTGAATATGAATGTGAATGTGAGCGCGGGAGTTAAAGCAGGAGCGAGACATGGTCAAAAGAACGAGCAACTGTGATTCGACACCACGAGAAGAAAAAAGGCAGCTCGACAGATTGTTCCCAAGGAAAGAGCTCATCCATGATTGTAGGATGCTGCCTTACAAATCCAGTGATCAAGGCAAGTATCCTTTACGATGACCGTGAGTACTCGGCAAGGTGGGATGCCGGGGGGGGGGAGTAAAGACGAGCGTGTGCTGAAGAAAGCAAAGCACGAGATCCCGTATTTTCACGAGTAACTCTCTGAGCACGTTGACGATGATTTCCAACACAATCGCACGTTCAGTACGAGGCAGAAGATCTTGAGTTGTGGTGGCTGAAGGGCTGGTGGGTTGGTGGGCTGAAGAAATGGGTATTCGGAGCCAGCCACAGAAAACCAGAACTGGGGCTGAATAGGGAAAGGCAAAAACAGGTAAAGGGGGCAGATTGGAAGATCAGAATAGTCAGGAAATTGGCAGCTTACTATGCAATGCTGCAAGCCGTTGAGGAACGGGATAGGACGAGACAGGGTTGAGGGGAGAAAAGAAGAGAGATCAGGAAGAACCAGAGGGAGATCGGAAAGAGGAGGGGGGACCAGTGGTGGCAGGTCAACTTGGGTAGATGTGGAGAGAGTAATGAACCAAACGGCCCTGGCTTTCTGACTAGTTGACAGAAAGGACAGAATATGGATAATATGGATCCCGGAAGAAGGAAAGGAGGAGCAGCGATGACCCAATTCAGGACATATACTGGCCGTCACGGCGGGGGCTTGGAGCACCAACCTACAGCTTGTGAGGGTCGAATGGCGCCCCCCACTAGGCCAAGAGGATGAGAGCGAATAGACAGGAAACTAGGGGAAGAAAAAAGACCCAAAAACAACCAATGAAAAGGGTAGGCCGATCATTCGGGTATCGCGTGTAGTCGAGAGGGGGGGGGGGAGTTTTTGATGCCCGCGCTCAAATGGGAGAGAAGAAAAAAGGAGGGGCAGAATTATGACGCTATGGCAGTAGATTGCGTTTGCAGAGGGGTAGTAATGTGAAAGGATTTTTTCAAAAGTACCCTTACCTTTTAGGGAGATATTTGATAGTGTTATCGTCTGTGGATAAAGACAAGCTTGATGCCCAAGGGGAAGGGAAGGGGGAAGCAGTAATATCACGGGAAGTTGGAGAGCGTGGAAGAGAAATCAAAGTTACGGAACGGAGGGAGTTAGCGAGGGGGAAGGGCGGAGTAGTGTGTACGGTAAAATTAGGAGAGAGGTTGGATAGTATTATACAGTAAGAATGGTATTGGTAGGCTATTATCCACTAGATCACATAAAAGATGTGGGTATTCCGAATACAGATGGTACCCGTAATACCCATTAATACCCGATCTGGTACTACCTATACATCCCAATACCATTCTGTGCTCCTTCTGTACAGCTATTATACATTATACTATGAACTACCCTCCACTGGTAACGGCTCGTCTCCGACGAACCACCCTTTTGACAGCCGCACGGTTGACAGAGCTTGCCGCACTAGCTTCTTCCCGTTCATGAGATCTAGCATAGATTCAGATATCTAGTACTCAACCTTTCTTCTGAATGAATCTCCCAACCCTGTCATACCATGACTGACACCTTCCTCCCTTTCTTAACTATGGAATATACTAGCCCAGACAACCATTCTATATCTCTTCTCAACCACTCTTCCTAGTTAGAAATGTCTCATCTGGAGCCTCCTTACTAACTAATCTGGTACATAACGTGGGCCTCGACTGATATCATGGGCTCCGAGGATTTGGATCTCAAGGATCACAACCATTCGGACTCCGGCTTGAGTCCGCTAACAACATCCGACCAGTGGAGTGAAACCACGACCCCTCCAACCTGCACTCCACCGGGGACCAAGCAACGGCATGAGATCATCGGCAATCCCCCACGGCTTTTTAACCGTCTTGAATTGGTTACATATACTATAACTCATGAGGAAAGCAACATCGAATGGTGTTGAAATCATTTGGATTCAGTACAGAAACATCTTACGATACCACGGCCTGGTCAAGATATCATTCCATCGCGCAACATCCCAGAACACCACGAATCCAATTCTACGAGATCTACTCCGTATCTGGGCCATGGCACTACAATAATGATAATTAGCAGCCATGCAACGACATCATCAGGCCGCCGATCACAGGGCCTATCCCTCTCCGTGACCCCGAGCCGCACATGGCAACCCTACCAGCCTCCCATTTCGCTGGTCAGGTTTTGTGGGCTGGCATTTTCTTTTCCTGTTCCTTTTGCTTTTTCACCGGGCTCCAAGGAAAATACCAGCACCGACAGCGTGGTAATCTCCACCGGAGTTCCAGACAAACAGGAAGGAGAGTCCAACAAGGCTGCATGGCCAACGCAACCAACATTAGCACGAAAGATAGCGAAAGCACGAATCCAAGACTTATCATTCATTTCGTACAACCCTTATCAATCAAAAAAGCAAGATTGAAACCTGGAAGAGTCAGTAGACAAACAACAAACAGTACGGGTATTCCCAAAGTAACCCGAGAATAGCCCGGATCGCACAGAGATGGAGGACCAAGATCTGGTATGAGAAAAGCAGATACGTTAGACTGGCGAGCCACTAAGCACAACCAACCCAAAGGGAATTACACCCCCCAAAAAGCGATCAGTCGGTCTGGGCCCGAAAGGACCTGGGACGGCGAACCAAAAACCTTGCAACGTGAAATGCAAGAAGCCTATTCCAAGCCCCCGGCCGCCCCTTTTTTCTCCATTGCGGTCTTTTTTCCATCTCCCCGGCTCCAGCGATGTCATGCTGCATGAATTCAGTGCTGGCTTGGATTCGATTTCTGACGTAGGAGCTCAGCTGAGAATTCTGACGGGGTCTTCGGGCACCATGTGGTTTTTGGGTTCTGGGTCTGTTGCGGAGGGGGGCTTGGGGGTATGTATTCAGCGGGCTAAAACGCAAGACATGATTATGCTGTCACCGATGACGAGGATGGAATGGAACCCTTGAAATAGAAAAAAAAATAAAAAAATAAAAAAATATTGGGCTGTCCGTTACTGCCACGATTGTCGTGTCGTGTCAAAGGTCGAACTCCCCGGAATAACCATGAGGGCTGGCGACTCAGTATCTTCTAATAGAAGTCCATCAACTGATCAAGCAATCCAGATCTGGCAATGAGGCTTAACCCGCGCCCGCCATGCCCTTTTGTTTATATAGCAGGGACCAACGTGCCTCTCGTGGGGAGTTGCCTGCTTTTTCTCGCGTGAAGTGGTTCGCCCGAGGTTGGACTGCCAATCAGCGAGGAAAACGAACGCCATGACATCACGGCGGGGCTTCTGGCCGAATTGTGTAGCCTCTGATGTCATTTTTGGTATTGACCAATACAACCTAGATACGGAGGTGATACACATCGTGTGTATGGAGTGGTATAGATGTTGGTATTGCATGTAACGTCGTCGTATTGTGGATCAGATTCAATCACCATGAGCAATCACCGAAAGGAGATGCTCAGCAATATGGTTTTTAGAGCTTAAAACAGTTTCCACAGAAGGCGTAGACTATACACAGTCCCTTAAACTAATATCCTATACCCCGGGCAGCGGCAACAGCTTGACAATCGCTGCTCGCTACATACTTCATGTACTTCTATGTTACCAAGGCCTACTCGAGTCTGGCCAGCTGCTGGCTGACATTGTGAACTAACCCCGACCCGGTAAATGCAGGGCAACATCATCAGTTGCGTCCATGATGTCAGGGTGCATATATCCCGACTTACAGCGCAGGATAGGCTTGCCAATATTCGCGAGTCGTACGACGTGAGATCAGCCTACTCTTTCAACAGTGTACTTTTGGCACTAGACTAAAGACACTACTAGCCTGGCAAGTGCTCTTCTACTAGAAGGATCTTCAATAATGCACAACATCTTCAGAATAACAACTAACAACCGTGATACAAGGAACCTCAACTCAAGCGTCGGCATATACACAAATACCCACCCACCATCACCGAACAGGCCCAATCCAGACCGCCGTCGGCAAAATTACACTGTCCATCAACCAAAATCCCTAAAGCCCTCCCTGGATTTGCCAGATCTTCTTTACTAAGTTTATGAATCTCCGGATTTCATCCAGTAAGACACAGAACACAAGACACGGTGGCTGGGCCATTGCCAGCCACAACCAAGCCCCGCGGCAGCATGCGGCACTTTGCTTAGCACCAAGCTGGAGCCATAAAAAGCTATATGGCGTGGGTAGAAGCAGAAATCATGGCTTGACGATTTAACTTGGCTTTTGCAGTCAAGAGTCCCTTTATCCATTCTTCCCCGCCTCGTTCTCCCCCAGACCCACCTGATGTTTGCTTGAAATAAGTACTCTACTCCGTAGTAATTGATTAATACGAGGTTGACAGGCGCTAAACGGACGAGGAGGAGTGGATGGCACCCTAGTGGATCCCTTGGGGGCTGGATCGTGCAGATGGACTGGTAGTAAAATACATGTACACGGGAGACAAGAGGCTAGGGGATGTGCATAGCAGGACTAGGCGTAGGCTGGATGTTGTTAACTGCAATTGCTTCTGTTGGCTGGGGAAGTGTTCCGTTTGGCTAGCCTCGGGCCTAACCGTTACCGAGCACCCTAAGTTTACCCGGGCTAAAAGAGCTAATCATCATGAGTGGGATTGTACTTTTATGGAGGTCTGTACTTAGAGACCTTGGTACTGAAAGAGCAGGAGCGTAAGTCTATACTGAAGAGCTTTTTAAAACTATATTGGGGTCCATAAGAATCATAAAGTATCCAAGCGTTGGTGCTGGCCGAAGGACGAAACTGGTTGTGGTAGATAGATCCAATATGCCGTCCAGAACCCTACAAAAAACCATAGCACCATACAATTACCGAACTATAAAGAGCCAGTACCCTAGCGACTAAATTATATAGGAACTGCATAACAAAGTGCAGACATCAGAAAGTAATCAATTTCCAACCCAATCCCCACAGCATAAACGAGCAAGTCCAAACTCTCCCCACATGGCAATCTTCTGGAATGCTTATGTAACACCAACCTCGGTCCCTTTTTTCGAGCTCAACGAAGCTCAACAATCTATCCTCCTCGCAACCTCTCCCCCTTCGCTCTCCATCAACCCTCCAAAAGCGACACACACCCAAAACAATGCCCTCGAAACAAGCAACACCCCGCCCCTCGGGCCCAACCGGCCTAACAAGAGGCTACCTCTTCACCTACAACACGGCCAACCTCCTCGCCTGGGGAACATGCCTTCTCTACACAGCCAGTCTCGTCCCGAACGCTGTCGCATCCAAAACCCTCCCCTCAATCTTCCCGACAACCTTCAACCCCTTGCTGCTGGCGACGCAGTCCCTGGCCCTCCTCGAGGTCCTGCATAGTCTCGTGCGCCTCGTGCGAGCGCCCTTCATCACGACCGCTATGCAAGTCGCGTCGCGACTGCTGGTAGTGTGGGGTATTCTGGTGCCGTTCGGCGGGGAGATTGTTGGCGCGAGGGGTACGCAGGTTGGTGATTATGCGTATTTGGGGTGTGTGGCTGCTTGGGGTGTGACGGAGGTGATTCGGTATGGGTTCTTTGCTATTACGCTTTCTGGGGGCAATGTGCCTGGGTGGTGGACTTGGTTGCGGTAAGTTTTGAATTCTGGGGGTTAGGCGGTTATTTGTCGGAGGGGTTTTGCTGATATTTGCTCTAGGTATAACACTTTCTATGTGCTGTACCCGATTGGTATTACCAGCGAGTGCACGTTGATTTTCAAGGCTCTGGGTCCTGCGGGTGAATTGAACCCGTTGTTCCAGTACTTTTTGATTGCTGTGCTGGTTATCTATGTGCCTGGTATGTTTATCATTGGATGATGGGGATAGATTGAGACTGTCGAGTGGGTGCTAATTCTTTATAGGCTCTTATATCCTGTACACTCACATGATTGCCCAGCGCCGCAAGGTTCTCCGTGGCAAGAAGCGTGCTGATTAGATGTGGTATCATCATGCGTTTGAAGAGTCGAGTACATGAATCAAGTATCGGTAGAGAGTGTGACAAATCATGAGGTCTGATAGGAAGGGATTTTTTCGAGACAAAATTACTTGTAATTATATAGAATAGGGTTGGGTTTAAGGAACCAGACCAAATGAGGAGAATAAGCTAATGAATATATGATGGAAGTCAAATCATCGAGACCATGGGAATGCGATACTCTCCTTATCTCTACACAATGGCCTTGTTAATATGGAAGCATAATTTGACTGCAACAAGCGTGCTTGGCGAAGCTTATCTTGTCTGATGGCAATGCATAGCGCAGAACCATTGAATCCCTCATCAACAAGAACTAAAACTATGATCTATTCCAATTCTATCGATTCATGCAAACTTGCACTCTATAGTTCTCGCATAATATCTGATACAGCCTTTGCAGCAAACTTCCTCCGTTCACCTTCAGGCAGTTCCGATCCCATATCTAACGTAACATTAGCATCAATATCGTCAAGTCACTTCTACAATGATCCAAATTAAACTTACCTCGAATAGCCTGCATCCGCATCATAAGAGTCTCAATCGACTCGACCTTAAGCTCCCCATCCGCATCATCACCATCAATATCACCTTCATCGCCATCACCGCCACCACGCTCAATGGCCATCCTTAGACCCATCATCTCACGCTCCAATTCTTGGACCTCATGACCGAAGCCACTGGTATGCGATGATCTCCCGAATCCGAGAAGTTCTTCCTCGAGATCATCAGCGAAGTCGAGATCTGCATCGTTGAGATCGTCTGCACCTCCGGATGTACTCCAGTCATGCGTCTCCAGTACTTCCTTGATGCGCGGCATACCTTCATACTCTATCCACGATCCAAGGTTAGTCTCAACATAATTTCAAATCCCGGAATACGGAAAAAAATCCCAGAAACCCCGATATAAGGAACGTCGTCTTACCTCCAAACTTATTCCTCGTCTTCTCAACACCCTGCTCGGCAGGATCCCACTCAACAACCTCCCATCCAAAAAGATCCAAATCAAACAACTGATCCTCCCACCAACCCACCGAGAACGGCGTATCCGCAGCACCATCCCCCAAATCCACATCATCAACCCCCAACTCCAACGCCCTCTCCTCATCCGGCGCAGAACTCTTCGGCGCAGCTGAACTCCGACTCCCCACCAAAACAAACACACCAACTACATCTCCATTCCCGCCCCGCTCCTCATCAATACAGCTCTTCACAGCGCCAACGTCGCGCATTAAATCTAGTACCGCGCGGACATCTGCGCGACTCGCGGGGTCTGTGTCTGCGTCCGCGGTAGACGGGGTGGCCTGTTTAAGCTCTGGACTGCGTACGCAGACGACCAGAGCGCCGACGGCGTCGCGGACAATCTCGGCTTCTTCACTGAGGAATTCGGTGCGCCATTGGCCTGGTTCGGATGTATTCGTAGGATCTGCTGCCGCGGGTGCGGGGGTCTCAGTTGTGAGGGGTATCTCGTCGACCCATAGCGGGATCTCTGCGGAGTAATATTTCGTATCTAGGCGGAGTGGACTGTGGGTTGTATATCCGGCGAAAGAGGTTGTAGTTGTAGTGGTGGGTGTGGATGTATTATCAGAGGGTTGGGGCGGGGTTTGCGATGGGGATTCTGAGGTGGAATCGTGTTGTGGGGGGTCGATGACTGGTACACCGGTGAGAGAGTGGAGGAGAGGAGGGATTATTGAGAGCGATTGGGATGTTGGGGTGAGAATGAGTAGGCGTCTTGGGTTGGCGATGTGCTTGGATTGCGACTTGGATGGCTCCACGGGGGAGATGCCGGATGCCATGGGGGTCATGGTGAGATATGTAGGGCGTACTGCTGCTATAGAAGGTGGATTTTGAGAGGGCACGTTCTTTCCGCTAGCCACGGGGTAGTAAAGGATGAGTCTAAGAGGAAGACGGTGGTTGTGAGGGTGGGGTGTGGTGTTGAAGTTCGGTCCCCGCGTCACCAGAAAAAAGCTGCGGGGATGCGAAATTAGTGGCCGATACGACTATCGCTATCAGATCCAGTTGAGCCATAGAGACAATCTGCTACAACACTAGACATATCTATATCGTACAGCTCAACTCATTCGAATCCATTGGCATTATGATCTATTTTTAAGCTCGTTCGCTAGAGACCAACGCGGTGACAGCGCTATGCGGGGCTATCATTCCGATCACAAACTCAGCCCACCAACAGACCAAGCCAGTCTCTGCCAACAGTCGATATCCAGATTCGTATCGGGTATTCATTCGGATCGGATGATAGAGAGTCATGAGGTGATAATCTTCCAGCCCAGCCTCAGCAAGACGGACAAAAAGCCCGAGAAAAATTTCCACTTTTCAAGAAACCCTGAAAGAAAAAGAGAAAGAAAACATATGACCAACGCCAACCACAAGGGAAAATCTCCAGGCCTTAAACTGCGCTCTCGTCTGGTCCCATCACATTCAACCTCTCCGCTGGCCGCGCGCACGCTGCACGGTAGCCTTACCACGGGCGAGACCGACACCGCGGCCGCGCTGGCCTCGTGAGCGGAACATGGGGGCGTTCCTATAGAAAAGAAAAGAATTAGCGATCGTTGACAATAAGGCACGGGATGGCTGATACAAGCCATCATCACTGGGGTACAATCTCAACCTACCTCAGCATGTCCGGCACGATGAAGAACCGCACGTGGCTACCCCGAATATAGACCTGGTCGAGGTGAGAGACACGGCCATCGCGAGCTGTGACGGTGATATCCTTGAGTTGCACGTTCATGTTGTCCTCAGCTTTTTGGAGAAGGAAATGGTTAGCGAATGACTCCAGCAATTCGATGATTCAACCCAGCTTGAATGCCATTGTAGAGCTTCCAGCCTAAGACTCAACCAGAATCGAGAAAGGTAATATTGCAGGTACACACCTTCCAGCAGCTTCCCCCGGTAGACGACACCAGATGTGATCTCGAGGGTCACGACGTGGCCCTGTAATGACAAAAGTTAGCGGTCTGCGCGCGCACTCCAACAAGCTCGTCTTGCTCGCGATATTCCCTCCGATCGGATATCCAGCAGAATATTTGCAGATGACGGGGACGCATAACGCACCTGCGCTTCGTTCAGGAGCTTGATCGGGATACCGATCGTGCTAGTGAGCTTGCCCATCTCGACGGCGGAATGTGCGACACGGAAGGAGAATCGGTTCGGAGAGGCGAATAAAATATGTCAATGGTAATCACACGGAGCTACTTGAACGCGTAGCAACAGGTGAAGGTATCGAGTAGGACGGCGTTGGATGGTGGGGGAGAAATAACGATGGAAGAGAGATCACCGGAGGTCGCGAGGCGGCGAGTTTTGCGGCTAAGCTCCTCCTTTCCGCTTTGGGCCAAGAACTTCTTGAATTCTACACTCCAACTCTCTCTTTCTCTCTACTACATATACCACCACACCACCCTCATACACCAATATCGCAAATGGACATACAATAAGACCACACAAACCCATTCTCGCAAATACTCACCGTCCACTCCCTCACCATGGCCGGCTCCCCAAACTCCAACCTCCGAGGCTTCAACCACGCCGTCCAAACCCTCCTCAAACAACCCTCCCAATTCCTCCCACACCTCACGATCCCAACATTCACCCACCTCCCCGAGAACCTAGGACCACACCTAATCAAAACCTCCAACCAAAAACATAACCCCGAAAAATCACCCCGCACCCCAACAATCCGCGCCCTAGTCCTAGACAAAGACAACACCCTCTGCCCGCCCAAAACAACAACCTTCCCACCCCAAATCCTCAATAAACTCGCCCTCCTCCGCGAATCACCCACATCCCCCTTCCAACAATCCAAAAACCCACACGGCATCCTAATAGTCTCCAACCGAGCCGGCAGCCACCCAACCTTTGACCACGAAGTCCAAGCCCTAGAATCACAACTCTCCCACCTCTCCATCCCAGTCTTCCGACTACCCGCGGGCGCAGAAAAGAAGCCCTTCTGCGGAGACGAAGTGGTGCAGTGGTTCAAGGATCGGGGCGTGATTCAGTCGCCGAATGAGATTGCCGTTGTGGGGGATCGGTTGGGGACGGACGTTATTATGGCGGGGATGATGGGGTCTTGGAGTGTTTGGTGTAAGGAGGGGGTTTTGAGGTTGGGGAGGAAGGGAAGCCTGAGAGGAATGTTTTGGAGAAGATGGAGGTTTGGATTGAGAGGTTTTTGAGGGAGAAGAAGGGGTGTGTTGCTCCATTGCCGAAGGGGTGGGAGGAGTGAGTGATATAGGATTGAGCATGGTGATGACTTGAGGATATAAACGTGGGGGGGGGGCATGTTGATGAATGTACGTTAGTGATATACTGGCATCGTGGTGGACTATTCTCTGTATGATATTGGGTCTTTTGTACTATATACCACAGCGAAGCGAAAGCATATATACCCATCAATTTACAAAGTACTGGAACAAGGTATGCAAAAAAATGAATTGATTCCAAAGCTAGCATCGACCTGCCACATTCATGTATCATCGAACCGACATCGTCCCCCAGCTTCGAGTGGTTATCCCGCGCAGAGACTATTTCAACACTGCGCAGAGCCACAAGTAGGGTGGCAGCAGTCTCCACCATCAACGGTGTAAGAAGAAATGACCACACACCAAGTTCGACTCGAGACGGGAAAAGCCAGCATAACCACAAGGACAAAGATCGGGGACAGAACATATCCGTCCGGACCAAGTGCCCAAAATCAAGACCAAAAATTCAGAACAATGAGAATGAAAATAGAAAAATGAAATTTGAGGGGGGCAAGGAGTCGCCGTCCAAATGTCGGTCTGTTTGGCATAACCACGTAAAAAAAGTAAACCCCTGACCTGCGAAATGAAAAAAAGGTAAAAAAGTAAAAATAGCAGGCCAGGGTAAGAAAAAAGAAAAGGAAATGTGATCATCAAAAGATCAAGAAGAAAAATCAGGAAATCAAGCGGGACATCCGGGAAATCCATCGAACATGAGAAGAAGCCAAAATGGCGAAGAAGAAGAAGAAAGGCAGAAAAAACGCTTCAGGACCGGCCCCAGAATAGAAAGGGTATTGATACAAACACAGAACAGAGAAGGGATATATGTCACGCAATCAAGAAAAACAACAACCAGTCCAATCGGATTTGCTTTCCCGGCCTTCGCCAGCGAGACGCGTTGTCCAGTGTGAGTCCGCATGTGCGTCATGTAGAAAAGACGGGAGGAGACTCGACTCCTAGACAACAAGGAACACTCCGAGATGGAACCAAGAACCCATCAATAAAAGCGCCACAAGCACTCCAAAGGCCGTGAAACGTCAAGAACAGAGTCAAGGGAAATGAACATCAAAATCGGGGGTGATAGACCCTTCAAGACCCAGTCGGCAAGCCGTGAGAGTTGATTTCATCAAGGTTGACCATGCCATGGGAATAATCCCCTAGCGTCGGAGAGGCGTGCCCAGACATGCCGTGCATCGGTAGCTCAAAGCTCGGAGCATCATGAGAGACCGTGTAGTTCACATTGTGTTTGGAATACATGTCGTTCATGGAAAGCCCATCCTCGACAAAGCCTGATTGCTGATCGTGCGCAAATCCATACATATCGGAGGAAGCGTGAGACATGTTGGACAAAGGCGGAGAGTGATTGGCAATCATGGGATCGGCAGGGCTGACACCGGAGTACGGCGAGGCAGCGTGTGATCCAACGGTCGAGGAGTCGGATGGCCCCGTAGCGAATTGAGGAACATTGAACTGAGGAGCCAGGCTGGCAACGGGGGTAGAATCGCCATGAGCAGCACTGCTGAACATTGACGGACTAGCAAAGTCGGATGGCGACCCGGCGGTTGTTGCAGACATGGGGTTCGTGCGGAAGTCGAGGCCATAGCTTTCAGTATCGATGCGGAGATCCGTAGGCAGAGCGTGAGCTGACTGGGGAACTGGTGCGTAGATGCCAGCCTCGGTGTGGTTGAATGGAGCCGGGGTCTGGGGCATGTGGAATGAGTGCATGGGAGCTTGAAGCGCCGAAATATCAACCGCCACGGGTACAGAGCGACTTCGTTGGCGCTTGTGGCCACGAGCAGCAGGCATGTTGAAGCCCAGGTGGTTGTGGTCCTGGTAGAGGTTCAAGTAGGCAGCAGGGGCAAAGTGGTTGGGCTGAGAGGCAGGTCGTTGAATGAAGGGGGGCGACATGGCAGCGGGAGCGGCGGGGACAGCAAAGTTATTGTTGTTGTTATATGCCAGGCGATTCTGGAATGACTCCAAGGACACCAGCTTGGCCAGCTGGACGCTCAGTACCTTGGGATGGCCTCCCAAGTGGTGAACCATGATCTGACTTGCTTGTTGCTCCTCGGTGAAATCACCGCACTGGTAGAAGCCTCCAGAGTTGGAGGAGTCCATGTAGAACAGTGGGGGACGGTTAAGTTCCACCACCAAACCACCAGGCCGAGAAGGGGCGCCATTCGGCCCTGGATTCGGGTCTCCGGTCTCCAGGGTGATGTTCTTGATGTATGAGAAAGGGTACTCGATTTTGTAACCAGCGGAATCGTTGTTGATATAGTATGTCATGCAGGCCTTGTCGGGTGAGTAGAAGATGACAAGGTCCATGGCATTTTGGCCAATGCGCCGCCATGTACCGACCGTCAATGAGCGGCAGGTGAAATGAGAAATGACTGCAATGGGTGTTAGTCAAGAGAGACGGTGACAATGGTGGTCTGCAATCAGCTCTCGCATTACATACCGACTTTCCCAGATGGGTTGGCTTCATTCGGATACATGCCAGGGGTTCCATAGCCTGCAGCGCGTCCAAAGGGGTCACGGGTTCCAGGCTTGCTCGGGTCGAATTGCATTGCAAGATAATGGCGCATTGACTCGGGGATAGAGTCGCAACCTTCACCGGTTTCAATGCTCTTCTTGGCGAGCATCTTGATTTTTGCGCGACTATCAAAAAAGTCAGTATGATATCTCTCGATTTGGAAAACACCTCTCATCAACCGAGCGTATAGAGTGGAGAAGCCTACCGATTCTGGAACCAGATTTGTACAGATCGCTCAGTCATGTTGATGTCTGTGGCGATGCGCTCCCGGGTAGCAGCAGTAGGCGTAGGGTTCTTGTTGAATTCGACCTCGAGAGTGACGAGTTGATCTTGGGTTGCCCGTTGGCGCTTGTTGTTCTTCTGCTGTTGGGTCAAGGTGCTCTTGCGCGGCGGGCGACGAGTCGCGCTGCTCGAAGCGGCCGTCGTGGCATTCGAAGTCGCAGGAGAGGGAGTAGAGGCTGGAGGCGAAGAGGACGCATTGGTCGCGGGGGCCGCGCCCGAGGGCTCGGATAGTTCTGTCAACAAAGACATGTTTGCGAGTCTCGAGATGCAATAGGTGTGATTTGAGGGATATTCCAAGTATCGGCCGTGTGTTTGTGGAAAGATGGAAATGCTTTTTAGTGGTTTTATTCGATTCTTCCAAAAGAGAAGTCGATGCGTGACGATCCGGCCGACAAGTGGAGGAGATGTGGGTTGCGGAAAATGACAGGATAGTCTTTCAAATCCTTTTCTCTCGAAGCAGCGTCAAGCGCGAGAGGATAAATCAAAACAAATGAATGGAAGCGCTCCGGCGAAGTGAGATCAGAACGAATCGCGTTCGATGATATCCACGTCAGAAACGGGGGTGGTTGGGTGGTAAGGGCGCGTCGCAGATGCGCCCTGGGAGGGAGCTGGGAAAGGAAGGTGTATATAAAAAATAAATGGCTGGCCTATGCAGCTCCAATAGAAAGGGTAGTTGATAACCTCCTTTCTCGACTGATCAAAGCCTGTTACGACTGGAGGGAGAGAGAGTCGATGGTGGGGGAAATCGCAATACCCGTGGTTGAATCGATCAACGGGGGGTGAGAACGGTCGGCTTCGGGAGGGAAGCGGTTCGTAGGAATTGAAAAAGAGTGAGTTCAGAAAGAGCGGTACGGCCGTCGTGAAAGAGTGAAACGAGCGACCTGGCAGTTCAAAAGAAAGGAATGGGGGGAAGGGGGGGGATAGAGAAAAAGGGAATGAAGACACACGCAGAGCAAAAGGGAAGAAGAGAGAGAGAGTCTCGAGCCCATTCTTCGGAGGAGGAGGAGCGGATCAGGAGATGCTGACTACGCAGACACAACAAACCGAACCCAAACGGCCCTTTCACAGTTTACCACCAAAGACTATGGCAGATTTACTTTTAGCTGGTCTAGTCGGCTTAGTCGGTTTAGCTGCTGGTACTATTGGCACCTCGTGGGGCGAAGTCTCGTCGCTTCCAACCCAAAACACTCCCGACCTCGAATAATCTTTAGCCTAATCACTAGTTTCTAGTACTGGGGGGCCCCCTAACTAACTTCAGTAACTAATCTTTCCAGGGCTGCGATGCACTTGAGAACTTGAAATCGAAACCCAGGAGATCCCCGTGATCTCACTTTTCCTGTTTTAGTCCGAAATACGTGGCCTACCGTATTATTTCGGTCAGATTAGTGCATACTACTCCGTAACTAGACTTCGTATGTATGTACTTGCTTTGTTTTTGGCCCCTGCATCTGCCTGCATACGCCCAAATCGCATCACAAGGGGAAGCATTGGGCCCTGGAACGAGGGGATTTCTCTGGACCAGACGAGGGGGAGGAAGTTTCGCATGTTCCCTTGCTCAACTCGGTGCGGGTTTGTGTGGATCGTACAGGCAAAGGAACTTGTCCCACAGTTGGTCTTTGTACCACCTATCCAGGGGAACGATTCTTGAAGAGAGACCCAGAGGGGGGTATCATCCCCGTCATGACTTGTGCCACGGCCATTGTGGCGCTTCTTCAACCAGAGAAAGAGAACTCTCTGCTTTTCTGTGTCTTTGATGTCCATAGTGACCGTAGTCTCGACCACCAAATCGCCCTGATCGTCACCAAGTGCCGCCGAACGGCAACTTACACGTGAGATCCGCGGGGAATCCTGAAACCTGAAACACTGGGCGCTCGTGACGGTCGACGTGTCGGTTCTCTTCCTTAGTCGATGACGGGGGAGGCCAATTGACAGGATCAAGACAAGATCCAGAGTATGGCGTACTGTATGGACAGTATGCTCTCTCCGTACTGACTGCATGGAGGTGCAGCAGGAACATCCCTGGATCCAGTATTCTATTCCTGTCGTATCTGTTCCGTCCTCTTCGTGCTCCGCCCTCCGGAGTCCCAAGCAAAAGGCTTTCCCCCTTCCAGTTCCTCGGGAGGCTACTTGCCCCTGATTCGAGAACGTCCAAGCCACGGCTCCAGTAAGCGCCACCGTTGGACTCCCACGGCTCCAGGGGCTGATCCGGGAGGAACGGGCCAATAGGCGTACAAGTCAGACTTTGGACCACAGCGCCCCGAGCCTCCAGCCAGGAACAACATTCAACGACCAATTCAGGTACCCGCCTCGGGGATAATTATGATTGGGCCTTGCCCTGCAATGACAGGTCATTCCACTGTCCAGAGACTCCAGACCAGACATGTCCCCCGTGCTGAACAAAGGCTCAGAGCCGAAGAGAGAAAAAAAAATTCAGGGACAGGGTGCAACCTGCTGCTAGACGGGGGCCTGGCCAGTCTCATTCTATCATCCCCCCGACCTTCGCCCCCTCTCAGTCAGTCTGGTAAATGTTCCGTGCGCTTCCATGTACTCCCCCCATTGGCCCGATCGGACCGACTCGGTCAAGGATGCTGGGATTGGGTTCCTTGTACCTGCAGCGCACGTCGCACTGGTAACTCCGTGCGCCCGCGTCTTCCGTGCCATCCGATGTCTTGAGAGGGCGTTACGGCAGTGCGTTGGTGAGTGCCGAGAAACTGACGTTATGTACACTGACGCCATCGGTAGATTGTACAGTCTAGAAAAAATATTTTAGTGCAAACACCCAAGAAGGTCGAGGAACAAGCAAATAAGGAAAACTGTACCACCGCGAGTCCGTTGCTGGCTCAGGGATCAAAGGTGGGGACTGGACCAGAGTCGATGTGGATTCGAATCCTGGCTTCTGGTCGGCTTCCTAATTGGGATTAGTACTGTCTGGCTTGTGTCTCTGACTCTCTTGACTGCAAGGCTCGGAGTCGTATACTTGAGTACACACCTTGTGACTTTGCGCGACTCGTACGAAGTCGACGGTGGTTGCTGTTGAGAGAAGCTTAATATACGTGCACGTGAAATCTCTCCCTTCAACCTTATCTTTACCTGCTTGTCATGTGCAAACCCCGGAGCCTATTGCCACCGGAAAATATATTATTAGATCAGTTCATACAACCTGGGCCAAGGATAACTCTCAACATATACTTTGGGTATGTCAGTCCTATTTGCTATATTCCGGTGCGATCCATGTAGGTATTCAACTCCTCGGGCGTGAGACCAGCATCAAAAAATAAAAAGACAAGACTCTCGATCCAATCTCTTAATGAACCTCTCCGAGTCCACTGTATTCCCATTCCTAAGCCGCTCATCCTGAATATCCCAAATACGCTGTGTCAACTGCATCGCCAGATTCCGTTGCTGCTCACGATAATAATTCGTCATAGACTCATGCTTCTCCCGTACCCAAGCCCGATCTTCTATCGTAATCGCCTCTCGAGCCGCAAGATAGAACGGCTGCGGTAGAGATGAATCAGGACCAACCCCCGTAGTGAGCTGATCCATAAGATCAAAACATGTGCGGGTCAAGTGTTGCACCCGTGGAGACCGAGTGTGATCTTGAAACACGCGACGCGCAAGTAGGAGGTGTGCAGTCCAGTAGAAGCATTCGGTAAGGATATCCAGAGGCGCGCGTATCCCTTCCTCGGGTGTACGTCCCGGATAACCAGAGCCCCATGCACGAAGATCATTCTCCAGCGCGTACGCCTGACCGAGAAGATCATTGGTAGGCGCACAGTGTTCCAATCGATCATCCACGTCGCAGGCGAGATGTGAGATTCGGACCAACAAACACATCAAAGGCTGAGGACAGCCGGTCATCTTGTGGAATGACGGCTCGGTATGATCCCATGTCTCGGCATCTGGCAGATGCAGAACAAAATCTCTGGGCGAAAAGGGGCGTCGCTGTCGGGAAATAGCAAGCATCACGTCAACCATGGCAAAGCGTTGCACTGTCATTCGACCGAGTAAATTCCGTGGTACTCGACGAAAGTGATCTAGAATATCCATGAGGAAAGCAGCACAGCGGATATGCGGTTCTAGAACGCCATCGGCTGATTGAGCTACTATGACACCCTGGAGAATAACGGCGGCGAAGAGTGCCTCATGATCAGGATTGTTTGCCGTTACAATGGTTCTGGGTTCACATGTGTCTCCAGACTCGATTAGTTGGAGATTCTGGCCAATAGTTCGTAGCATTCGTTGCTGGTGTCGTGCTGCTGTTGATACATCGACTAAGCCAAAGTTCAACATGTGCTCCGTAGCTATGCAGACGATAGTCTCGAGTAGAACAGGTGATGACAAGGCAGTGAAGGATAATTGCCGGTATGGATTATCCGGGCCATCGAGGGCTGGAATGTTTGATGAAACGAGCCTCACATCTAGGACAGTTCACGATCAGCTAGACTGTCATAGCAGGTCTTGACAAAGATTAGGAACATACAGTATTCCCATGCAAGTTTGTCTTCATCAGAGCGAAAAAGATCAGTCAATAATACCGATGGAGAGCTGCGGGGCAATTCCACACTATCTCGATGTCTGTTGTTTCGAGGTCTGTGTCTTGACAACATCGGTCTTGTCTGACGCACCCATCTTAGCCCGGAAGGATATTGACAATCCAGGCCTCGACTTGAGCAGAAAGAACATAGAGGTTGCTTCTCATCGCATTTGTAATGCTTCTTGCGACACTGGAGACAGCCTACAACGTCGAGTCAGTGCATGTATATTTCCCATAGTTAATTAGAGCTCAGGTACCATTTCGCGATCGTGAGAAACGCTCCTCCGAGGTCATTCCTTTGAGGGAAGATACTCAACCACACTGTAAGGATGAATACGCGCGTCTGCCTGGATAATTGCACGGAGAGTGTAGTCCGTTGCTATCAGTCACTGTCGTCATGAACATTGCCCCGCTTATTGAGAGCCCGATCACATGATACGGAACCACCCGATACAATCGGGACTTTATTTCTTGAGAAAATAGTAGGAGTGTGAATTTGAAGAGATAGGAAAAGCATTCGTTCAAATCGTAGTTTCTGAGTTGCAATTTCGAGGTTTTAGGACTTAATTTTTCGCTAGATTTCTTGCAATGTATGGCGAGTTCACGCCGCAGAGAACCACTTCATTCTCTCAAAGCTCCATCTAAATGAAATAAGAAATAAAACATCCGACGAGCAAAAGTATTGATCATCAAGAATTAAACGAAATTGTGAAGGTCTGTCCAAGCTATCTGAGTGGCGCTGCTGATGTCCCGATCCATATGAGTCTTGACTCGTCTCACTTGCGTAGTTTCTCGATTTTTAAGTAGCGTCTAGATGCGAGGTACAACCAGGATTAATATAATCATGAGAATAGCAGACAGCCATATCTGGGGTTTATGATTATATCAAGGGAAATGAAAAGAAGAGGGGGGGTAAACATGCAGGAAACTTCTGGATTACAGACCATAAGAGCAGGATGCTCTGATAAGGGATTAAATGTAGGTTTTACGGATACTCATGAGTACTAGGATATTCATACTTGGCAATAGCAAGTGTTCCTTCAAAAATAAGATGACACTTTGTGATTAACTACCACCTAATTAGAAACCGTGCATCGTTGATCATAAAATTAGTTACGAAAATGGCAAAAGTAGCTATTTCCCAAGGACTTCTTCCACGACCCGTGAAGCTCGGTCAACAATCGTCTCTATCTCCTCCTTGGTGCAGTTGTATGGCGGGGCAAAGCAGATATGATCACCATTGATTCCATCTATACCCCCGTTTCCAGGCATCAGAGAGATGGAATATTCCGGCTTCAGGGCAGCTTTATGAATCTTCCAAGCCACAGACTCCGATGGGGGATACGGCTCCTTTGTTTCTTTGTTTTGAACGAATTCGATCTAGAAATCATGTCAGTATTTCTCAAATATCGTAAGAAAAAACGACCTACCGCCCAGAAGAGCCCTCTTCCGCGGATATTCCCAACGTGAGAGTTCTCTCCAAATTTCTGATTGAGGAGCTGACCGAGATACTTGCCCATCTCTCGAACGTTGGCAAGTAAATTATCCTCTTGAATAATCTTTTGTACCCGGCAAGCCGCAGCACACGAGATAGGGTGGCCTTGGTAGGTCTGGCTATGAGAGAAAGCTCCCGTGCCTTGCGTCAAGGTGTCCACAACGTGTTGATTCACCAGGAGAGCGGCGATGGGAGCATAGCCAGCACCAAGTCCCTTAGCCATGGTCTGTAGGTCAGGAACGACATCTTCCTGCTCCCATGCGTGTAGGGTACCAGTTCGACCCATACCGCTCATCACTTCGTCCAAGATCAATAAAGCACCGTGTCTCGCACAGACTTCTTTCATAGCTTTCAAGTATCCTGGAAGGGGAGGTACGCATCCCAATGTCTATTTCGTTAGCTTGAGGTTGACCCGTCATCGAACAGAAAGGTAAACTCACAGTGCCGGTCACCGTCTCTGCAACGAATGCACACACAGTATCTGGACCCAGCTCCTGAAACTTGTCCTCTAGTTCCTGGGCAAGCCTAGCAACGTATGCCTCGACAGTCTCCCCATCTTGCATTTCCCGGTAGGGATAACACTGCGAGACATGGTGGACATTCTTCGCTAAGACCTTCTCGTAGAGGGCGCGGCGGCCAATATGATGGCCCACTGAGAGAGAACCGAGTGTGTTTCCATGGTATGACTGCTTGCGAGCAATGAAATTCATACGCTGTGGCTGTGGAACGGGCATTTCCATGTAATATTGCACGGCCATCTTGAGGGAAGCTTCAACTGCTTCGGTTCCTACGGTAGGCGACAACGTGTTAGTAAATTCAAAAATAAAGTCATGTAATCCTAGAGAGGTATACCCGAGCTCACGATAAAGGCGCGCGACATTTTTCCCTCTGTAGAGTCCACCAGAATCTTTGAAAGTTCCTCGGCGGCGCTGTTAGTGAAGTAAAGCGAGTAACAGTACGGCACTTTCTGCAACTGCTCCATAATAGCTTCATGCACTCTTTTGTCACTATGTCCAAGACAAGAGACAGCAGCGCCACATGTGGCGTCCAGGATCTCTTGACCCGAATCGGTTATCAGATAACTTCCCCGCCCTCCGACTATATTCAATGGCGGTTGACGAAGCTGATGATAAAGAACAGAGCTTTGGCTGGGAGAAGGCCCGGTTTGCTTCGGGCATTCCAACGCTACCGGCTGCACTGGATCAGCCGCATCTGGTGTGTAGTCTCCCATGATGTATTGAAAGGAAAATAATTTCTGAATATGGGACAATAAATAATAGTTTGAATTCGAGTTTCAGCCCGGGAAGATTGCTGAGGGAAAAGAGATGAGATGTTTCATGGAAGGGGGAAGCCCCATACTTATATTCGAAAACCTAGTCCGTTTTACAACGCGAGCGCCTTTTGATCTCATAATGAAAACATGTGGTTTGCGAGTCAATTTCAGAGTATGGGTGCTCAATTGCTGCTTATCGGACAAGGAGCTATTCCTAAAGGGGAAATCTTTGTCGGACCCACACAAAGTGACAAAGTTAGGCTCGTCCGTCAAATCAGATGCAACAACAGACTAAATACCGGAGGAGCTTTGCTTTTTTATCATTGAGTTCGGTCCAGATAGCGATTATCTCCCCGCACCATATCACTCGAGGTATGGGGAGGGCCTAAGAACAGGCGTTTTTCTTCCAGAAGCAATATATTGCTTGATAGCCAATGATAATCACTGCCCTTTCTCACTCGGAAAAGGAGTCCTTCACTAGCAACCCGATCTATTGCTTTATTGGAGTGTTATCCCGGGAACGAGAGTCGTACAGACACAGAAGGGCTCCGGAGTAACCAAATTCCAGAAGCTGCGTGGTGCGGCACATATTTAAATCCGAACCCGAACGCCTGGCATCTTTCTTCCAAGAGGTAGTCTCCCTAGACAGGCGACTGTCACAGCATATGAATGCTGCCCTCAAAACGCCATTCACTCGAAGTAATTGACCGTGAGTTACCTGGACCTGGATACTACGGATGGTTAGAATTGATAAGGAGTTGACAGGTATCTCTACATGGCGGAACAAGCCCCGCTTCGAGTCCTCCTCATCGTCTCGGACAAGAATACATACTGGGAACAGTCTTGGTCTGCTTCGGAAGACACATGTCTAGTCGCTCTTGAGGTCCTCGAAGACAACAATTTACTGGAACCCACCGACCAACCTCAAGTAAGGCTGCTGGCAAAGCAAAAGTGGGGAATTCGTGTGTTCCTTGTATTTGATATCTGGAATACTTGCTATGATCCTGCCACGGGACGTCTACCGGCACAAAACAATCTTCCCGTTTCAATCGTTCGGCTAGGTCGAAAAACGCAGGCCTACCCGGCCGGCCCTCAAATACAGAACAGAGTGAATAAAGATATTGCCCAAGCTCACAATCTCAACGGTCCAGGTAGCCTCCCACCATTTGTTATAGATTATACCTTTGGACCACCGGAATATCTCAACCCACGAGATCCTTCCTTACTCCGGTGATCTCATATGCCATTGTTTCGTGTCAGCAGATATGGTTGAGCGTCATCGTTGTATATTCACAGGACTCTACCCCATCATATGGTTGCTGTGATCCAAAAGCGAGCACCCGTCAGGAGTTACTTGCGATAGCGGATGTCATTCCTGTGATGTCTGTAAGAAAATCATTTTAACCGTATTTCTGAATATTGAGTTCTATGTAGCCCCTTCTATTTCTTTTTAAAAGGAATTGATAGGGAGCCTTCTCCAAACAACAAGAGATCTCTTGGGCACTAGTCACTATATCGATCCTACTTCCTGGCACTAACATTGCACCAAAGCGTCCCCAGGTTCCTAATGTACGGTAAAATAATGTATTTACGGTAAAGCAAGGCCAATCCAAAATATATGGTCAACCTAGGAATGTATTTATGGGGTGTATATTTTCGAAAATCTTATTTCCAATCTAAATGACATTGTAGTATAGAATAACAAGAATTGTTCAACATGTGTGCAATGAATGTAAATGAGTGTAAGACGGTCGTAGATGAGAGATTTTGGTCAAATATTAGACAACGACGACGGTGCGGTTGAGTGCCTCCAGGAAAGGATATTGCGAAGCCTGAATTTCAAAGGATTAGCAAATTTTCGCCAGTATGTTTGTATGAAGTATAACTTACCCCAATCAATGTAGCATGAGCAACATTAATCTGAGCATTGCCAGCAGTAAAGCTGGAAGGCACGGTGACAGTGAAGTTCTGGTAAGGAGGCGTTGGAGATTCATGATACTCGGGCTTAAATGGTCCATTATAGAGGATAGTGCCCATGAACTCATCCGGGGAAGCGCAAGCCTGAGTTGCACAGGAGGAGATACCGATGGCAACGGCCATTTCCGTTGAACCCGTCAGGCTGTTCGGACGCTGGACCTGGACAACGATGTCGCTACCCTTGGAGAGCTGTTGGCCGGCAGTAGGAAGACCAATTCCTGCGTTCTGGGCCAGAGCAACTCCGGCGAAAAGGGCAAGAGAGGCGAAGAAGTTCATTTTGTTCAGAGGAAAGATGATATAGAATAGATATTCACAATGTAGATATTAGAGTTGGGGAATGTACGCGAAAGTATGTTGCGAGTTAAGATGAAAACTATCAAGGCGATCGCAAGCTATTTATCTCTATGAAATCTTCAGGCATCTCTTGAGATCTTGCATCTTGCAACCTGACTTTTTGGAGGAGTACTGGAGGTTTCAAGTTAACCATGGCCCATTGGTCAAGTCTCAACCAGGGCTGACCGCGCTGTGAGGTGATTCACCCTTCAAGGGCAACGATCTTCAGCGGAGGTGGAGCTCAACTGCCCACGTTGTCCAATCAAACGGGTCATCTGCCTTCTTCAAGTATCCCCTGGATCCAAATTTATTGACCCTGATGCGAGGATGGGGAGTTCTTTTTTGGACCTAACTTGATCCCTTCTAAGCCAGGGATCTTCGTCTTGGCGCGGATATTAGGTGCCGGCCGGCAATAGCAAGACTGTACCAACCCCCGCCACAATTTGAAGCTTGCGTGACACCTCATGCTTACCCGACCGAGTCCGCACACGATATCACCATCGTATCGTCTTGGCTGAGGCTTACTTACCCCGACGCGTGTTGTGGATTACCTTGAGTGATTATTCAACCTCCGCCGAGAAGAGCTCGATATGGCGCATTAGCTGACCGTCAGCTAATCCGTAGTTATTAGTCCACAATTGGCAGTTGCAAAAGGACTTCCAAGACATTTCAGGCCTCCTTTCCATTTGGAGAAATATTTTTCGTCCGCCTTAGATGGTTTTATTGGGTGCAATCGACAATTTCCAAAATAGATTTACCGTCAACTTTCAGTACAGGAACTCTCCCCCTCGTCAGCCGGAGGCCCCGGGGTCGCCACTCCACCTGTAGGAAACTTGGAGAAATAGCCTCCCCACGCGAATCGTTTGCTAATGGAATCTGATCCGTAGAGTCGAGGCTGGTCATCTATGATTTTTGATAATCTGAGGAAAGTTGACACGGACTTGCCGAGTTGACGGATCGCCTTACGATTGGACTCCCTAGACGAGGGGGAACGCACTGTAACTCAAAATGCGAGGGATTGAAGAACTTATTTAGGTATAGTAGTATAATACTGATGTATTTTGTAGGGAGAATCTGGTTCTATAAGTCTAGGGTGAAAAAAGGCCCTTTAAAGGGATGTTAGACTACTTTTTTGATGGCCATAAACGCTAGTGGAGGGATAAACTAGATACAGAACTGAATACAAAGATCAAGGACATGCGGTATAATGCAAACCGTTTCGGATCAAGAGAATCTGAATAAAATGTCAGTCTGACTCATGGAGCGACCTGTGTACTCAGGAATCGGCATTTTCACAAGTAGGTCTTCACAACCCGATCCTTCTCTCGCTCCAGGAACTGAGGGAAAGTGCCCCGCTCAATCTTCCACTCCTTCAACTTTTCCATGTCAACAAACTGGGAAAGGTCGCGCATAGCGAGCTGAACATAAATAAGAGGATTTTGCTGAATTTGCTCCTTGATCTCGTCGTCTGAAAGGTAGACCACCTTAAACTCCTTTCCCGTGGCTTGAGAGACATCCTTCAAAACCTCCTCAATTCCCATCAATTGGGATGCGATCTCAATTTCCTTCTCGTTGAACTGGATGGGATCAAGGACTGCAGCGGCAGCGAATTTGCCGATATCGTTGGGGTCGACCATGGGAAGCAGTGTATCCTTCGAATACGCGGTAGTGAAAGTTCCAGTCTCGACAAGCCCATTGTACATCTGAACTAATGGGTAGAGGTAATTGACCATGAAGTTTCCTGGTCGCAAAATAGTCCAGGTCTTGAAGCCTGCATTTCGAACTTCGGCCTCGATGGCTTTCTTTCCCAAAAGAACTGCTCCGACTGGACTCTTCGGGTCCCAGTGCTTAAGTGCTTCAGGATTGTTGGTGCCAAGGGCACTTGTGTAGATGATATGCTGGATTCCGACTTGTTTGGCGATGGAAATAACTCGCTTAGCTTGCTCGATTTCGGCAGTGGGGTGGGTGAAACTGGGCGATAGATTCAAGAAAAGAGTTGTGCAGCCAGACATGCTTTTCTTCAGGCTGTCTTGATTGTCGAAGCTGCCTTCGGTGATAGAGACTCCTTGAGATTGGAGGCTCTGGGCAGCAGGGGATGTGGGGTCTCGAGTAATTGCATGGACTTTGCCATGTTGAGAAATGTGCTGAATGAGGACGCCGCCTTGATTGCCGGTGGCACCGCAAACGAAAACAACCGGAGTAGACATGGCCGTTGAATTGTGGATGGGGAGTAGAATAAGGTGGTAGATATTTTGAAGATTCTGCTTTCATGAATAGACTACAAAGGCTTTTGTATCCTTTTATATGTTTCTTCTACCACATCCAAATACTGTGACTCAATTTCTATACTGACATCTCCGCTGGCCCCCAATTATTGCGGGTTTCCGCTCAATCAGGTGCATTCTGATTGGTGCGTAAGACCACCAGTTGCGGAATTCCGCTGGAGGCTTGTCGAGGCCCCACTCTGACGCTCGGCTTCTCAACCGAGCCTTACGATGCTCTTCTGCTCTGTTCCTGCAATATCGACATTCTCCCATGCAAAGATCCGTCAAAATGGCTCGTGCCTCAGCAGCTCCACCACGTCGCAAGTCTTGTGGGGCCTGTGTGGCTGCTAAGCGCCGCTGTGATTTAGCTGTGCCGTCTTGCTCTCGTTGTCGCCACCGGGTTATCGTCTGCGAGTACCCAGGTAGACAGGCATCGGCCAGTCAGGCATCTTCCGAAGCGATGAACTGTCCTATTAGAACTTCCCAACCGGCAGATTCTCCTGTCATGCCCATTTCTATCGAGAATATAGACTTCTCTCAAACGAGTATCACGGATATACTCGCTCCCGTGGACTCAGATTGGAACTCCATGAATGGCCTACAAGCCAACTTACCTCTCAATTCTTCTTGGGATTTGCTCGTCACATCAAATTTCGAGCTAGCCATGCCGAGGACAAAACCTCTGAGACCTCTTTCAGAGATTATCGCCTCGAAGCTGCAGTTCGCAGTCGATGTTCTCAAGAATGCGCCGAGCATGATGGTCCTTGAGACTCAGCTTCCTTGGTGCCATTCACAACTTTATAAAAAGTATATGCCCAGGGCAATGCAAGGTGAATTTATGCTCTACAATAAGTTAACAGGTAATATCATAAGACTAACTGATTTCCCCTAGATGCTTATTCCTGCTGCTCCCTGTACATGTCCAGGAATGAAACCAACACACCCGTTATAATGTCTTTACTGGATGCTCGAACCGACGACCTTTTATCTACTCCACAACCGACAACACTTATAGAGCTTCTCGCCCGTGCGCATGCTCTGCTTCTCTATCAAATAATGCGTTTATTTGCCGGTGATGTTCGCTCCCACGCAACTGCCAACGCTCTCTTCGGAACACTAGAGTCTACTGTGATTGATCTCTATGGAAATCTCTATTTCCCCTCGCCCTCAGAATCTAAAGAGCTGCTTCCACTATCCATGGATCCGATAATTGAGTTTTGGGAGTGGTGGATTGTACAAGAATCGGCTCGACGGACGATACTTCTTACGTTCTTTTTCATCCAGATATACAAAGTCTTACAAGGCAATCCTTCTGTGCACTGTGATGGAAAGCTTGGAATAACGTCGCATTCATGGTATCTCTCTGCACAACTGTGGAATGCTCAGAGTGCGTTTGACTTTGCAGTGGCTTGGGCAGAAAAGGATCACTTTGTTGTTCGTGACCTCGATTTCACTGCGGCCCTAGAGAATGCCCAACCGGATGATGTTGATCTCTTTGGGCGGATGCTTATGGTCACTTTACTTGGTATTGATGGTGCGAAAGCGTGGTTCTATTCGAAAGGTGCGATAATGTGAATGGTGGATGGCACTTAAGATATGTATGATAATGAACGATCATGATGCCTCTGGTAATTCTACTAACGTACAACTATTTTCTCAACACCCAGTTGACTATCAGATAGCTAATACAGAAGCCGGGAGTCTTAATACTTGATTGATTAAGGAGAGTAACAACTGCTGGAGATTCCACCACCGTTGCCGCCCTTCTTGTTGTCTCTTCCTACCTCCAGCTTGATTTATTTGCTTGCTTCCTGTCACCCCTTATAGAGAGGACCTCCTTGCTCTGTTCCTTCTTTTATTTTATTCCTAGACCGCGAGTGTCACAGGTATATCGCTCAAACTACTTCGTGCAGTTAGCTGGCTTCTTCCACTGCTTCATTGCGCAGGCTTTTCTTCCTCTAAATGGCTCAGGTCTGTTCCATCATCAAGCATTACTGAGGATGTATTGATTGCACTCGATAGATACAAGTGCACCATAAATGAAAGATAAATGAGTGAAGGACTGATCAAAGAAAGTCGAAACGTCTTCATAAAGGAAGGAGATGAGCCAAACACAGAACATGGTTTGAACGATCTATCTCGAAATCTGTAATCTAGAGACAGGGAAAGAAAAGGAAGAAGAGTAAGAAAAGGCCGACGAGTTCTTTATGAACACGACCGATATACTGAAAGAGAAGCACAATTCAAACAGGACACGGCAAAAGGTAGGAAGAATACCCACTCATCTCCATCTTCAAAGCGGTCGCAGCGTATCTATCGTAATAAAATTGTTGCCACAGTAGCCTGATTGTGCATAGTAGAACGAGAAATACTCAGGTGGAAGCCACAATATACATGTCCATACCACCTCCGTCCGACGTATTGAAACTGGAGTCGTGGAGCCCAGCCCGTGTGTGACCATGCATAAGCTTGCATTTAAACAGGGCCATATAGAGCCAATCTAAGCCCGATAGGCGTGGAGATCTGCTGAGTGGGGATCTGGCGACGCCAGCCACCAGACAGCACAAGGACTTAGGTCGGCTCAAGTTAGTACTTGTCCGCGGATGGCGACAGTTGAAGAAAAGGCCTCGAAAGCGGAGGCAAGCTAGAAAAGCCTCGAGAGCCCATTTTTTTCATTGGTCATTATATGTCGGAAGATAAGGAAGACAGTGAAGTCACGGGTGATCTCGCGATACTCATGTCTTGTCTTCCTCACATCTCTGTGCCTCCCTTTGACTCCGCACCGGGACCAATTGGCCCAACGTATCGGGTACCTGAAGAGGGGCTGGGCTACGCGAACATCAAAAGCAGCCACAAGCGAACAGCGGGGAAGCAGCAAGTTCTTTAGCCGTGTTCATAGCCCAGCCGCTGACGGCCAGTGAGGAAGACACGAGTGGAGCACGGCAACAGAGGCGGGAACTGCCCAGATTTCGGCAGCGATCTCAGTCCAGTACGCCCTCCGATTGGCCTCGACATTGGTGGTCCTTTCAGTCCTTCGATCCATTGTTCGTCCCGGCCAACCCTAGCGCGATCGGCCTCCACAGGACAATGCCATGCTGTCTTGCCAGTGTGCTGGCGTGAAGCTGCAAATTTGTGTCGTCGACCAGCCGGCACCAATGTTGAAAGTCACTTTCCCTTATTCAAGTTAATAGTTACGGAATAATTATACAGCATGAACATGATATTGCTGAGTACAAGGTGCTAAAAGGATCAAAGCCAGCGAAGCCAAAGCGACCCGTCCCGCGACCCACAGGATGAATACAAACGAAGACAAAGTGTATAAAAAAATTACCACCGACAAGGATCCCGTATCATTACAGGATTCAGATTTTCTGACGACTCGGTGAGATCTATGACTCCGCCATAACCCGCTTTAATCGAATCTCCAATCCCTTCGCGTTTGGAGGAAGATCAGCCCCATCATCATTCTGATCAAAGTACAATCGCCAAACCTCTCGCCCATCGACGATCCCTAACTGGGAATCTACATGCTCGCGGGTGTCATCTTGTTCCAACCGGACGGCCAAAAACCCCTCCCAGCCTTCTAGCGTCACATACTGTTCATCTTTGGTCCAATCGAATGGCCCACATACATGCCCCTCGGTATCCGGACGGCCGCCCCAGCGCATCTCGTGTGTCTTCGAGTCAAGGAAGACCCAGCGTAATGTAGGTGTTTCTTCACCAGTTACCGTCACCAAGCCGGATGTGTTATTAGGCTTGAAATCCGGGTGGGTAAAGAAGCCCCCATTGAAGGGCGCCATGGTGCTACCAGGTTGTTTGGTGATATACAGCTGTAACCGAGCCAGCCGAAAGCGATTGGTTAGTAGAGAACGCATTAAAAGCTGTGACCGCTGCATAATGGAACTTACTTTTCTATCCAGGCCCACCTGAATCTGAGCATTGTGTACTTGGCTTCGAAGCTCTGGAGTGCCCTGGTCTAGCGAACAGGTAGCTACAAGGTGGCAGCGCTGCTTGCGGTTCGTATTGCGTCGATTCTCGTCCTGATCCCGGGCACCCTGTGTTGCTTCATTGAGACCAATCATGGTCGGCAGCATAGCTGCCATCATGGCGATGCCTAGTACCATTGTAGAAGGTGAGGCGAGAGGACTGTGGGACAAATATTGAACCGCGAGAATACGATTCTTGATAATCGAGATTGGGAGGAAGAGCGGACCACAGGTTCAGGGTGCCGTCTGGTGATATGCTTTGGAAGATTTTGCGACACTAGTTTTGCATACCGGCGTATAACAGCTAAATACAGATTGCCTCTCAGCTCATCTAGTGGGGAAGCGCAAATGGCATCGAGTGGGTACGATGTAAGTGGATATACTTCCTGCAGTAGTTCCGACTGCAGAAGGCATTGTAGAAATCCACTTTCCCCATCCATTTCATCATCTATCTGCAGCTAACCCAACTCATCAAGATGTGGCCCCAATTAAAAAGAGCACAGGCTCCGTTTCAGCTGACGATGGAGCCTCGATGGCTGCGCAGATCATCACGAAACACCTATACCCAGCTTAAACCCGGTCCGCCACGGACTAAAGACTGTGAAGAATAACTCGGAATTACCCATAACTCCCCTGACCCATATGAAGTATTTCTCTCGCTCATTCCCTCGCATAGCCGGGTCGTTAGCCAGAATTCATTTCCTTCTATCTTGCTGAATTGCCGCCCTCCTAATAAGACCGATCCCCTCTCATCCTTATAATCCCCTTTTTACACAATGGCTGACAGGTATTTCCTCAATTTTTTGTTCCATTTCTCGAATTGCCTCTAGATTTCCCCCTTCTAGTCCGACTCCTGTCTTCCTCACCTCATCTATCCCTTCCTCTCCCTTCCCTGGGATATATGTCCAAGACAAAGACCAAGACCAAACTCAAGCCGAGACCCCCTCCCAATCCCAATCAGAATCGCAGAAGATCCTACGGCGAAGACAAGATGGCATCAGGGGTTGAACCGGATCCTGCCACTCTACCGCTACCAGCATCACCCACATCGTCACCCATACCACCACCGACAGAAGCCGAGAAGCAAGAGCAAGCAGCACAGCCAAAGAAAAATGCTAATACCCTCTCTTCTCTATCTCATAGTCAGACTACCGCTCGCCCCGAGGGCGGCCGCAAGAACAAGACCCCTGAGGAGGAAGTCACTGGTGTTGCCGACCAGGCTCTCGCCAACGCGGGCGACATGAAGCTACCCGGTCTCTCGCCCAAGGAAGGCGATGACAGCTCGTTGAAGATCAAAATCAGTTTGAACCTCCATGCCAAGGTTCGCTTGGATCTGGACGCTCAGATCTACGGTGATATCACCATCGGTCTGCTGTAAATATCACCAGCTATGATTGGATATACGATCCGGTATGTTGGATGTGGTCCTGACGCTATGACTTAGGACGAAATAAACCAATTTTCAATTTCTACGGAATCCCACTAAGAGGATAATAGGTCCATGCTGGTGCTTGGCTTGGCCGGGAATAGCATGTCTCCAGGCTTGGTAGAGCTACCGAGGTACTGCGATCCATCTACTGTCGCAAATCGATGAATGTATATAACGGAATGACTGAAATGGATTGGTGTTAAGCCATGACAAAGATCTATTTGATGATACGATCGTCTCTTCCAGCTTTTTAGATGCCTATATGAAAACCCAGAATAGTACAATGGAGTTATTGTAATATGGATGTATGCTACCTGTAAATATGCATGTGTATCGTCTATCGAAGGCTAAAGGGGGTTTTTTGGGGAAAATTGCACACACCATATCAATGGGACGCTGAATGAAAGAGAAGCAAATGAAACATTGGCTAGCTCACAAATTTCCTTGTTCTCGAACTCTAAAAATGGACAAAGCCATTGAAAACAAACTAGCCCTGAGATTCATACTAAGGGCTAAATGGAACAAAGACAGTCTCCATATAGTTCTTTGCTCCATCGAGAAAGCCATTCTACTTCAAGTAACCTAAAATAACTCAGAGACTCCTCGGCCCTTGGGCTTAAATAGGGCTAGAACTCCCAGATTATACTAACCACCAAAACCAGGTTTACTCTTTAGCTCCAAGTCCGAACTCAAACTGCATACATATCGTCTTCCAACCACATCAAGGCAAGAGACTACAAACGACCGTCATGACTTCCACCCGCGCTAACTTGTCTCCCCTAACAGAAGATGAAATTGACCGCTTTCTGAGAATACGGCGCGAGATATGTGACAAGCTTATAAGCTGGAACGTGAATCTCATAAGCGATCCAAGAATCAGCGGAACACTTTCTGACAATCTCAGACAACTGATGGAGCAGGACTTTACTGAGCTCACAACGCTACACAATAGAATTCGGGAGAGTTGGATCATGTCAGATGCAGATCGCAACGGCTGGAACACTTGCTGGCAGACAAAGGCCGATAGGATCCGTGAGTATATGCAAACATTGACCCGAGATCTTGCTAACCCACCTGCATATTATCATCAAGCTGAGCTTGCTGAGATGTTGAGTATACTGGCAGTCTGCATTGGCCACCTGCACTATCGCAAGCAAGTTGACGAGCATGTCCGACAGATGCGAGATGCGGCACAAGAGATGAACCATCGCCGTGCCACACAGGGTTACTTTGGACCTCATCTTGGAATTGTCTGGGATGAGCTTTTTGAATTGATGAATTGTGGGTGTGACTTTTGCTGGACAGGTTACTGACTGTAAAGCTGTTCATAGAAGGTCACATGAATTTGTGTTGTCTATGTCCTTGTTGTCAAAGGTAAGTGAATGCGATTCCTGATGGCTATTCCGCTAACTTAGTATATAATCAAAGAAGGGTCCATTGATACAGCATTAGCTTTATTTTCCGTTAGTAAATACTTCGAATTATCCATGGAGTTTCAAACTTCAAGTACAGTACAAAACCCCCTCCGTAGAAATATGATATGTTGGCCTCAGGCCGCAAGGCGGTATACCATCCGACCGGGGCCTCCACGAGCCCTCCACGAATTCACTACCGCAATCGAAAGCCCCGACCAAAACCCCCCGGTCCAATTCACATTCCTCTTGCAACCCTCACAATGGTTGCGCAATCACTTAGTTCGCTCCTGCAGCGAGCTACGATTGACGATCACGAGGAGGTCCTCAAGTCCTGCAACGAGACTCTCAAGAAGTCCAAGAACGACCAGAACGCTCAACACATCAAGGCGATCGCTTTGCTCAAACTCGACCGTTACGACGATGCTTTGCGAGTTTTTAAGACCGGAGATGATGCGCTAAAGCAAGCTGCTGGATTGGAGTATGCCTATGCGCTATACAAGTGTGGAAAGCTCGACGAGGCCCTTGACGCTGTTACCAAGTCTGGTGCGGGGAGGGGTGCTAGCCATTTGGAAGCCCAAGTGGTATGAATTGAGCCACATCATGGATTAAGCTGTTGAGCTTGTGCTAATCTGTTTGTCTGGTTATTAGAGCTACCGAGCTGAGAAATTCCGTCGCGCCGCAGATTTATATGAACAGCTGTCCCAAGATGGGTCGTCGCACCACGAGGCAAATGACCTCGGAATTAACTCATGGGCTACGGATGCTCAGCTGCAGTGGAAGGGAGAAGCAGAATACGTTCGCCACGATCGGCCATCGCGGGAGGATCTCGAGTCTTTTGAGACGGCATACAATGCGGCTTGCTTGACTATTGCCAAGGGTGCCTTCGCTCAAGGCGAGGTGCTTCTTAACCGCGCAAAGAGTGAGCATCGACAATCGCTGCTTCGAGTATATCAACCCTCTAACAATCTTCTATAGATATCTGCCAAACATCAGAGGACCTGACTCCCGAAGACCGTGCCGCCGAGCTGCTACCAATTGCTGTGCAGTACCTATACGTCTTGCTTCGGCTGGGAAAGACGGAACAAGCGGAGGCTCTGCTCGAGGAGATTTCGGTAGAAGAGTGAGTGAAAACTTCCCGTTTGAAATGGCTTGATCACTGTGACCAAAACGCTCACCATCGTTGTCGTGTTCATTAGTATCCCCGAACTATCCACGAAGAAGATCGCCCGCAACAACATCGTCCTTGCTCGCCAGACCAACATAAACCCTTTCATCCTCTACAAGGCTCTCCATGAGACGCCCGATTCGGTCAACAATGACCGTCTCTTCGATTGCCAGGACAACATCCTGGTCGGCAACTCGCACGCTGCCGATCTCCTGGTCCAGAAATACGATGGTATCATTCGATCCACGAACAAGGCGCTCTCAAAGAGCTCTTGCCCCTCCACCACAGCCGGCACCAACCTCCTCTCCGTGTACAATGCTGCAGCACAAGCTGAAGGCCAAACTGGACAAAAGGCTTTGAAGAAGATCCTCCCGCTCCTTGAACGCCGGCCGAAGGATCTGGGCTTGCTCCTTACCGTTGTCCAGCTCTACGTCAACGAGGGCAACACCACCTCTGCAATCACCGCCATGGAACGATCTCTACAGGCCCTGGAGGAGTCCATCTCCGAAGCAGACCAAGATGCTCGCTTCAACCCTGGCTTGTTGAGCGCTCTGGTCTCATTGTACCAGCTTGAGGGCCGGAAACTCCAGATCCGGTCTACCCTTGCACAGGCTGCCGCATACTGGCGCAAGAAGCCCAATTCTCCTGCATCTCTCCTTCGCGCCGCGGCCACCTCCCTTCTCCACTCGGACGATCGGGCGGATTTGACCACCGCAGGTGACCTGTTCAAGGCACTCTACCAGCAAGACTCCAGCGACCGCGTCGCGATCGCCGGCTACGTGGCATCCCAAGCAACTCTCAACTACTCACAGGTGGAATCTCAACTCGAGCAGCTCCCCGAAGTGAGCGAGCTTGTCGCAGACATTGACGTGTCCGCCCTGGAGTCCGCAGGTATCATGCCCTCCGCTACATCCGCCGCAGCTGCCGCCGCATTCGCCGGTGCCCGCAAGCGCACTGCCGCGGACAAGGAAGCCCGTGCTGTGAAGCGTGTGCGCAAGTCCCGGTTGCCCAAGGACTATGACCCGGAGAAGAAGGCCGATCCCGAGCGCTGGCTGCCTCTGCGTGACCGGTCTTCTTACCGGCCCAAGGGTAAGAAGAACAAGCAGCGTGCTGCTGATCGGACTCAGGGTGGACCCGTGAATGAGAAGGCTGAAGAGTCTCCTGCAGCTGTGCAGCAGAAGGCTGGTGGTGGAGGTGGAGGTGGTAGCTCGAAGAATAAGAAGAAGAAGGGGAAGCGGTAGTGGGATGTCCTGGCCAAGTCTTCTGTGAAGGCTTGGAGAGCGGTGTATTATTTCAATGCATAGATGAATATCAAGAAAAAGACTTGTGTCTGCAATGCAGAAATTAAATCTTATTGCATGGCCCAGTAACAATGTTGAATTCCCACCGAATTCACAAGAGAACCTTAAGACATGGACCATAAAGACCTAAACACAAGATATCCCATAAAATGCATCCCGAATCCCGCTCGTAACATGATCCCGTAATGATATCAGATAGAAACAAAACCATCAGCTGAACTCAGATACCCATAAAAGATATCACCATCCAACACATAAGCCCGAAAATCACCAACCCCACAATATCACATCTCCAATCATCACATCAACCCAACGGCGTCCGGATCGTCCCACACTGTCGATCATAATGATCAAAGATCATACGCATGAGCTTCAAATCATCTAGGGCATCTTCCGCGGTAGTCTTCGCCTCGACATTCGAGTCCCCAGCATCACCGACCAGATACGCATGCATAGCCAGGAACTCCTGCTCATAAGTTTCCCTAGCGGTACTCACGTACTCGGTGCGCTTCAGTCGCGGACGAGTCTGTGCATGTCCATTCACAACACCATTGCCATTGCCATTGCCATTGCCGTAGCCATTAACATGACCATTCCCAACCTTCCCATCCCCAGAATCATAAACAGCCTCCTCAACAACAACCCTAACAGCAACACCCTCCCCGCCCACACCCACACCCGAAAAATCATACAAAACACTAACACTCTTCCTCTCCCCGTACACCGTCAAATGCGCATCCCACCTGGGCACACCATCAACACCGGCCTCATACACCAACGTAAACGGCTCCGGCACACCACGACTATCATCCGTGTAATGGAACATGGCCGAGTAAAACGGCTCGATAATAGAGATATTCGACACCGCGTCCGGAAAGCCCAGACTCTCGCGGATCAGCGACAGATCGTGGCCGCCGAGCGTACCCAGGAAGAGGCAGAAGGCTTCGCGGTCGCGCGTGAGGTCCTCGTTTGAGCCGAAGATGTCGGCGAGGAGGGCGTGGATGCGTGCTGGGCGGGCTGTTGAGGAGGTAGATGGGGCGAGTGAAGATGGGAGAGCGGCATTGCCGTTGATGTATCCGGTTCCTGGAGTGTTTGGTGGCACGGGTGTTGTGGAGGGGCCGGTGATATTCCGGCAACGGGCGTAATAGACTCGTCCTAGAGATGAGAGTTCTTTTTTGAAGATTTCTGTGAAACAGGGTGCGTAGCGGCGGGCACAGCCTACGAAGACTTTTGGACCTGTAGTGGCGTTGTTTGCGTTTGCGACTGTATTGTCTGGCGAGGATCTTGCGGCGCCTTTTTTCCGCGCGTCGCGGACTCGACGGAGACCGTGGATGCTTAGGCTTAGGGGGACTTCGACCATGACGTGTTTGCCTGATTCCAGGGCGGCCAGGGTGTATTGTTCATGGTGGTCGAAGGGGAGGAGGTTGATTATTAGGGTTACGGCTGGGTGGTTGATGACTTCGTCTGGGTTTGTTGTTGTTTGTGGGATGTGGTCTGCGTGCTTTTGGGTATTTTGTTCGAGAGTGTTGGAGGTTGTGTGGATGATGGTGAGGGTGTAGTGGTTTGGGAGGGAGGATAGGATTGAGGTGTAGATTGATTCGGTGGCGGTGGTGGCGCCTAGGATGCCGACATGTAGGACTGGAGGGGTGGACATGATGATGATGGTATGAGAGGAGGTTGTAGACCACGCTGGGTCATTTGGAGAAGAGAGATTGAGGAGAAGAGGAAGATTCTTGATCGAAAGTTGATGTGGCGATCAAGGGGGAGAGCTGGGGGGAGGTGTATGTGGAAGAGAGTTTAAAGAACGCGAGAAGTCTTTGTTTGATATGAAAACCAGGGCGATGAAGAAAAGACAAGAAGAAGATTCTTCGAAATCTGCCAGAAAAATATTCATACCCTAGCACCTAATAATCAAGAGAAAAATCCTCATTCTAATCATCTGCCATTATGAAATTTCCCAGCTGGCCATTCCACCGGCGCATGCCAGTTGTGTGTGACATCAGTGGGTTCACATTGCCGCCCAGTCAAGGAGGGCCGTAAAAGTGTGAAGAAGAGGAGCTCTTTGGTTGGACCGAAATCTGTCCACCAAATAGATCGTGGCGCTCGATCTGGGGATATCCTGCCGAACCCGATCCTTCCGATGCAGGCGTTGTCGATCTGTACCACGCGCGTTGGGCTGATGAATGGAGAGAATGAGGTGGGGGAAGAGGTAAGTAAGGGGAGGGATGACATGTTGGAATGTCGGTCAGTCGTGGCGTTAGAAGAAAATAGGGGATTATCAATATGGAGAGTTTAGATATACTAGTTATGAAGTGAGAAGATAGATATTAGTATAGGATAGAATATGCTCATGATATAGTTCAAGAGGTTCTGGAAATTAGAGTGGAGTGAGTGGGCCTTGGAGCTCTCGAGCACATGAAGCTAGGACGGATGGGAGTAGCGCTATAGCAAGAAGATTATTATTGAAGAAGTTGATTAGGGAGATAGTCCACTTGATTAAAATTAAAAGATGAAAAAGGCATACATCTATGTAATATTGAGTATCTTTTCTTCCCAGTCTAGCTACCTAGTATGTAGTCACTATGAGCATCCTCAGGCTACTAGACGTATGCAGATAAGTAGGACTAGCATTGGGATAGCCTACCTTATTTGAACCACCAGAGTCTGGAGTAGAGCTATAAACGATAGTCTACTATACTATTGTACTATACTATAGTACACAATAATATAGAATACTATTACACAAGAAACCCCCTGACAATATTTCACCTCGTATCCCCCCCCCCCCCCGTTCTACACAGCCGAGAAAAGCTGCCTGGCCCCTCCTCAGCCTCAGCCATGCCTCATCGGGTGTGGTGTTTCTCCATCAGCTGTCGTCATCTTGTCATTTTTTGTCTTTCTGTCTGACAAGCTCCCCCCGTGGACTCCTTTATCTCATCTCTTTCCCTGTTCACTTTTTTCAACATGGGTGTAAGTGTTCAGATCATCGTTTCTCCTCTCTCCCCCCTCTCTTCACCCCCCCACTTGAAACCCACCAAACTGACCACGAATCCCCCGTTGCTCTCTCCAGTTCGCCGCAAAGCTCGCTGCCGCACAGCAAAACCAGAATCAGAACCAGAACCCGGCGATGTCGTCGAATTCAGGTAACTCGGGCACGTATGGCGGTGCTCCGCCATCTGGATATACTGGAGGCCCTCCACCTGCAGCATTGCGCCCTGGTGGATACGTAAGTCGAGAGTCCGATCACCTGTTCACTCATTGTCATCCCATCTCGACGTCATTTGTAGAAAAGCAAGAAGTTGACAGTTCTACTGTAGCAACAGCAGCCGCAGGGACAACAGCAACAGCAACCCTCGCAGTACCAGGCTTACCCTGGATCTCCTCCACCTGCTCAGGGATCGGTAAGCTTCTTCTTCTCTTGATCTCCATCTCTCTTCCTCGTCACTCTCTCTCCCTCGCTCTCTTACTGTACTCCACATTATTATTACCCCTCCACGCTGCTCTCCCGCGGAACCATCCCTCCCCCTCCTCTTTTTTTCTCTCTCACCCAGCGCTCTGGTCCCATCAACCACCCACGGAAATCCAAAAAAAAATCTCTTCCGAAAATCCACTATGTCGGGTCATTATTACCCACAAGGTCAACCTCCGTACGGCGGCTCACCTGCTCAAAACTACCAGCCTTACAACGCTCCCTCGCCGGCGCCTTACTCGAGGGCCCCTCCGCAACAGCAACCGCCTTACCCCGCACAGCAACAGCAACAGCAACAAGGCTACTCGCGACCTCCACCGCCGCCACCCCAAGGTCAGCCCTATGGATCTTCGGGATCGGCGTACCCTGGACAGCAACCGCCTTACCCTGGTCAACAATCACAATCACCTTACCCTGGTCAACAGTCGCAGTCGCCCTACCCAGGACAGCAACCACCTTACCCTGGACAACAATCTCAATCGCCGTATCCTGGACAACAGCCACCTTATCCTGGACAGCAGCAGCAGCAGCCTTCCTATGTACAGATGAACCCTCACACGTGCCTTGCGTTGATTATTTTGCGCCGTTTACTTCTACGCTGAACACAGATCTAGTTCATTTCAGATGATAAACAGCTAACATTCGCGTTTAGAACCAGGCACCTTATCCTCCTCAGGGTGGCCCCGGTGGTGCTCCTCAAGGTGCGCCGTACGGCGGCCAGGGACGCCCTGGTCCCTCGCCCGGACCTCAGGGTGGACAGCAATATGGCGCGCCCGCTGGTCAGTATGGAGCTCCCGGCGGCGCCCCTGGACCTCAGGGTGGACCCGCGACACCACAGCAGATCGATGCCTATCGTCGTCTGTTAGAGGATACTATCCGAGAGAAGCAGCTGCAGAGATTCTATCCTCAGGGATCCAAGGCCCTGGATGGTCTCGTTCAATTCCTCGGCAATGAAGCCCCCGGCCGGCTGCAGCGCATCGTGCATGAGCTGAATGTGCCGATGGAAGTGGCCACTGATCTGATGAAGCTCGCACTGTTCGATATCATTCTCTACGTGGATGACAGCGGATCCATCGAATTCGAAGAGAAGGGTCTTCGCAAGGATCAGCTGCGACAGATTCTGAGTATCGTGGCGACCGTGGCCTCGACTTTCGACCAGGACGGTATTGAGGTGCGCTTCATGAACTCCATGGAGGAAGGTCACGGAATCCGGAGCCCCGATGATGTGGAGCGTCTCGTCTCTCGTGTCCGCTTCTCCGGCCTGACTCCTCTGGGCACCAGTTTGCGCCAGAAGGTCGTGGACCCCTTGGTCGTCGGCCCCGTTCGTTCCGGTCGTCTCCAGAAGCCCGTGCTCATCATCACTATTACTGATGGCCAGCCCGCGGGTGAGGCGCACAGCACCGTTCGTGATACTATCAGCTACGCTGTCCGCGAGGTTCAGCGGGCTCAGTACAGCACCGGTACCGTCAGCTTCCAGTTCTCGCAGGTCGGTAACGACACTCGTGCGCGGGAGTTTTTGGCGGACCTTGACGAAGACCCGGAGATTGGACAGTTGATTGACTGCACATCGAGTAAGTTACACAAGGTGGTGATTGTAAAGGTGCTGTCAAATCATGGATCAGACTGACCCATGTGATTTTCTAGACCTTGAGGTTGAGCAGGATGAGATGTCCCGAGCTAACCCACCCGTGCACTTGACTCGTGAGCTCTGGGTACGTTTTCCACGGGTTGCATCTGATAATGTCCCCTCGTTTCAGTACTAATCTGATATCTATAGTGTGCCAAACTTATGCTGGGTGCTATCGACAGCTCCTACGACACCAAGGACGAGAAAGCTGAGAGGCGCAACAACCCCGGTGGCCCTCCTCAGGGACCTCCCCAGGGCTCGTATGGCGGAGGTGGCTATGGCCAGGCACCTCCTCCCCAGGGTGGCTACAATGCTCCCCCCTCGGGCTATGCTCCCAACTCGTATAACCAGCAGCCCGGTTATCCCCCACAACAGCAGCAGCAGCAACAGCAACAGCAACAGCCTCCCTACCCAGGTGCCAACCGAGGCAACCCTGGTGGATATGGCCAGCCCCCGCAATATGGATACGGTGCTCCCCCACCCGGTGGACCAGGAGGTTATCCCCCCGCAGGAGGTTATGGACAGCAGCCACCCCGTCGGTACTAGGATTGAAGGGAAAGGGATAAATAAACAAAGGCCTTGAAAGGTACAGGCATGACGTCACGGACTGCTATCCCTTTGCGAGCTTTGATTCTTGGCGTGTTTTGTTTCACTATGGTTGCCAGAACGGATTAGTTCTGCATTCAGTATTCTTATGCACACTCTGGATAAGCTCTTCACAAATTGTATTTTTGCTTCGTTTTGGTGTGTCTTTGCATGGAGAATCATAATCATGCCTTAGGATAGGTTGGGCGGGATGGATGAATGCAATGCAGTTGACAGGATGAGATCATGGATGCCGTATTCTGGTGAGAATTAATGGCCTACTATAGCCTGAGCTAAGCTATAGATTATACCAGAATGATAAACAATATTTAATTCTGTCTGAATCTAATTCCTGTAGCCAAGTGGTCAGGCATGCCTTGTAATCGAAACACAGATTTATTACCAAAACTCTCGGATTTTTTCCAATGGCTAAGAGGTATAAAGTTCTTTGTATGGCAATGTCGTGGCCAAGTGATGTATTTTTGCCTGGTAATGAAGGCTTTGTAATGCAATACAGACTTAAGATTGTAGCATCGTCTTTCTGTGGGAAGACTCGTAACTTTTAATTCTAATTGACAGTGTGATTAAATAGACACACTTGTTTTATGAATTTAATTCTTTGAGTGATTGATTTCTTACTGGAAAAGAGAGGTTTGAATTGAAATCTAAAAGCCTTGGTTTGGGACGTTCTATACTCTATTGCCTAGAGCCCTCCACTTCAGGCCGGCCATGACATAGTTCCTCCACCAATAACCAATAGACCATATTTGGGCTGCCTATATGCAGGACAAGGATAGAGAGACTTTTAAAGATGTTACTGCGCGTACCACAGTATTATACCTTATTACTTAGTAGTACCAGAGTACGGTCGCAAGGCACAAATTAAAGTTGCCACGCAAGTATTGGTCCTCCTAGGCAGAACGATTGAAAAGTATGGAGAGAACCTTACTAGACGCCTTACTATGAGAGGTTAGTATTCTTAGTAGTCATTTAACCGTCTGGGTCTAGCCACTGACGAGTTCAGGCGATGAAGCATGGTTGGCCTGGTTGGCCCGGGGGGCGAGTTTTCCGCCTGATCGCATCGGCCGTTTTCCATGGAATTTCCTTTTTTTGCGTGGACTGGTGGGCTGTGTTCGACCTGAGAGTCCACTTGGCACTTGGCCCTGTCGGTACGTACTCTACATACTAACTACTGTAGTAACTATGCGTACTCTAGTCCAGTACCGACTGGACTACTCCTCCCCAAGTCTGGATGCAACCCCCAAATTGCCCCCAATTGCGCGTTGCGGGCTCCACACAAAGTTAAACCACCTCCTCTGCCTCTTTTGACAGGCAAACCCTTCCATATTCTCTGGAAGAAATTCTATCTGATCAGCCATTTTTTGCCTTTTGCCTACCCCCTAGAAAAAATCAAAATCCGGAGAAATCAACCTCCTCGACTGCTTCGGGCATCTTGCCGCATCCGGTCTGGCATTGCCTTCGACTCTCGCTCCCGTCAACAATCCCCCACTCCGTATACACCTTTCCTTTTCGACTTACTCTTCAACAACAACTCTCGACACCAGTCGCGACCGCTTGAACTATATTCAATCTTTTTGCCTTTTGCTGTTGGCGTTCGTCCTCACCTGCGGTCAACCAAACCCTCATTTCGCGACCGTCATTCGAGATAACCCCCAGAGATCCTCGCCAAGTCATACTTATTAACCTGGCCAATGTACTAGAGAAGCATGACCGCGACCTCTCCAATCTCTAGTACGATCGATTCTCTCTTTCACATCTAAACCACAACCGCCAGTCTTCAAATCTCCGATCGGAACCAGGAACGAAAAGAAAAAGAAGCAGTGATCGCCCGGGTGTGTCCCGCGCCAGGCACGATCTTTCGTCATGTCCAACCATGACGACCACCCCCTAGATGACGGCCGCCCGTCGCAGGAGCAGAATCAAAATCAAAATCAAAACCCGCCCGACGTTGTGCGCCGGCCGTCCCTCGTCTCTTCACACACCATGTCCGACGCTGGTCGCCGCACTTCCCAGCAGTACCACGTGCGGTTCTCGACCGACCTCGACCGACCGGCCGATGAGCTGCCACAGCGTCAATTATCGTCGAACACCGACCGACGTCCGAGTTCGCGAGGCCTGACGATCGATACTACGCTGGCACCGCCGACGACTCGCCACCCTGCTCGTTCACCGACGTCTCCCCTATCGCCCCCGAATGCCGCTGCGAGCGCAACGCTTTCGCCAATTTCTCCGCCGAGTCCAGACTCTGCGGGTGGACGATCGCGATCGCGGAATCGTGGGTACTCGCTACGACGCAGTATCTTCAATAAGAACATTCAGACGCAATCTGATCAGGATGAGGGTGTGGAGCTGGACGAAACTCAGGGCTCTGGGAGGAGTCCTGAGGGGGAAATCGCGGTCGCACCAAAGACCGTGGATGCTCCCAGTCCGGTGGATGAGAAGAATGAGTTGGCTGTCGCACCGACGGCGACGGTGGAATGGACAAAGGACGAGGCCTCGACTTATCCCTCGTCCCGCTCTGATCTGCCTTCGAAGGAATATTATATGTCGATTGCGCAAGACAATTGGATGAAGAAGAAGGTTGCGACGGCAGGACTAGTTACTCGCGTGGAGACTGTCTTGACTACGGTTCAGAAATTCATTCTCCGCATCAAGGACATTCCACCTACCAAGGATGGACGGCATATCGACCTCAATCCTTCCATAGTGGACACTCTCATCGATGAGCGCACTGGCAAGGCCTATTGTGCCAATTGGATTCGGTCGAGCCGGTACAGTTTCTGGAGTTTCTTCCCCCGGCAATTGTTTGCCCAGTTCACCAAGTTGGCCAACTTTTACTTCTTGGTTGTCGCGATTTTGCAGATGATTCCCGGTCTGAGTACGACGGGAACATTCACGACTCTTATTCCTTTGTTGATCTTCGTTGGTATCTCTATGGGCAAGGAGGGATTTGACGATTGGCGCCGGTATCGCCTGGACAAGGAAGAGAACAACCGCTATGCGTACGTGCTTCGTCCGGGCCAGGCGCCCATCACCGACGGTGCCTCCATGGCCAGTGGTGCTCATGACTGGGTGGAGATCAAATGGGAAGATATTCGGGTTGGAGATGTCATCAAGCTCGAGCGTGACCAGCCCGTTCCCGCTGACTTTGCCCTCCTCCACGCCAATGGACCTAATGGCGTCGCCTACATCGAGACGATGGCCCTCGATGGAGAGACCAACCTGAAGAACAAGCAACCCTGCCAGGCCGTGGCTAAGGTATGCTCTACTGTGGACGACATTGCCTGCAACTCACTGCATTTCGTCGTCGAGGACCCGAACATTGATCTCTACAAGTTTGACGGTCACGTCACGGTCAACGACCAGGAGAAGCTCCCCTTGACCAACAATGAGATTGTATACCGTGGTAGTATCCTCCGCAATACTGACCGTGCTATTGGTATGGTGATTTACACTGGCGAGGAGTGCAAGATCCGCATGAACGCCAACAAGAATCCCCGCATTAAGAAGCCTGCCCTACAAGCCAAGGTCAACCGCGTCGTCATGTTGATCGTGGCTCTGGTGGTTGTCCTCGCCGTTGCATGCACCGTTGCCTACAAGTACTGGTCGCAAGATGTAGAACGCTACTCCTGGTACATCAGCGATGCCAAGGTCTCATACGGTCCCATCTTCACCTCCTTCCTTATTATGTTCAATACGATGATCCCCATCTCGCTATACGTCAGTATGGAGATTGTCAAGGTTGTCCAGATGCTCCTATTGAACGACATCGACATGTATGACCCGGAAACCGACACGCCACTCGAGGCACGCACTTCTACTATCAATGAGGAGCTCGGCCAGATCAGTTACATTTTCTCCGACAAGACTGGTACCCTGACGAACAACTCGATGCGATTCCGCAAGATGAGCGTTGCAGGTACTGCGTGGTTGCACGACCTCGATCTCCAGGAGGAAGCTGCCCGCGAAGGCGAGAAGCTTATCCACAAGAAGCGGAACCTGAAGGGCAAAAAGGCTGCTGGTCGAAAGTCGAACGTTTCAGAGGTTCGCATGAGCATGGCTCGGCCGTCCAATGTTTCTGCTAGCGCGGATCAGATGCGCCGGTTTGGGCGGTCAGCTCCTTGCCGGACCACCGAGATGCTGGAATACATTCAGCGCAAGCCGTATACCATCTTTGCGAGAAAGGCCAAGCTGCTTATCCTGGCTATGGCTCTTTGTCATACGTGTATTCCCGAGGAGGATGAGGATGGCAACGTGTCTTTCCAGGCCGCTTCGCCGGATGAATTGGCCCTCGTGATGGCTGCGCAGGAACTCGGATATCTGGTCTCGGATCGCCAGTCAAATACCTTGACTATTCGCACATACCCCAATGGCGTGGACGAGCCTGCTGTCGACGAGACCTACGAAGTCATGGACGTGATTGAATTCTCCAGTGCCCGGAAGCGCATGTCAGTTGTCGTGCGCATGCCCGACCAGCGCATCTGCCTCTTCTGCAAGGGTGCCGACACTACGCTCATGCGCCTACTGAAGAAGGCCGAACTGGCCCATGAAAAGGCCGCCGAGATTGAACGTCGAGCCAGCAAGCGTAAAACTGCCGAAGCCAACCAGGTGATTCGTCGTAACAGCGAGTATCACAGCCGCAAGGATAGCGGTGTCCGCACCAGTCTGAGCCGGCCCAGCTTCACTCGCCGTCGCTCTTCGGTCTCTGGGCATCATGCTTCCACGCTGCGTCAGAGTATCGATGTATGGTTGCGCGATCGTGAGACTGACGGTGGTATGCTGAACCGTGAGACCGACAGTGCTTACTACAGTCCTCGACCCTCTGCGCAGATTGGACGCAACTCGGCTGCTATTTCGGACTCGGGTAGCTCGACGAACGGCGAGGAAGACGATGGTGATCTCGTGGAAGAGGCCCTCGTCGTTGATGAGGCTGCCATCTT